CTCAATCTGTTATTAACACAAAAATTGAAGTTTATTGCCTCCACATAGTTTGTTACAGAATTCCTAGTTTTTATATGACAATTTCATGTTGTCAGACAAACATGGATTTGTGCAGCCAGCCACTAATTAGTAAGGAGCTACTATTTTAAGAAGCCCCTGAATCTTTCGGGTTCAGCCTTGCCCACCCAATTTATTACTTTCTGGGTAAGGTGATTGGCTTGGGGTTTAAACTCGAAACTCTCTAACCACCAATTCATTTCGCCCACATATATTTTCATATTTTATTTTATGTCATTTACCAGTCGTGTTATGGGTCTTCTACCAAAAGGTGGTTATGCAGAATATGCTGCAATTGATGAGAATCATGTCATGGCAGTTCCTGATGGTCTCTCTCTGCATGAGGCTGGTGGAATACCAGAAGTATGGTTGACGGCGTATCAACTTCTACATTTTGTAGGTATGTCTCCTAGAATATTGATTGTTTGTAATCATATAACTTTGTGTAAAAACTGGTAGGAATGTTCCTATCATAATAGTGGTAGTTTGATCAAATGATCTCATATATATCTGGAAACTTTTTCTACACATCGTTGTGAACAAGGGTTTGGAATGGGCTCCCAAAAGGGGAGCAAATAATGTGTACCAATATGGAGGCAATTAATTTTGTTGGGCCGGGGGTATATTCACTTGGCTAACACAGACAGTCCCCGAACTCGTAATAGTACTAAAATAAGGAAAATCTGTATAAAATCATGGCCTAACCCTATCCTGGTACACATAGTACGGGAGTAGCCTACCCCAAAAAGTTATTACAAAAACATCATTCTGATTTCAAAAACCAATCAGGTAATGTGAAGGAAAATGATATTGTACTAATTCATGGTGGAGGAAGTGGGGTCGGTACAGCAGCAGTACAATTAGTTAGACTCGCTGGAGCTATTCCGATCGTAACTGCGGGAACAAAAGACAAAATAGATACTTGTCTCAGTCTTGGTGCAAAGAATGGATTCAATTACAAAGAAGGAGAATTTGCACCTGGTGTATTGGAAGCTACGGGCGGTGAGTATTTTTTCTCTTTGTTAAAAGTCATCTTCAATGAAGCAATTGGCGCCAGATATTATCATTGTGCATGTTTTACAACTACTGATTGAACAGTGTTTGTATCTAACTTTCAATGCCAATTTAGCTGTTACAACATGCTCAGTCGTCGAGCAAGTTTTCCTATGTTCGAGTTGTTAAAATACGTGTTCCATGCATGTGCAATAAGTGGTTATTGGTAGTATTTAATTAATGCTATTTTTAACAGGAGTGAATCTTATCCTTGATTGTGTCGGAGGTTCTTTCTGGAAACAGAATGTTGCTTGTCTTGCACCTGAAGGGACTTGGGTTAACTATGGTCTGCTTGGTGGAGGTAAGCTGAGAGTTTTGCAGTTTAGATTTATTTTAGGCATTTTGACTTTGTTTGTCTGTTCTGGGGGCTGTTCTTCTTGTACTGTTCTGGGTTAAAAAAAATATCAGCAACTTAGGGATATGAGTTGCTGAAACATTGAAAACCTGTGGTTTGTGTAGTCTACCAAATTGTTTGTGGTAGGCCTTGATTGAGAAGGCAGCACTGTAACCAGAGAATTCTATTCTGCAATTTCGATAATTCAATTTGATCAGTTCATATCAGTTAACATTAGGATATTTTTGTTGTTTTGTGTTGACAATTTGCCTACTGTGCGAAGTGTTAGAAACATGCCTGCTTTGCATAATATATACTTGAATCATGTGCAGACTATTACATGCTTGAGGATCTCCTGGTCATTATCATCGCTAAGTGGCTTATTTGAAACATAGGTCGGTTACAACTTGTTCTGGTTCATGCATTTAGAAGTTATTAGAACATGTACATCTATTTGTTGGTCAACTAGTCAAGGGATCCGCCAACTTCAGACATCTAGCTGGACCACTCAAAAAAATTGTTTTTTCCACGTACACAACGAATTAGAAAATAAGCAACAACCATAGCGCCTCAGAAAAGGCAAGAGAAGGGAATGTGACTTGCTTAGCCTTCCAGTAATAAAGCCACCGAGCAAAACAGCAAAAAATTTAACACATCAACGAGAGCAAAAAACCATGTATTTCTACCCATGTGACTTTTGAGCGCTTTTTAAACATATTAACTGTCGGATTAGGGTTTTATGCTCAATGGGGGAAGATCTGGATGTTACACAATTCTTTTCTAGTCAAATGATTAAAGTTGTCTCAACTTTCCTCTCTAGGATAAATGTGAAAATCCTAATCCAAAGTCCGATATTTAAATGATAGATTCGAATGATTTTTTTAGTAAAAAAAATACCCTTACCGGAATTCTTCTCATAAGACTTTACTAGTACTTTTCTAATATTGTTTCCATGAAATTGTTGGAGTAATCAGCGAACTTTTTCTCTTCAGCAAATATCGATGGACCTATACTTGGATTACTTTTGGCAAAACGTGCAAGTCTTCTTACAACCACGCTGAAGAGTCGAAGCAACGAATACAAGGCCCGGTTGATTTCAGAATTTTCTAGAAATGCTTTGCCCTATTTTGTAAAACCTGCTATTGTTCATGGACAAGAAATTCGATTAAAACCAATCATTGATAAAGAATTTAAATTGGAATCTGCCTCAGATGCTCATAGACATGTTCTCGGAAACAAAAATATTGGCAAAGTCCTATTAATAGTACAAGATGAAAAGGATTGATGATTGATGAAAAATGAAATGGACCATACTGGGTTATTGTAACCTATTGCATTCTAGAAACATATGGATCTGTGCTTTCAAATTTTTAAACCTTTTGTACAATCTCATTTTCTGTTCTTCTAAAATGTATTTGCTATAGATTTAGCTGGCTTTATGAACGAATCATCTGCAGTAGAATAATTTTTAGTTTTACAAATTTAATTGGTAATATGGCCTTTTTTACAATCCTTTAAATTGCAAAAATTATGTCTGCAAACTAGGTATATGACCTCAGAGAGGGGGCAGTTGGCTTATTCACATGTGTCATTGGTTTTCAAATATTGGTTACTACTTAATTATAAATACTATATAGGAATAAATACCTTTTGGTTCTATTAGAGCCCTCAAATGTTTGAATTTTATGTATTGCTACTGTTGGTTATGGCATTGATTGATACATATTATATCCTTTATGCATTTTTAGTGTCCATCAAAGGTTAGTTATAGTTAACTGAGTACCAGTGAAATGGAATAACTTGAATATTAGACAAGATCATTTGTTTTGAAATCCTCCTCAAATAACCATTTTTTAATGTTAAATTTCTAATTCATCTTTTGAATATTACTGTTTTATACTATAATTATGTTCGACCAAACTTTTCCACCATTTTTAGATGCTTTTGCAATTATGTGTTAGCGCTCCGCTGGTGTTCCATGATACAGACATAAGCAATGCACTATTTTATCTTTCAGATACTTATAATTTAAAATATAATATGTTTGTAAAAGTATTGTGTGAGGGAAGCCTACTTCTTGGTTTAAATCCGGTGTGAACAACATTTGTACAAGATCAGAATTCTAAAGGTATTTCATCAATATTTCACATACGTTTAGTAGTTTATTAGCTGAGATTAAATAGTAATTATTGGTTATGAACAATATACAAACAATGCGCAGTTTTACTTAAAAGTATCATGTGAGCATGCTATGTGCCTACTCTGAATACATCGATTACTATGGAGTCTGATGGCTCTTTGGTTGAGTGTTCATATAACATTCATGTTTTTTTTTTGGAGATAATAATAAACTTAGCAATGTAAGTTTCAGTACAATTATCAATTATAGGCAGGATCTTTGGGGTAGTGCAGTGAGATTATTGTTATATAATGATAAATTATCACATCACAAAGTAAAATTTAACTATTTTAATGATAATTCGACTTGAAAGGGCCCTTTTTGCTTTGTCAAGTTTTGTCTGTGCCTGGCAACTTCGATTTGGGAATGTGTCTTAAAAAATATCTTGAATCGGAGTTTGGGAAAAATGGCCTTTTTGTTTCTCTGGGAAATCCATTTAATAACCTGCATGTAGGAGTTTTAATTTCATTATATTTTGCGGAAGGCCTATTGAATCTAAAAATTGTCAAAAAATGAGTTCCGAAAGTACAGTAATTTCTTCGATTTACTCTAAAAACTAGTATTTTTAACTTTTCTAATTGCTATATTTAGAAGCATCCACAATGCCGAATGCAAGTAGTGTGATGGAGTCATTTTGTGGAGAGGAGTTCAGAGTATTCGACAGTACTGCACCGGCATTTTCAGGCTGCTTTGAGATGATCGTTTTCATGCTATTGCCTTTTTCATTACTGGCAGCCTCAAGTTCATATTATATTGGACTGTTAAAAATACCTGACTTGAGGCTGAGGACCCCACGCCGTTATTTATTTCGACAGATATGCACTTTAGTGACATTGATTCTCACTGTGGCTAATCATCTCATAACTATATTTGCAAGACATGAAGGACATGGTTTCATTGTGATATCTTTTGCATTGAGTACGATCGCATTATTGACACATTTCATTTTTCTTACTCGACTGGCAAAAGTGCATTTTCTTTATGAGCGAGGACCTCGGTTGGTTATGTTATTCTGGTTGCTCACTCTGCCACATTTTATTGCAAATGCAGAATATTTTTGTGCAATATTAAATGTTTCAAATTCTGCGTCGTATTTGTTAAAAATACAAGTTGGTCTCACAGTATTGGCAGCCATATCTCAACTCCTCTATCTCTTCTGTATCACTGTTCCTTACGCAAAGTTCAGGACCGTCTCTATTGTGGAATCTGAGCCATCTCTGCCTGAAGAAAGAGAACAGTTATTGGATAGTTCAAGTGGAAGTTATTATCAACTTTCTGATCAGTCTCGTGAGCAACTTGACAGAAACCAATGTCCAGCTGATACTGCCAATATTTTTTCAAAAATATTTTTTTGTTGGGTAAACTCATTGATGAAAACTGGTGCAAAAAGGCAATTGCTAAATGTAGACTCTGTATATGAACTCCCAGAAGATATAACTACGACAACTTTAAACAATATTTTTTCAAAAAATCTTGATGCAGTATGTCTGGAGCAATCATCTGAAAATACAATAATAAAATATGCACTTTTAAGAGTTCTTAACAAGAGTTTTGGACTTGTGTATTATGCTTCTGGAATAATGAAGTTTTTGTCAGATGCATTAGCATTTGCTGGACCTCTGCTTCTCAACAAACTTGTAAATTATATTGAAAATGCGGATGAACCCCTTGTGCATGGATACTACTATGCAACAGCATTATTTCTATCTACATTCGTCGGATCTTTACTTTCAGCTCATTTTGATTACCAGGTAAGTTGGAACTTTGAAAACAAAAATTTTATTTTTTAAATTGCCAAAACAATTGCATCGAGACTCGAGAGATTACATTTGTATAATATACACATTATTTTGAAATATAGATTTCGATCCTAAATACTTTGATTTGGGATTTGAAAGCAAAATAATAATCTTTCAAATAGAAATACAGTTTGGCAATGGATTGAGTCAATTTTGAAATATGAATACAGTTTTAAACATGAAACGACTTACTTTATTTCTTGGACATGCTGGCCTAACGAGTGAAGTGCTATTCACTTTTTCACTTATTTTTAGGTGAATAAAGTGAATTTGAGAGTAAAATCGTCATTGATCACTAATATATATAACAAGACAATGCGAGCTCAACCATCTGAGTTATCATCTTACACAACTGGTGAAATTACAAATTTTATGAGCACTGATGTTAACAGAGTTGTCAATTTTTGTGTTAGTTTCCATCAGTTTTGGAGTTTACCTTTCCAAGTTGCTGTTACACTTTACTTACTTTATCTTCAGGTATGTTCGTTATTGGCTTCATTTTTATGTCATTTTTCTGAGAAAGTCGAAACAGACAAGGTTATGTGAGACCGAGACCAGGCATGCCCGAAACGAAATAAATGTTCAAAGTTTATATTCAATATAGTTGATTCTAAAATAGAGTCAAACAAATAATCCCTGAAAAGTTTATGTGCCCTCAAGGCAGATACACATATACAATTCCTTTACCCAGGCCTGTTACAAACTAGAATGCACCATCACCATAGTAACACCCTCACACACACATGTAAACAAGTAATAATTACTAAGTAACAACAAGTAATGGCTGTAATCTGTCCAAAACATTCACAATCCCCTTTCAAATTTTTGTGATCATAGAAAAAAGAACACCAAATAAACATCTCAATTATTCTGCCTAATCCAATTCTTTTTAATCATTCTTATGAAAAAAATATTCAGTTATACTAATCCAAACTTAATAAATACAGGTCTGCCTGTATTAGATATCTTTTCCATGATATATTTGAAATTTTTAGATTGTGGCCAAACTTGTTTGAGATGTCGGAGATTTTCCTAACAGTTATATTTTTTTTGAGTTAAGAGTGTATGAAAAAAATAATGAAATAAAGACGTCAGGCCTTTCAATCTTCCATTTCTCGATATTTTAGGCATTACCGTAATTATCAAGACCAGTGATTCTCAAACTAGGGTTTGAGAGCCGCATGCGGCTCTCGACAACCTTTCCTGCGGCTCTTGTTAATGGTTTGAAAATTGATTACTTTTAAAGAAAATTTTTCATTGAAAACTAGCCATTGACTTGAAATTAAAATGCAGAAGTCTATTAGTCAGTCGACCTTCCTTATTACCGCTTGGAGATTAACCGTGCCTGTTTAAAGTGAACAGTAACCGAGATGCAGATATTTATTAAAATGATAATTGAGTTTCTCATGCTTTTCCATGGTGTTCGTGTTATTTTATTATTATATAGATAAACCTAGCAAATTTACGATTTTGTGAATCCTGAATGTTGATTTAAAACAGCGATTAAATAAATTGGCAATAAAGGCCTTTGGGCATAATAGAGGGTCAGACGCTAATTATAACTAATTCCTTCAAGTTTTAACGTTATTTTTTCAACAAAACAACACCCCGATGGTTATTATAGCTAAAATACTTACTGAGTAATACTCAATTTTCTTTACGGAATTTACAAATTCAGCACTTCACTTAATGGTTTTGATTATGTCATGCCTTAAGGCTTAATTATTACTACCCAAATGCTTCAAAATTCAACAACTGTAATCATTTTCGATGATAATAGACACAACAATTCCTGAACGAGACAGTGTGCATTGTTACAACGAAATGCACGATTGATTTTACGTTCTACTCTTGGTTCAACGGCCATGCATGGTCGAGCTGAAAGAAAGTGATTTAAAGGGAGTAGCACATGACATTTCTTATATGGTTACTACAACTTTTAATGAGTGTTTTTCATACAAGTAACTCATACCAGCTTTTGGAAAAACTTTTGATCATTTTTAAATCCATGCTATTTATATAACTAGAGTTTTCTAACGACCCAAAATCGCCCTTTTCACAATGAAACGCCGAAAAGTCATTTTAACATTTAATTTTAATCAACTTTATGTTCGGTAATGCAAGAAATGGCTAATGACATGTCACCAAGCATGCGGAGTTTAAAATCTGGGAAATTTATTTTAAATAGCCAATTTGGTTTGACGTTTCTAAATTTACGGAACGGTCGGTACGTTTTTTTTGCAAAATATGGAATTGAAACGATACGTTAAGTGCAAAGATAGCATATAACACCATAACCCAAGGACAACGACTTTTCAAATTTGTCGTTTTTTTCTGATAGCGAGCGCCGTTGAAAAATCTCACACAATCCACGATTGAGGTGGGACGCATTTTTCCAAGTAAGAAAACTCTGGACTGGAGGCTGAGCTCATTAAGTGGCTTTCATCAGTCTTATCGGCTTTCTATTCTGACAATAAACTTATGTTATTTGTGGTCTGTATTATTTTTATAATTTTGTTCTAAGGTTGGAATTGTGTTCCTGGCAGGTGTTGGATTAGCAGTGGTCATGATATTTTTTAATCGATATCTCGCGAATCAGATTGGAAAGTATAATGCTGCTATGATGAAAGAGAAGGACAGCAGAGTTAAAGTAAATCATTTTTTGTATGTTTTACCTCTGTTTTTGGGAGGGAGACTGCGTATTATCATGGATTGAGAGATTTGAAATAATGTTTTATTTGTTTATATCATTTTTATTTATACATCTTCTAGCATATTTTGTACATGAAGTACTTTTAAGAAGTAGTTATAGCTCTTTGGAAACTGTTGTAGTTTCAGTTAATTGTAGGGTTGTAGACATTAATATGAATATCCAAATGAAGTTGAGTTGGTCCCAAATTTTGAATAATTGGTGTATAATCACCGGGATTTGAATTTTTTTTTGACCATTGGGCAACACAACTATAGGGGTCGGTCGACCCTAATGATCTTGCGGCCTTGCCCGCCTCGTCCGATTATATTTTGTGTTTGTTATTTTCCTGAAAATAAATCATTATATATCTCCCAGGAGTTGAGAAGCCACTGTAAAATTACTTTTTTGTTGCAAAACAGAATAAGTTTATGTCTCTCAGTGTTTTTATTCATTTTTGTGTCTTTGAAAATAAGTTTTATGTTCAGCTCATTTTATGACTAAATAATCAGTATGATGCCTGATGAGCAAGTCATATTTATTGTCTATCATTCATTTAGCTGATGACTGAAATTTTACTGGGTATTAGAGTTGTCAAATTCAATGCATGGGAATACATTATGTCTGAAAAGCTTGGCAGGTTTGCATCAGTTTTACATTTGTTTTGCGTGTTTGTTTAAACTTTCGTTAAATTACTCAGATTTATTATATCCTGATATCATGTTTTGAGATGATATCACATGCCCTGATAAAAAAAAAATTTTTCTGTAACACCAGTTGTGCTTTATTTATCTATGATTTCTTAATATTATATGCTTTATCGTGGAGTTCTAAAATGTCAGTAGACTCAGTCTTTCATGTATTTTTTTCAGGATTCGTAATGAAGAATTGAAGAATTTAAAAGGAATCAAATATTTTGATGCTGGATGTGTATATTTATGGGCAACTACTCCTGTTCTTATTTCACTTCTTACTTTCTCTATTTATTCTGCCATTGGCCATGAATTAACTGCAGCAAAAGTATGTTTTTTATTGTTTCAATTAATAAGAATACCAGCAGGATATATTGAAAGTTCCTGTTTTATTTGTGTAAAAAGTGATCCTTATATTGGATTCATCCACCATTTTTTCTACATAAATATACATATTTGTTCCATTTTGTATTGAGTGTACAATGTATTGTAGATTTGCCAAACACCATGATTCTTCCTAGCATATTATGATCTAGGATCATTTTTTAGCATGTAGAGAGGAAAACTGATAAGAGGACTTAACTTTATGGCAAACTCTGTTCTTTTGTCCAATTGCCAGTCCATGTCAGGTATTGGAATAGTTAACCAGTTATTCATTTGAAATGCAAAAACTTGATATCTGCGATATTAATATGAAAATTTGCATGAGGGATAAATGCAAATAAAACGTGCATTGAAGTTTTTGAAATAATTAGTCAGTGAATGTATATTTTATGTCTCAGGTTTTCACTGTGATAGCTCTGATAAACATGCTGATTGCACCTCTGAATGCTTTTCCCTGGGTAATCAATGGACTAATGGAAGCCTGGATATCATTAGAACGACTGAATAAATTTATTCAACTGCAAAATCTAGAATTGGAAAAGTATTACGATTTTCCAGCAACTGTTGAACCAGGTGACGATTTTTACTATAGATAATAGTGATTGTCTACTATCAAAATTATAGAAGAAAAGCCACTGTCAGTGTTGCTTGGTGTCCATGGATTCCCATTTGTTTTCGATGAACATTTTATTCAAAATATACAGCTGGATATGAGTTAAATCCCTTGATAAATTGAATGTAGATGGATGTGATTAAAGGATTGTGTTTATTTTTAATTGTGTACAATTCTTCTACCTGGCTAATTCCCTTTGTTTGTTTTTTTATTTCAGATGACATAGATATTGTTGTTGATATAAAGAAAGCAAATTTTTCATGGAATAGTTCATTACCTAACTATTCTGAAGAAACTAATTCAGCTGTAAATGGAGAAGACCAGGGATTAACAGATATTTCTCTTCAAATTAGAGAGGTATTTTCAGAAATGCTACTCATGTTTACCATTATAAACTAATGAATGTCCAAAGTGACTTGAATATTTGGATACAATCAAAAATATTTATTGAATTTGAAATCTGACAACTGGGCAAGAAATAATCTTAATTCAACTTCTGACACTGTAAATGGGAGTAGCCTATTAATCAAAACAATCTTCATCAATTCTTTTGCATTATGAAATTTTATTTATTTTATGTAAATTTCATGGTAGTTCATATTCATAACCTGATGGTAAAACTGAATCCAGCTTACTAGTGGTGCCTAATATCTGAACAATGGAATATTTCAAAATTGCTAAAAATTATATCTTAAAATTTTTTTTTGTAGTTCATATCACAATGATAAAAATCATATCCTTGAAATAAGATATTTTTCGCGGCGCTCCCAAAGTATGTGCACCAAGATGGCGCACAACCTGAACGCTAACCTGGTACACATAGCCTACTACGTTCAGGTTGTGCGCCATCTTGGTGCACACACTCCTGAAGCTCCGATTTTACAGACTACTATTCAGGTTCTTTCGCGAAAGTTTGATTTGAAATAAAATAACCTCAGATAACTGACTGAATTTTATGATTGGATTTAATTTTTATCACACACTTTCTCTAAACAAGGCTCTAGGTTTTACCCAAAATTATTCATTAAAAACTTCGTTTTCTGTGCATTTTAATAATAGGGTCAGTTCATTGGTGTAATTGGATCCGTTGGATCTGGGAAAAGTTCTTTGTTGTCTGCTATTCTTGCTGAAATGAAAAAGGAAAATGGGAAACTTCATGTAGATTGCGTAAATGATGGATTTGCTATTGTACATCAAGAACCTTGGATACAACATGCCTCTATCAGGTAATACCTGTCTTAATAGCCAGGGATGTCCTAAACAATTTGAATATTCTGATTCAATTGAAATTGGTTTATATCCAAATCTGATATAGTGATTTTCAATAATGATTTAGAATAATTTTCTTTGGAAATTTGTCATCTTGAGCATTTTACATATGATGGTTGAACAAAAAATAAACTTCCCTGTACTCCCAACGCTGTAAAAAAGATTCAAATCAAAATTGATTCGAAATTTATTATTTTCAATATTTCAAATTCCTGATTTTAGGGTTTATTCGGAATAATTTAATTTCCAAAAATATCTTTCTTACTAATGACTACCAAATAATCAGATCTAACTAAATACTGTTAGTGTGCAGCAAGACTCTTGAATCATTTAAAAGAATAGTTGTTTTCACAGTTGGTCCATTGCTATCTTATTGTTATGTTTACTCATGTGAATCCGCTAGTAGAAATCATAAAATAAGGATCGAGTCAGAATGTGAATAGAATGTGCGACAATAACTTTTTTCTGTTCACTTCTATTCTAACGTAATTGTTCAGCCTTGTGTAATTGGATAACGATGAATTTTACAGAAACAATATTCTGTGGGGAAGACCATACGATGCTCATCATTATCAATCTGTAGTTGATGCTTGTGCATTGACAGAAGATCTTCAAATATTTCCTGATAGAGATTTAACTGAAGTTGGGGAGAATGGAGTAACTCTTAGTGGAGGACAGAAGGCACGAGTGGCTCTTGCCAGAGCAGTGTATCAGGTAAAGTTATTCAATAACACTTATTAATAGTTTATCATCTTAATATTAAATCCCAACTTTTCTAATATTAAAGAATAGTTCTATGTTAAATATAATGGTCCATTCAGTACAATACACCTTCAATCATTTGAACGATGCAACTGCTAGCATCAGTTAAACATTCAGGACAAGATGTTACAGAAATATATTTGGTATACTGTTTAGCAAGACTCGAAGCATAGCATAGAACAGGGGTCGGCAACCTACGGCCCGCAGAGCACTATAATCTGGCCCACGACGCTTCACTAAATTATAGTAACAAACCATCCATTTTGACGAATATATTCTTTAGACTAAATTTTATTATAACCTTACAATTATATAATTCACAATTACTTGTTTAATGAGCATATAATTTGATTATAATTAAGCAAATGGCAACAAAACGCAGAAATTTGATTTTTCAACTTTCTAAAAATATATGCGACCCGCCAATGGCTTCCAACCTTAATATTGGCCCGCGAGTGACAAAAGGTTGCCGACCTCTGGCATAGAGGGATAAGTAGGTAATTAGTCTCACAGAACCAAGTCAATAGCACATATCGATAAAACAGACTTTCTTTCACTCCTTCTCAGTTGCCTGCTTAAACTAGGCTGTTTCTTCCCAATGGTTCAAACTGATTGATCATTGATACTTGGTTATGGACTATGCTTTTTCTCTGTATTCCCAAGTTTGTGGCATGTTACCTGGTATTTTAAATGTTATTCGTACACCAATCCTAATATTTTCTTTATTTGTTTCCATGGCTAGTCATCAAGTTCGATGCCTCTGAGCATTCAGCACATTGTTATAAATATATACTTATGTTTCAATTCTAGGATAAAAGTTTGTATTTACTTGACGATCCAATATCGGCTGTTGATCAACACGTTGCGAGCTATTTATATGATAGATGCATTATGGGTGAATTAGTCGGTAAAACAAGAATACTCTGCACTCATCATACCAGGTTGGTATTGATTTCTATCAAGCACTGGTTCGGTTTGTGTTTAATGCTTGAATGAGCAAAATTGCCGCGTTTGTTAATTAATGCTGGCTCTGCTTTGATATCCAGAGTGTTCAAGATTGAAAATGTTATTTTAGCAGAAAGATTGGATTCTTTCGAAATATAGCAACTTCTTATTTTGCTGCTTGCACATGGCCTATTTCGGAATGTATGTCAGGGAAACAGCTTTGTGAAATTAAAGTGAATAAATAGTAAGATTATCTACGTTATCGATATAAAATGGCCTTTTTAATGAACAAGATTGTAATTTTTGAGCATAAGGTTTGAAACCAGGTCTGTGGAGACTGAGATTGACATGTTTTCACTAGAGTCGCATTTTCACAAAGTCTTGGGAATTGGATTCAATTCTAAATTCACCTGGAGTCGGAATCAGAATTGTAGAATTTCATTCTCAATAAAAGAATGGAAAGTTTTCTACAGAAACTCATAAGGAATTGAGTTAACTAAGTACCGTGTTTGCTCGTTTTGTAGCCTGGGCCCATATTTTTTTAACCAAACTCACTAACCGGGCCCTTATTCAAGCACGGGCGTTTGTTATTTTTAAAGTAAAATTATACGCAAAATATATTGTCATTTCCAGTTCTCAAGTATGATTTAAACGAGAATAATGAAAATTTTGACTTTTTTTCTACGCACCGCAGGTACAAATCTGCAAAAAAAGAAAGTTTTGCGACGCCCTATCAATATTGAAACGACGCACTTGGGCGTCGCGACGCCTAGTTTGAGAACCACAGTGTTACGTAATCAATGCTATCTGTTATGTAATTGGACGCCTAAGGCGTGAGGGTTATTGTTCTCTACCACTGAAAAATCAGCTTTTACATCGGGCGGGTATTCAAGCACCGACCCTTATTAATTTTTATTTTCTGTTCACACAGGCGGCTATTCAAACTTGCCCTTAATCAAGATCAGGCGGTAAAACGAGCATATCCGGTATTTTTAATAACAGTTAACAGTTTATTAAAAAAGACTTGCATACACTGGAGTTATTGTTATCAAAATTAAGGTTTCTCAAGAGTTTTCTGCTACTGCCAGGGATGGCATGGCCAAAACCAAATTCTCCATTATTTCGAATACATTCTGAAAAATAATTTTAAACATGGAATATTGAAAACGTTCTATAATGAGGGCAAGTTCATGCTGGAAATTACCCTACATAAATCACTATTTCTTCTTGTTGCTCAAAATCCCCAATTTTTAATATAAAAAAGTTCAAAAATGTACTATATCGAATATAATGAGTTTTGAATGTATTCAAGATTCGATTCTTTTTTGACATCCCTGGCTACTGCCCTGTTTGAAACGCTGGCTTACCAATTGTGTGACATGAATAATGTGTTTGGGATGAATTAATTGAATAGAATGTGCTCATTTCATATATATTCAGATATCTTCGACATGCTGACAAAATAATTGTGATGAAAAATGGTAGAATCGATCAGATTGGAACTCCCGATGAAATATTGCAATTGTCACCGATTACAAATAATAAGAAATTATTAGAAAGCAAAAGTAAATTAAGTGTTGGTATGTGAAAAAAGTATTTTATTACATTTCATTGGTATATGATTTCTGATAGTTTTACAAAAACGATGGTTCCTTCCTTCAATAATAGGCAGTACTTCTAAGGTTTCATTTTATTGTTGAATGAAGTTTTCTCAATTCCACCATAATATTACCAGAACTCAACATTAGGATTTGCAGAATAGGATTTTCATGTTTATCCCAGGAGAGAAGAAAAACCATAACATGGCTTAATCATATGGCGAACCACGGCCTCTCGTTCAAATTCCAGTCCATGTCGGATATGGAATTAGTTAGCCAGTTATTTGTTTCACATGTATGGACTTGATGGTGAAGAAAGACGTTGATTACATGACCAGTGATTACATTAACCGACTCAAGGTAGTGAGGAGTCCAGCAATTTTCTCTTGCATGGATTCGTACCTGCGAACTCATGCAAGGTAATCAGAGGTACAATTGCAAGTGTATCCCTAAAACAGTTTTCTTTTTTTCATTTTGATTGCAGCCTCAAGTTTTTCTAATGACTCTCTGTCAAGTGATGTAGAATCAAAAACTAGATTGATGACAGAAGAAGAAAAAGCAGTAGGAACAGTCGCGTTCTCTGTCTATAAATCATACTGGTTGGCAATAGGATCATGTTTGGCATTTTCTATACTCGTTTTTTTATTATTAATGCAAGGTTAGTTTATATATATTTTTGCATCCTGTGTAATGTCCTATAAAATGAATCAGTATTTGAATCGATTCAGAAATAATTATGAAATAGGATAGGATTTTGATATGTATCCTAAAGGAAATGTGAACCGATGAGACGATTCCATCATATAATGTACCACGACCCTATTTCCCTTCACCAGTCCATGTTGGGTATAGGATTAGTTAGTCAGTTATTGGATTCAGATGCATGATCTTGATGATGGAGGAAGTTGTAACTGACCAGCAGTTACATGAACTACCGGTACCTTACGGCAGCAAGGAGTCCAGCATCTTGATTCTAGAAATAGATTTAATTTGAAAACATTTTAGTTTTACAGTACAACCAGAAAGTCCTTCTTTATTTTCAGAAAATTATAAAAAAAAATGGAAATAGAGATCATAAAATATTATTTTAAAATGTTTTAGGAATATCAGATAATTTGATTTTGGTCATTCGTTGTTGCACGGTAAACTATTCGTTTTTTTTTTAGGTTCAAAGGTTATGTCAGATTGGTGGTTATCACATTGGGTGACTAATATGAAACCTAACGCCAGTATTGATGGATTGTATTATATTTCACAACATGGTGCTGGAAATTTGTATTTCACCTCATTGCATCCTCAGTTCAATCAACCATTGTCTATTTCTATTACTACCTATACTACATTTCTAAAAGGTATCAATCTAATGTAAAATCAACTTTAAATTTCATTTTTCACATATTTAAAAAAAGTTATATTTACACCCCTTCTTGAAGCACATACATTGAGCAAAACTCAGTAGAATTTTTTAATATATGCCGAGTGAAATCTCAATTTTCTCAGATGGAAACTGATGATTTGGCTTCATATTATTTCTTTTTCACATGATTTTACAATCATGTTGGTAAATTCCCATTTTGTAACAAATTTTCTTTAGTCTAACATTACAACAACAACCGAACTTTGGCAAATGATCACTAGTGTGAAAGTCTTGAAGCATAACCATATCGGAAATAAGTCAAATTTTAATATAACTTTACATTTTTCAGGAGTAGATTTTGTCTCATCAATGTCATATGATACAAAGTGGTATTTGATGATATATGGATGTATCGCTGCTTCAAATAGTTTATTCACTTTGTTCAGATCATTCTTATTTGCATATGGTGGAATAAAAGCTGCTCACGTATTACATAGCGCATTGTTGAAAGGTATACTTCAGGTAGGAATCTGTTCAAAACCATCCATTTAATCTATCCCTATTCAGGTATATAAATGGTGAATTTAACATAAGGTTGAGAGCTACTGAACAATGATTAGTGATGTATTTAAATGCATTTTTTTTTGTTTTTCTCATTATAGCTCAGTGCTTACCAACTTGTGTCTTCAAATTCTTCTCTTCGCCTATTTTGAAACTCACATTCCTCCTTGCTATGCATTTAAATCATTTGTTCAATCTTTAATGGATCCTTATCAAGTGTTATGCGCAATTTGCACTCCCGCTTTTGTGCAGTTTAAGAAATTTATTATGTGTGCTTAAATAAGTAATATAGTAATAATGAAGAACTAAAGAATATTATTAATACTATAGCTGTCTGGACCATGACAGCGTATTTTCTATTATTATTGGTTACAAAGTCTATCAATTTCATTCAATTATTTATCTCAAAGGAATTTATTATGTCTTAGGATTGCTATATCAGTGTTTCAAACAGGGCAGTAGCAAAAATATCTGAGAAACCCAAATTTTGATAACAACAACTTCAGACTACAATTCGGAGTATTGACTCCGGGAATTCAGAATTACATTTTTTGGATTAGTTATTTAATTGAGATATGAGTGATGTTCTCTTGTTTTCCATTAAACTAAATATCTTATTCTTGAGTTCCAGATTTTTTACCTTGAACTTCATCATAATTTTCAGGCACCAGTTTGTTTTTTTGATATCACGCCTGTTGGAAGAATTCTGAATAGATTTTCTAGTGATACGTACACTGTTGACGATTCTCTTCCATTCATATTAAACATTTTTCTTGCACAACTTGTTGGTGTTATTGGTACAGTTGTTATTACGTGTTATGGACTACCATGGTTTGCAATTGCACTTGTTCCACTGGGTGGATTTTATTTGTATATTCAGGTAGGTTGAAAGACCATATTTCTATCTCAATTTTTTTTTTATTTGAAAAACTGAAGTTTTTATGACTTGTATGGAAATTTTGTTAGCATTGCATGTCAGAGATGTCTCTGTCCGCCCAAACACATTAGCTGCATACATACGAATGACTGCTTATATAAAGCATTATCAGGACAATGTTATGGAACGTTTCATAAATAATTTACTGTATAGCTCCCAAATTATTCTGTATTGAAGATACAATATGATTGTATTCCTACCTACCGGTACTTTATAGAGGATGATGTAATAACACAGGTAATTTTTCGTTATTCTTAGCATTACTACAGGCTGACTTCGAGGGAGTTAAAAAGATTGGGTAGTATAAGTTTATCACCTATATATGCTCATTTTACTGAAAGTTTATCTGGACTTTCAACTATTCGTGCTTTCAGAAAACAAGACGATTTTAGGTAATGTTCTACTGTATTGTTTCAGTTGACCTATCGTATGGTAACTCTCGTCCAATATGATAATTGTGATATAAAATACATGTTTATGGATGTGGAACAACATTTTTTATCGTTGTGTCTCAGCTTCCATCAGTTGTCTTTCTGTCAATGAAATTTAAAACAGCACAGGTTCAAAATATTTCCCAGCTATATGAAGAAATTCAATTTTCACAAATTTTCCATATTCCTTATATATGCATCCTGTAGTATAGGAAATGCTATACGTGAACATCAGTCCCCTTATCACTAATTGCGCTATTTGGAAAGATGACTGGTTAAGCATAACAGATTTTTGGACAAGGTTGAAGTAAGATTCCAGTTCTTTCGTTCCTAATCATTTTCTGTGAGGTTCAAAATTGCTTAGCCAAATACAGTGGTTGGTTTCTAGTGCTTGGAACGATGTATTCTCCTTCAAGCCGATTTGAAATAATATTTGATAATTCAGAACTAAAAATTTGGATTTGGTGACTGCTAATCAACGTTGCAATTTTTCGACACTTGCTGCTCAAGAATGGTTTGGAATGAGGTTACAGATGATTGGTGTTGCTATGGTGACCTGTGTAGCATTTGTAGCTGTAATAATGCATCAGAATCAGTCAGTGTCACCAGGTAAAAAAGTTTTTGTCAACCAATTCATGATGTTTTCTAGCATCGATAAAACAACTTGCTAAATGAATGAAGTTACTAATTTTGTTTTAAATATCTAGAAATATTAGTATGAATATCATTGACTGTTTCTATGTCACACAAATGCACGGTTATCATATTTTTTGATAGCTTGAATATGATATGAAAAGCTTGTCAAAACTTGTTATTCATAAAATTGCTAAACTACAAAAAAATAATTTTGAACTTGTTAGAAAATAGTTGAAAACAAAATAATTTAGAAAGACATTAGTATTTATCGATGAAATTGGGGCTTTGCAATTGTTGCTGGTGTTCAGATCAGTGCCATAGACTCAGGTTTTAAATTTCTCAGTGAAATTTCAAAACTGAAACTTGTAAAAGCTTGCAAATGGCAGCAAGTTCTTGTGATTAGAATTTTGTTATCGCAGAAGAATTGAGTTGTAGTCCCCAATTCAAATTTTTAAACCAGTGCTGTTTTTTTTCTTGAGTTGCACCAGTATATAGAACAGTGTACTATCGTATATTTCTGTTTATTAAGGTCTTGCAGGTCTGGCGTTATCTTATGCACTATCTGTAACAAGCTTGTTATCAGGTGTGATAACATCATTTACTGAAACAGAAAAGCAGATGGTTGCTGTTGAAAGGGAATCTTATTATATTAATAATATTCCAAAGGTTCGTGTACACTGCAGTTTAATATTTTTATTACACAATAATTGTCGCATTGTCCTAAGCGCCAAGCACCTTATTCACCTTGAGTGGTTTTTCCGGTTAGAAGCTTTTAGGAGGGCTACAGTCTGTGATACTGATGTACCTTATGGTTAAGCCACCAAGCCCACCATATTGGGTTTCTTCACGCTATAAAATATTAAAAACCTACCCACTCTCTGTCTTCTATTATTCCAATCTCTCGAGATAATTATGAAAATACTCCCCCATCCTACAACTCATTGATTTCTCTATTACACAATATGAAGTATGGCAAAGGGGTTTTTGTGAATTTCAACTTTCTGCCTTGCTCAGGAAGAAGATATGCAGACTTCTGACGTGAATATAATGAATCAATGGCCAAGTGGTGGTACTGTGGAGTTTTCTAATGTCAGTTTGAGGTATAGAGAAGGATTACCACTGGCACTGGAAAAGATATCTTTTGATATAGGTTTGTAGTCATTTATTTTAACAAAATACACAACTTCAAGCATTTCAGTACTTTGCAAATGATCACATTACTACAATTGTGAGCTGTTTATACCCTTTTAAGTCATGCATCCTTTTGAGTTGTTCTGATGCTATGGCAAATTTCATTCTTCACTAATCATGACTTTTCCCTTATTGCTATCAATTGCCAAAATTAAACACTTGATTCCAGTTCTTCTCAATAATAATTAGCAGGGCTCCCGAAGTATGCGAACCAAGATGGCGGACATCGGAATGTAATATGTGTACTAGGTTAGGGTTAGGCCATAATTTTAGGTATAAATACTACGAGAGGCTCTTGGCTAGTTTTTGAACTGATAATAGGACCAAAATAAGGAAAATTGGAAAAAAATTATCGCCCAACCCTAACCTGTTACCCATGTTACGTTCCGATGTCCGCCATCTTGGTTCGCATACTTCGGGAGCACCTAATTAGCTCCTTACATTTCATTAAACGTCAGGGGATGTTTATACCTTGTTTGAAGTGAAAGCCATGATAAGTGTATTACAAATAAAAATATAAAAAATTATAAATTTCAGAGACTGGTGAGAAAATTGGAATTGTTGGAAGAACGGGAAGTGGAAAGTCAAGTCTATTAATGTTATTGTTTGGAATGGTGGATTCTAGTGAAGGAAATATATTTATAGATGGAATTAATACTAAAGATGTTCCATTACAAGTACTGAGGTTAGTAATTGTTGATATAGGTTGCATTTTGATTAATATCTATGAGAATTGTTCCATTCATGTAACTTTTTATATCATTTAGGTTTGAATAATTGGGGATTTGATAAGGCACAATGAGTTGATGCTTAGCAATTTATGACAAAATTTTTAACTAACCTAATATGGTGCGGTCATCACCTTTATTGTTGTGCGAAATTTTGTTCGTATTTATTAAGTATATATCACCTTTTATTGAAAATAAATCACTTCATTAAATGCTCTCACAAATTACACTCTCTCGAAATAGAAAGTACCGGGGTCCGGGAATCATAAACAGAAATAGCATAATCTCATTAGGTTGAACAGCATGTGTATTTGCGAGCTTTCATTTGGATTGGATGGTTACCACGTCAAGCAATTAAGCCAGCTATATCCAATAAGATAACTTGCTGTTTTTATTCATGGAAAGAAATTTTGGTCCTCCTACTTTTATTTGGAACATTCCGAAATATAATTTTATCATTAAATTTAGGTCAAAGCTCTCAATCATTCCACAAGATCCATTCCTCTTCAGTGGATCAATAAGAGAAAATTTAGTTCCAGACTTGGAAGCTGAAATTGATGATGATAGTTTAATAACTGTATTGGAACAATGCAATCTAAAAGATAAAGTATACGAAATGGGTGGCCTTCACACAAATGTTGGTGAGCGTGGCAAAAGGCTCTCAGTTGGACAAAGGCAACTTCTATGTCTGGCTAGAGCATTGTTGAAAGATACAAAAGTAAGTGTGGTTGTAGGTGCAATCAATCATGTAAACTGAATCTTTAATTTTATATTTAAAAAATTTCAGATTGTTTGTTTGGATGAAGCAACTGCAAGTGTTGATGGTGAATCTGATGCAATGTTACAAAAAACTATTAAAGAACAGTTTGCAGATAGAACAGTTTTAACAATTGCTCACAGGTTGCACTATTTTTAAGCTGTCTAAAAAATTTGTAATTGAATGGCTTGAATCAGGGCTATGGAAAATTTACAATTAACTCCCGAAATTAGGTCGTAAAACAAGCCTCGAATTCTAGTTTTGATAACAAAAACATTGGCATATGAAAGCTTCCTCCATCAGACTGCTAAACACCGCTTAGTAAACTTAATGCTTTATGGGTTTCTAAATAAAATTTAGACCTTTAAAAGTATGAAATTCCAACACTTGAGGATTGAATATCTCAACTTTATCTCGACTTTAGTGAAAAGATGTCAAAAATCAACTCAGAAACAGAAATGGTTTGAATTTACTGAAACATTCCTTTTTACTTGTTCATTTTGTACTAAATAGATATCACCTTGTTTTAAAGCTAACCCTTTTGATTAGCCTATGTTTTGCGATTGATGTCTTTGTTTATACTATATCGTAATGAACTTATAATATTGATTCAGAATCGAAACAATAATGGATTGTGATAGAGTTCTTGTAATGGACGATGGGAAAGTTGCTGAATTTGGACCACCAGATCTACTTATGACAAACTCTGACTCTTTATTTTGTAAACTAGCTCGTGGAAGCAATCCTACTAATATTTGATATTTCAGTGCAATATTTATTTAACACTAAGTATTCCAATAAAGATGATTTAAATAAGTATTTTACACTGTTTGCTTCGTGCTATTGGGGGTAATTGTTAAAACAAATAAACTTGGCAATATCGTGCGTGAGAGGTCATGGACTCGTCTGGTAGTTATCTCTATCAATTTTGGCTTCATTCCCAATCAAAGTACAGTGATAACTCTGTAATCGAACGACTCGGCACTATACCAATTCGGTAGTGGACATTTCATTGTTTGTGGAAATAAATCTGTCTCTCTCTCGGACCAAAAATTTAGAGCAAAAAATGCTGCAGTAGAGGAACGGGAACTCTGATCTCAAACGCCTGTGCCGAGTAAGATGGCGCCACACCAAACCATGCATCTCGGCTGCCGCTTAACCATTCAACAGCCCAATGAACATATATATATGCTCATTGAACAGCCATAGTACAAGTCAGAATTACCCGGTATGTATGCGATCGAATCGCTGCTCAAAGGTACAGTAAATGATACAAAAAATTATCTTTATTATGCACAGATTCAAATAATTATTGTTGTTTTGGTACACGTTTATCAATATTTTGCATTAAAATAATTAACATGTTTTTTTATGGCAGAAAAGTAGTACAAAAAGTTGAAGTAGAAATATAACGATAGCATGGATGGAAGTTTGATCTCTTTGCCGCGTTTGTCCCATAACTGCATACTTCACTTGTACAAATCAATAATACGTCCATGCATGGGGTATACCGTATTGCTGTCATATTCGTGCTAAAACACAAGAAATTTCACGCAGCAACGAGTTTGTGGACGGGCGTTAATCACGCTTGGCAAAAATTAAAAACGAGTCAATTTGAAACAGAATAAAAACGACGACTCTCTGGCGACTTCTACCATCTTTGGGCACTAAAATCGATTGGTCCTCTAGTTGCAGAGGACAGTGATTTTCCCCAATAAGAAAGTCGCCCCAACAAGACTGACAGGATCTTTATAATGCAAAACATGATGAACTCTTCGTATTAAAAAAATACTTTTGTTTTAAAACTTTTGTTTTTCTTGAAAAGGCAGCCTATTCCAAAAAGCCATGCTCTTAAAAACCTATTTTAAAAAAAGAGTTTTCCACAACCACCTCCTAAATTTTTAAGCGCTCCATCCAAAGTAACATTTTATGTAACACTACACCTTTACACTGCAGAAATGAAGAATTTACCGCGTGGATATTTTTCCACAACCACCTCCTAAATTTTTAAGCGCTCCATCCAAAGTAACATTTTATGTAACACTACACCTTTACACTGCAGAAATGAAGAATTTACCGCGTGGATATTTTTCGAGTGATTGGCAGCTTTACAGTGGCCAAGGTAACCGCCCGGCCGAGCAAACGGTTGCGTATCGTCAGCTTTTGTTTGTCGATGGAGTTTCCCATTTTCATTGTTACGAATGGAAATTATGTCGAGACGTGCTCGACTCGTATATCGAGTGCGTGTTATTTATTTTCTCTGATATTAAGATAGAAGTGCTGCTTCCAAAGACAGGCTGTGGTCTTTCGTCATATTCAAAGTGACTATAGTCACTTTGGTCATATTATGCGGTAGAATAAGGTACGTTTGGGTTGCGAGATTTCTCAAAAACGACGACACAGAAATCCACGAAAATGGCAGATGCTGAGTGTAAAATTGAATTGCCTTTAATTGATGCAATGGATAGATTACCTGAAAAGTCGTTTGATATAGAAGCAGTCAAAGATTGCATTTTATATGACATGGATCGGAAGCCCGTTTATTTTGCTGACCTTATTGACCCCAAATATTCTTCAATTATATTTGTTTTTATACGTCATTTTTTGGACTACGTCACTCGAGAGTATGTTGAAGATTTTTCAAAAATATTCCCTTATACCCTGGAAGAAAGTCGGACAAAAATCATATTAATAGGCTGTGCACCAGCAAGATTTATTCGCCAATTCATAGAAGATACAAGTTGCCCTCATCAAATATATTGTGATTCGAGTAGGGCAATACATACTTGCTTGGGATTTCACACAGTGCCAGTTGAAACTCCAGTTGCACAAAGTCCTCATATAAAATCTAATTCATTTATTGGATTTTGGCAAACTGTATGGCGAGTAATGAAAAGTCAGACAGAGCAAGGATCGCCATTTCAAATGGGAGGACAACTGATTATGAATAATGAAGAGAAAATATTATTTTTTCATCGAGATCGTCATCCGCTTGATCATACTCCGATTAACGAACTTTTATCAGTCATTGATCTTCCTCGGATCGACTTTTGCACAAAATATAAAATTAAGCATGTTTAGTAAGGCATTCATTCTTGATTTTCAATGCAGTTACACGCCCCTTTATTTGAACTTTATGTTTTATACTTTTAGCATAACTTCTAACCTCGGAAATTTTACATTAATTTTTAGAGGTAAAATTTGGAAACTGTTTAGCTTGCTGCAGATAATTATAAATTATGTTTTTGCAATATGTTAAACCTTTTGATTTGTTCTTATTTTCATGGATTTGAAACTTGCAGATCCTTTTCCATGTGACTCCTAATACACTGAATATTTAAATTTATAGATTTGACATGGACTCTCCACTGTGATCGGGACTACATAATAAATTATCAAATAAGAATCAGTTTATTGTTTAAGATGATTGGGATTGGTTTCAGAATATCTGACATTAGCATATAGAACTTCTGAACTATTGACTGAAATTTTGACAGGTATTTGTGAGGTCTTCTAAAATCCAAACAGGCGTTGATTATAAACTTCCTTTAAAAAGTCGCCATATATCAATCAAGTACAATATTTATTTCATTAAAAGCGCATTTGAACCCAATATCAACTAGGTGCATAAGACCCGTCTGGTTGAAGTGATTCATATACGCATGGATTGTTCTATCTAGCTCCATCTATCAGAGATTGCAATAAAACTAAGACAGTTGCAACCCCAGTTAATCTCGAGCTCAATATAGTCTACCGATACTTCGCTAATCTAATATGAGAAATACATTTCAATCTTCATGTTTATTTGATACAAAGGAAAATATATATAAAAATAATAGGTAAAAACTAGAAAGCTCAATAAATTTATCAGATATATAAAAGTATATAAAATTTAGGAAATATATACAGAAAATCAGGGTATACACGGTTGTTTACCAGCAGGCAGCAAAAGGGCATTTTATTTGATGGGTTATGCTGGCAACTGGCCATTGATTGGCCATCATCATTTTTTGGTATTTCAATTATCAGTTTGGTATTAATTAGCACATTTGGCTTGTATATAAATTTGGCGCCTTTTCTCTTTTGTCACCTAGAAAAACGAAGGCAGTGCATGCAATTAAGTACATTCAAGCTATGCACAACTATCATTTCAAGTTGTGAAAGTCCCAGTAATTGGTGGTGTGTAACAATGTCCTTGCTTTGGCACAAGTTACAGAAAATATGTCAACAAAATCTAAATAGAATATAAAGCATATGAAAAACAACTCAACAAGCGACCATTTAAACAATAATATTATCCTTGTATAAAGTTGTATCTTGGGAGTATTTCAGATTGACAGGGCTAGAAAATAGCTCTGTCCATATTACACAAGTGTCTTGGCAGGTATAATTTATTCTCAACATGCTGTATTCTAACAACTGTGGTTTAGTCCTCCATCAAGCATGTGCAATTCCTGATATTCTTCTTAAATACGATGGAGATGAAACAGGTAATTGTAAATTTCTACTAGGAGGCGATACAAAAGAAGAACTTTTTCGAGTTCTCCAGGGACGTGCAACTGGTGGTGTTGGTTTGAGCCTCTGCTGTTGTCTCGTATCTGTCAAAAATAGGTCAGATTATATAATAAGTTAAGAAATGAAAAACCAGGTAAAATCTTTGCAAAATTGGTAAGAGTTCTGAATATTGATCAATGGGTATTTTGGACACCGTCCCAAAAGAAATTATACATCAAGAGAGGAGCATCTTTAGGCCAAATACATAAGAAATTTGCATCTTCATCCTCAGTCCTCGAACTACGATTGAGATAACCTTCCAGGTTTCTTACAAATATGCACAATTAAACAATATACATGACAGTGGAATAAATGTTCATTTCATCATAATATTGATATATTCACCTTTTGGTCTTCTGCTATTGACATTATCTAAGAATCCAGTTAAAACATTCATTTCAGAATTGAGTTGATCTGATATTCCAGTTAATACTTTACATCTGTCTTTTGTTTCCATTTGTAAATCTTTGATTCCTTCCAAAATTTCATCATCCTGATAATGAAAAGTAATGTTCGCAAATACATGTCATACACATATACCGTATATCATGTGTAAGTCCAGGTAAACAGAACAAAGATTTTAAGAGCTGATAAATTTTTATTCCTTTGATTATGTGCAAGAATGCACTGTGGGTCATGGAATGTACAATCTAGCCAAGCAGACAACCTTTTCAGCACCATGATGGCGTGTCTGAAATTTGCGGATGCCTCAGATAAAGTGTTTGTGTTTCCCTGTAGTTTGGTTTATAGTAATGCTATTGGTTTCTCTTTATTTGCCAGCTAGACCACAATGACAGATAATTTGATTTCGCTATTTTGTTTTTACTTCATACATTTAAAGTTAATAGAACCCATAAAATGTTTCTGCATGTTTCCCACTGGCCTAGCCTTAGCATTTCTTATATTATCTCTTATAGCAGGGCTACTCAACTGGCAGACCGCGGGCCGAATCCCGACCTTTCAGGTATTTGATTCAGACCGCACCTAATTCTTTATTTTGGATCATTAACCCCACTTATGAAGTTTCCTTTTATAAAATGACTTTTATAGTTTTGAATATACATGAAAAGAACTATAACACCATAATAAACAATCTTGATTAGCTAATAATCAAGTGCGCGTTTAAGGATGTGGATATATAATTTCTGGAAAGACCGGACTCACGTAATTTTGAAGTTTTGCATGCAAATCTTCGGTAGCCCTGTCTTATAGTAATGGTTCTATAACAGAATTCATCAGCCAAGAGTTATCATTAACAAAAGCGAGTTCAAGCCAATACAAGTTATATTATAGAAATACATTCTGCTTCTTTATTTAGAGATTTAATTAATCCTCTGTATTATCCCAAATTTTACCTGTTGAGCAGACTCTTTTTCCATGGCAATACAGACATCCCACGCAGCCGTGAATCTTCTTTGTAATTCATTCAATTCTTTGACAAGAAATTCTTGATAATAACCATGAGCTTTGATATCCATTCCTATATCTACCACCAGATCCTTCTTTATTTCACATGACTAAAAATATTTTTGTAAAGAATTGAGAAATTATAATTGCAAATACCAGCAGATATGATTTCGAAACGAACGTCAATAATGAGATATGAACATTAATAGAAAGTATCTGTAGAGTATACAGATGGCATTTGCAGATTGGTTACATACTGGCATTTGCACCTGGTTATATACCAGGTAAGATCCATGTAATGAAGATTGTAATTACATAGAAAGTTGGTTAAGTCACTAGCACATCAGTGTGGCTATGAAGAGTATGGTGCATATTGAATTCAACCTGTTTATATAACTGGTTTATGATCCCAGATTCAAGCCATGATTTATTCTGTAACACTATCCACAGTATCAACCAAATTGTAGTGATTTGAACAAGCTACGGCAAAATTGAAAAACTGAAGTCTGTACCAATCTGCTAAGGACTAGAGATGTACCGATATATCGGGATCGGCTAAAAATATACCGATATTTCCGATATATTCAGCTCTTCGATCTGGATAAGTTAGTAGGCGAATAATAATTAATACCTGAAGTTAGTTTTGACGCGAAGCAAGCATAATGTTTTACTACAATTCAGAACCTAATAATGTTTTTAAATTCCAGTTAGCATGAAATATACTTAGGGCGTTATAATGCAATTAAAACTAACATGCCGCTCAAATACAAAATATGACATTGTACCTCACTGTACTTAAGTTTTAAAGTTATTGGTATCGGTGAAAAAGGTGGTATCGGTACATCTATAGTTAGGAGTGCCTGTATATGTTAATGTTAGCTTTGTCGGAACTTTCAATTAACTTACAACACAAGCTCATTGTTAAGGTGTATGGTCTGAAGATAATAACAATACAAAAACAACATAAAGTGTCTTCTTAGTCATAGTTTCAATAATATCTACGTACGATTGAAAATTTCTCGTTTTCTTCAACAACATTTTCAAGCTTCTGTGTTCTGTCATAGATCTCTGCTTCTTGTAATTTTCTCTCTTGTGCACTTTCTCTTAATTGTCCAAGCATTGAGATTCTGCACTCTTTAATATCCTCCTTCAATTTTTCCTGGTAATATTTAGATAAAATAAAGTCAAAATAGGAATTCTTATGAAAGAACTTGGATTGCAAAGACTTGTGTTTAAAATGGTTTGTCAAAATTCAATACAACATAGTTAAAACTTCATTCTCCATTCCTTAACAATCCATATGATAGAATGGGATACACATATTTAACCTTAAGGAAAGAAAAGCTATTAAGACAGCTTAACTATATGGCAAACCACGACCTCTCGTCCGGTTACCAGTCCATGTTGAGTGGGTATGGGATTAATTCGTCACCCCCTGGATAAGTATGGAAATCCTATCTTATCCTATGATCCATTGTACACATGTATTATTGTACACAAAGTGTATATATGGATCGTTTTCCTATCTTGTTGTTGTTGCTCTTGTTCTTAATCTAGGTAATATTACTGGACCAATTGCTTTGAATTTTTCAGTGGTTAAAATTGTATTTTTTGCTAAAAGTCTATTACTTTCTGAAAATCAGATTCGTTTGTTGTGTGCCATGACGTCATGAAAAATTGAGAACCTGCTGTTGGTTCCAGGTTCGTGTTAGCCAAATTGCGATATCGGAGATATACTGTGACAGATTGCATATCCGTACTACTTTGTTTCGGCCTTTGTGTCCATTATATATATATATATATAGATATCGCTCTTTTGTCTTATCCATGAAATAGTATAAATGATACTTACATGTGGCTTAGCTAGTCTGTCAAGCATGACTTGTGTTCTATTGATTTGTTCTTGAACACTTTTTTGTTTGTTTCTGACAGTAACAACCTCATTCTTATACACTGAATATTCATTTTCAACTTCTTCCAAATCTGCTTCCAATTCAGTAAGGACTGGCTTCTTATCTATAATTTAAATGGTGAAAAGTTTAATTTTACTTCAGGCTTTCTCAATTTGGGCCGTTGATCCCCCAAACTGGCTGCATAGTCGTAGCCTTTACTATGCACCATTAGCGAACTACGACTACTTTAAAGCAAATTAACTTTGCATTTATTCTTTTACTTAGTTTGTAGGTTTTTTATTATTAAACATGACAAATAAAATAATTTATTGAAACCTGTTAAAAAAACAGGGTTTTATTTTAGCGGGGCCATGTTGTGTTGAGATTCTTCAGAAGGGCTACGGATCATGAAAAAATTCGAGAATCTCCGGTATTGGCATTTTCCCACAGTTTCTCTACTCACTCATCTACTACCAAAGCTCTGAGTGAACACAATTTCTTGGTCTTGAAATACCATACGCTTGATTGGAAGGTTGACTTGGTTGTGCACTGAACAAACCAAGGCTGGAACCTAATAAGCTGAATCAACCATCGGTTACATAAACCACCCTGAGGCAGTGAGAAGTCCTGCAATCCTCCCATGTTCTTACAGTGAGCACAATACGCCAACCGCAATGCAAAGAGATGAAACATCATGAGGCAGTGAGGAGTCCAGCAATCCTCTCACACATAAGCATGTTACTAACAAATATCACGATGTGCCAACCGTAATGTACAATGATATAAATACCTTAATCAGTTGAATGAACTATATTGAGTAGCTCTGTATATTACAATAAGCAATCACTCACAGTCTTACCTTCAATATATTTTTCTTTTTTAATGTTCTCTGTTGCATAAAGTTCAATACTGGTTTTCAGTCGTTCAATCTCCATCTCCATTTCTTTTCGCATTCTAACAAATCCCTTTTCTGCTAAATCCAACTGGATTTTCAAATTCTTGGATTTTTTCTTATTATTCGAAACAGCTTGCTTATACTCGGTGCTCTGTAAGAAATTGAAGAGCAAAATTGTATGTACAAATCATTGCATTTCTCTACGGTATTAAAATATATCTTTATCAGGATGACATATCTGCGTAGTGTATCATTGGGAACTTGAAACTTTTTCACCGCTGGATCTATCAAAATGTTACACAATTCAATCAGAGTTCTATTTCACTGAGTGAAGTTAATACATTCATAGCATGACATGCAAATGACATTTAAAATACTTTAATTTTTTCCCTTTTTATAAAATGTAATCATAAAACTTAGAAAAGAGAATTATTACCAGTATACAAAATAAGAATGGTAAAAGCGTAAAGTAAATGTGACTTCATCATAGTTTTAGTACGGCTGAAAATAACATTAATAAATGATACTAGAAAGATTCTGGTGTTACCAGTGCCATACATATCGTTAGACTATCAGGGCCTTGTTCAGAGTAGAAAGCCGCACCACATAAAAAAGTAATTACAATCCTAATTATTTACATTTATTATTAATTAAACATCTACAACTATCTACAATTCTGATTCTTTACCTGTTCCACTAAAGATTTATGTTTTCTTCTTCCTTCTTCTATTTTCTTTGTCATGTTATTCATAAATTGAACTTGTTCTGATCGGAAATCATCAAGAACTTTTTCTGTTTCTTCACGATCTTCTTGAGCTTTCATTCTGTGAAAAAAATAGTTTCTCAATTTACAATTAGACTCAGTACCAGAAGTAAACAAACTATTGGCAGATTTTTAATGCCAAAAAGAGTATTGTGATCAAAAATGTCCAAAACGGATCAAAACTAGAATCGACTCAAAATTTAGCATATTTGGCTTATTTGCTATTTTAAATTCTAACTCGAGTGATAGTCTATAATAGCTTCATTTAAAATGAAAACTTGTTTTGATCAATCAAAATCTCTTTGTGTGAACAAAAAAGCCTATAACTCCTGAAAATATAAAAAAATATAAAACAAATCAAATCACTGTTTACCAAAACTTTTCAAATTCGAATTCATTGATATATATTGGCTTTTTTTCTCTTTGAAACATGATCCAATATAGAATATATTCGATTTTCCATATTGGAAACTATTGATTCGAATTAAAACTATAAAATTACCTCTCTACAGTTTCGGCATCAAGATTGGCTTGATATTCCATGATTTGTGCATTGAATGTTTCCATAGTTGCACTAAACACAAAAAAATGAAATAATAGTTAGATTCATCAAACCGACTTTTTAATTTGATTTATTCTCCTTTATGCAAGTATCTTCAAAGATAAGATAGGATTTTACATAATTATCCAGTATTCAGTATCCAATATTTATCCATACTTAGCCAGTTAGTTGTTTCAGATGCATGGACTTGATAGTGGAGAAAGGCTAACTGACCAGCGATAACCCTGCGGCGCTGAGGTGTCCAGTAATCCTCTTGCACATAATTATTCCACACAGGGTTCCAAATCTGCGAACCAACATGGAGTAATCAGGCGCTAACGCTCAGCATGATTTTGATGTGTAACACACCTGTGATTTTCATTCAACGTTGAAATATCTTCTTGATATTGTGTATTTTCATGAGACAAATGAGCTGCTTTCTCAATCAAACTCGTGGTCTTCGCTTTCATAATTTGCACCCTGATAATTGAATAAGGCAAAAAATATTTTGTAGATTTAAAAGAACTATAACAGTAAATGAAATCTGCAATTCTATAATTACAAATATTAAAAAGTTTTTTTGAGTTTAAAATTTACTTACTCTCTTGCTATCTCTCTAACTGATGCTTGATGTTTTGATTTCAATCTTAATTTTTCTTCTTTATGGAGAAATACTTCATCTTTCTCTTTTTCCAACTTTCGATGTATCTCCTCTACGTCATATATTTCAACACCAACCTGTGTGAATTAGAACATCAAATCCTATTTAAATTTCAGAACAGCTAATGTCACACATTTTTGAAAGAATTCCCCCAAAGCATGTTTAGGCACAGGTAAGGACTTATTTCTGAGCGAAGTTACTAGCAAACCACTGCTAATGAAACTATATGGTGGTACACCAGCAAATGCCCATTGACGCAAGATTCCATAATTTATTTATGGAACACACGGCCAGTAATGAGTGGGTGAAATTAGCTCATTAAAATGTCCCACATCTTCGAGTCAATAACATAGAAACTTATAATTTATACTCAGCCATAACCATTGTTCCAATATTCACCAGAGTCGATTGAATTTGGTTTATCAAGAATGTAATGCATTATTGCAAAAATTTGGAAAATAGTCATGAAGGGGTTTTTTGGGGACCAAGATCAAAGGCCATTACTAGCATTCACGATGACTACATTAATCCAAGGTATATTGACTGTAATTTGATGAACTCTTTGTCTGTAGAGAATATTTTTTGCTCTTGTTCATATCCTTTGTATTATGAAACTTTGCACATAAAATGCCTGATGGAAACATGTTGAAAGCATAACTAAGTATAACATAAACATAAATATTTATAGAACAGCAGGGGCCACAACTCACAAGTCTTTAAGTGTCTTTGGAAGAGAGACACAATTATGAAATTTGACAACAACTGTTCTAGATATTCTCAGATCGGCTATTAATATTTCATCTGCTATATAGGATAAAATTTTTAAACAAAAGAATACACAAGATGGTACAAATTATGATAATTAATACAGAGCACGATATCTTATAATATACAATGGTGATAGAATGATACAATTTAATCCATCATCCATTATGGGCATACCTGATTAAGTTTCACTTCCAGCTCTTGTATTTTTCCATTGAAACCCATTGCCTGTTTGTCTCTTGCTGCCTCCAATATTGCACTGTAATATTGAAACCTTCTCTAAAACTTTTGTATCAGGATAGCAAGAGTATCTAATTCTGTAATCCATATAGCTTCAATATTAGCCTCTCATCCGTTTACCTGTCCAAACATCTAGCGGGTATGTGAACCACCCTACGGCAGCGAGAAGTCCAGCAATCCTCTTGCACATAATCTACCCCCATGGGTTCCAAACTGGAAAACTCACACAGGCTAATCAGAGTTGTGATAACAAGCGTATTTCTAATGTCTAGCATGATGCCCACAGCTTGAACTTATTTTATAGGTCTACTACTATCCAGTATTTTTGGGTTACATTCAGTCCACATTGGAACAGGAAATTGTGCATAATACAAAGACGTAGTCAAGTATATATTTATCATGGTATATCAATACATTCAGTTAAACTTCAGTCAAACTCAATGTTGTTACTCACACTTCTTCAGCTGTCTGTCTGTTGATCATTTTCTCCCGATTCACAGTGTCAGCCAATTGAATGCTTTGCATTTCGAGTCTAGCCTTGGAATTTTCTGTACGCCTCACATCCTGTTAATAAATATCAACAATGGCACATCACGCAGGGTGTAATAAATTGGGTATGTGATGTCAAATTGGAAAAATTCCAGTCCTTCCAAAAATTATTGCTATCATTGACTTCTTGTACAGAGCCATGTTTGAAGTGTTGGTATAAAAAATGAAGTACCTACTTTACGAAAAATAATGTACCTTGATTGGCCAAATAAGGAGCATTGTTTGTTTATAATGACTGATACAAGGAAACACTGATTCAAATTATTATTAATATACCTTTAATACAACATCAAGCTTGCCCTCCATATCAAGAATTCTGTCCAATATTTGATCTGTTGATCTTAACATAAAAGTTACAAATCAGATTAAGCTATGCAGTAATATATTGGTTTAAATGCTTCTTATTAATCGTCAACACTCTTCGCTAAGCATTTAACAAATTCAAAATCAGAACTGACCTTTTCTCCTCTGTATTTTGCTGGTTCTGATGTATAATTGAATCTTCTGTTTTAGCCTGTAAGTGCAATGATATATTTGTTAGCAATAGTTGGCACCAAGTAATCAGATTTTGAAAAGAATCTCCAGCTCAACTCCAGCTCTTCAAATCTGCATGAAATTTGGACAAGAGTTGTAAATGCATTATGCACTCAAACTTATGAATTGATTCATTTGGTAATTTTTCATATGATTTTTTACATTTATCCTGGTGAAGAGGAAAGCTAATATGGCAGCCTATTGAAATCCTCTAACTCTCGTCTGCTAACTGATCCAGGCTGGGTATGTAAAAAACGAACCAACTAATTGTTTTTGATAAAAGAGTTGAAGCGTTAAACAAGTTGAAACCGAGAAGTAGTTATGATTGGACACCACTCAGCAATTATCTCGAACATAATCATCCCACACAAGATTCATAGCAGTTCAGCAACGTGGGCTAATTTGGAGACAATGCAGAGATATGTATATTCCATATCCCTAACACAGCCTGATTACAATCAATTGACATTTGATAATTCATTTTCTAATTCGAAGAAATTCTATCTACACTATTGCCAACTTTGTCACAAAAAACTGCTTTTACCTGTTCATATCAATAATAACTAAGCCATTTGAAAAAAATTTATCCAAAAATGCACTCATATTTGAAGATACCAAAATACAATTTTATTTCTTACAATATCCTGTTGCAATTCTGTTTCTTCAGTTTTAGACTCATGTCGAAAAATTGCCAAGTCTTCATTTAAATTCTTCATTCCAAGGTCAAATTCTTTCACATTTGATGTCGTCTCTCGTAAAATATCTCGTGTCTCGTTGAGTTTGATTTGTTTACTAAAAATGAAATAAGCGACTGTAAACTTGTCAAATAATTCAATCTGAGTAACCAATTAGTATTTTCAATTGAATGGATCTGCAAAAAAAATTAGAATAAAACCACATTTCGATACTGAAATAGTTATATGTTGACTTGACTGGAAAAAGTGTTATATTGGTATATTCCAGGGCTGTCAAGTCGATGTCTGGGATTGGGAGTTGTATTGGTTTGAGTATGCTTGGCTTGGCAGTGTGGTGCACCGTGCTAAAAGTTAGGAACATGCTCGCCGCCTCTAATTACCCGGCGCGGGTTCGCATGTTTGAATCTTGTGAGGGGTAAATATGTGTGAGAAGATTACTGAACTCCTTGCAACCAAAGAGTGGTTGATTCATGTAACCAGTGATCAGTTACAGCTTCCTCCACCATAAAATCCATGCATCTGCAACAAATAACTGGCTAACTATTCCCAAACCCGACATGGACAGGTAACCGGACCAGAGGCCTTGGTTCCCCATATGGTTAAGTCATCTTATAGGCTTTCCTCTCCCCCAGTCCTATTCTATCACACTACGTTTCTTACTCTAATTTTCTAGAGTCGGAATCAGGTAAAAAAAAACGAATTTTTTAAAGTTGGGAGTAGACATGCAATTGTGTTATAATAGTCAAAAAATGATGACAACTGAAAAGCATTAAGATATCTATGCATTTGAGAAGAATACTAAACTTGCATATGCCTGATTTTTTGTGGTTTCGGAGTTGGATGCAGATAAACTTTTCCTGAACCTGCAGTCAAGATCCAGAGTCAGATTCAATGTCAGCCAAAAGTTGAAGCCGGATTCATTATATAAATGGCTCAGTGTTTGAAGTCACAGGGTTGATATTCTTTTACTCAATAACCTGATATATTCAGTATTAGAATCATATATGATCCCATTTTAAACTCAAAGACTATTTACCTGGCTTTATCGGCCATTCTTTGGTTTAATGCAGCAATAATTTCATCATGTTGTCTTGTCACTTCATCACATTCAGGGATCAACCTTGCATTTTCAATTTGCAACATTTCCTGTCGTTTCAGTGATTTCTCTGTTTCCTCCGATGCTGTAACCATTTGTGCTTGCAAGGACTTCATAGTTGCTGCATTACTATTTCTTGCAGCCAGAACAGCCTCTGAAATCAAATACATTTCAAAATTTAAAGTTAAGAAATATTAGAGTTAAATGGATTGGTATTTATATAGAATAAATTTGAACCTATATTGAGTGGTTCAAAGTTCTAAATTATATTCTATGATACCTTATTCTGTTCATTTCTATATTTAAACCAAATGAGTTCTCTTTTCCTAACATTGTTATAAACTTCTTGACCGAGGAAATCTGATTTTGGCAAGACAAATCACTAGAGAATGTATTTTGTCAAAGTGTGATCGCTCTAGAAGTGAATTCTCTTCACTGACAGTGTATTTGGATCCACTTAGGCAAAGGCACCTGGATCAGTAGTGAAATACATTCAATCATAAATATCTATTTATCAAAAATAAATCAAATATATATCAAAAATTATATAACATCAAATAATAGAGCAGAAATCACAGGTTTATGGTTTGAGAACAATAACATTCAAAATCCAAGTCATAAGTTTACAATTTTAACATGTTTTATACAAAATGATTAAAATAGAAAACTCTACCTTCCAGTTCTTTCTGATATTCTGGTGGTCTTGTTCTTAATGCATGTCGTTTTACACTAGCATTGATTGTTTTGATTTCTAACTCATCATGCAATCGCAGTCTCTCAGTCTCCTATAAAAACCAATGTATGAGAAGTGGTTCAGAAATTACATTTTACTTACTGATCATAGCAATGTAAACTTGGTGATTTATATAATAATTTTCACAGTCACATAAAATATAGGTTTGAAGCAATTTATACCCAGCATTGTTTTCTTGTAAAAGCTAATATTAACAATAAATTAGTTACACAATAATCAGTTACAGTAAGATCAGTGGTAAAATATATTCCTTTGAAAAAGTTTCTATTTTGAATAAGTGCTTGTGACTTGATGATAAATTAACTTCGATATCCATACTATATGCCTACCAATTCCTCCAAACTTTCTGCCAAATTTTGAAAATTTTCTTGAACTCCCTCTGTGAAATGTACAGTTTCAATCAGAGTATTTGCTGTAACATAAATAGTTTAATTAAAAATTTAGGCATGACTTCACTGATCATTCTTAATAAACCTGAATATAGTCAAGTAATCTCAGCTGAGATTAATATTACAATTACAATTACCGTACATTGATTGGTAACAGCTAGTTCACAGTTTCAACTGACAATTTAAAACACACTCCAGACAAAATGTTTCCAATATTATTATATGGAGCACAACTGTAAAATGATATGCCTGAGCAGTTTTACTGGCTATGAAATTCCCTGGCAGTTGGACATTATACCTGTATAAGTGTAGCGCCAGAAGAATGCTTGACATCAATTGCACAGTTAATTGATTGGTTATGGATTCCTATTTCTATAATTGTAGAAATAGATTATATTATATTAACTCACCTAATTCCTCAATTTTGTTTATGGCATGATCAACAGGTTGCGAAGTTGTAATCTGCATATTCTGTGATGAATCAATGAGATCGTTTTGTGGCATTGTATCTTTACCATCATCTTTGTCCATTTTCAGACTTTAAAAAACAAACTGTATATACAGGATATTCAATGTTTACCAATACACAGAATACTCTCCCTTATGCCATAAGTCTACCTGTGTATATATATATATATGTATATAACTACCCGATCAATTTATATACAACAGACTTATATACAAACTTGAACAGCGACGCTTAGAGTTAAACCTTCTGCCCGTCTGTCGCTTGTGCTTGCTTGTTCGTTGGCGTGGCGACCAAGGTGTTTTGTATCGTGCTCAGCAATGCGTGTAATAAATGCTATCCTCGACCTTCGGAGAAATCAGAGCCATCATATATGGCTCTGGAGAAATGATACAGTTCAGAATGTAATGCTTTGACACTTGCGACAGCTTGATGGCTTTCAAAATATGGGAGCACTTTGGCACGAACCAAAGTGACTATAAACACGAACAAATGGAGCGAGGTAAGAGCTTTTCAATCTTTCTCCCAACATACTGTACTTATAATATAACTATATATTTACGATATAACACATGTAAGAAAAAATTGTTCTTACTCTAAATTGTCTCTTTCAATCAGTGCGATTTTCGAGTGAACTCGCTACGTTTGTTAATCGCTATTAAAATATAGCTGAGATGCATATTGGAAATTGAGTATGTGATCGAAAAAATATCTATTGGAAATAACACTTGAATTGGAATAAAAAAATGGAAAGGAAATGACATTACCTTGAAATTTCTCTAACTAAAATATTTGTAGGTTTATCCGTTCCCTGCCTTAGCGCTCATTCTCCAAAGTCAGGTATTAATTTGAGACCGAAGGCCAGCATTCATGTTCTCGATTTACTGATGCCCCATGCTCTGTATCAGTGGTTCCTAGCCGGGGGCCCATGGTCCCACAAGGGGCTACAGAGATGAGGGGGGCACAATGCCAGACGCATAATTTAATTCAAATTTCCCTCGTCTAGAAAACTCCCCGTTCCTCCTAGTTCCATTGTTTTATAAGGTTATTTCACAGGGCGTTTTCACATGAATTGTTTAAAAATAATGGTATTTGAATCTACCAATCATAATAACACTTTAAATACCATTGAAATGATACACAGGCGGGTCATGAGTGCTAAAAGCCTCCAGATAGGGGCCACGAGCCATAAGAGGTTATATACACTGCCGTATGTATGGTGGATGTAATTAATTGGTATCGACAAACACATTTTGACACTTTTGTACGGATTCAGAGGGACTACTTATCTGTGTATATTTTGGTCCTCGCATGTTTTAATACTTCTTATACCACCGAAAACATTACTTGCATTCCTGTCTCACTATTTGCTCATATAAATGGGGAATCAATCTCTGTCTATTTCCACTTTACATGGTACACTGAATAGAGGACAACGTTACATCATTCGATTCATGTAACCAACAATTTTCGAATCGCCATTTTATGCCATATGGCAGCAGGGCAAGACAAATTTTTCTTGTCTTAAAAATCTAAATAAATAGATTTGCTAAAAATCAGGAACTTAGGTCTCAACGTGTATCAAAATGTTTAAAAATACTGCTGATTTTAATGTAAAAATAAGAAATGACAAATCAAATAAGTATCAAATGCACATAAAAATAAGTAAAAGAGTTTCATTCGTGATGTTACGTTCCGAGTAATTCATAGATGAGATATATATATTACGATCCCTCATCATTAGCGTGTTTATAGCAATTTAATGTCTTTTCTTCATCTGCCACAAAACCTAAATTTGTACTCGAAGTCTCATTTCCAACTTTCAAATGTGACAAGGGAACGTTGCTGCTGCTGCATTCCGGTTGTTCATCCATTCGATGTCTCTTAGATCTCGATGAAAACATATCTCTCAGTTTATAGAAAAATGTAAACTTTTTAATTCCAGAGGAAGTTGCGTTTTCCCAGGATTGGATTGGCAAACAAATTACCGACGAGTTTGCATTATAGTTTACCCCATTATTTTCAGTTATGTTACTATTTTTGTCTATCGAACGAATCACAGAAGCAGTTTTTATAATCTCGTGTTTTGGACGCAGCACAACTGAATTATCTGTAAGATTAATAAGCGTGTTATCAGAGTGTTTGCTATCCGCAAATGCTTTGCCACCCGACATCGATGTCACTTTGGCAAATGTCCATTTCGGAACATCTATCGCTGAAGAATTACAATTTGAATTTTTTGTTGACGGTGGCTGCTTTTCATTCATAGACTTTGTTTTAGATTCTACTTTTATGACGCTGGAAGTTTGCATAACTGAGGCAGTTTTGACGTCATCGTGAGCAGGATGCAACACTATTGATATATCGGAATGTACATGTCGATTGCTGTTGTTTGATTCACTTCTTGGTCTTGTATTAGGAGAGCCCATCAGTTTTTCTACAGCATCTTGTCGAACAAGCTTTTTGTTTTTAGCGTATTCAAATGAATTCATACTTTTCTCCCTGCTATAATTTCTCATGAGTTTGGCGGCTTTCTTTCTAAAATGCGAATCAACCTCTATCTTCATCTCCTCCGTAAAATGACAAGGGCCTGTGATATACGGACAAAATAGGTTTACGTAAACCAATTTTCTGCTGCAGCACTATAGGAAATGAGTAAATTGTGAAATTGGTTATTCATCAAACGCCGCAGCAAAATTATTAATACTATTGAAATGCTTTGCAACATAGTTCGCCATGCTAAATATTTCAAATCGTTTCGAATCATAACTCAACAATGAATCGACGAAAACATATATATATGTAAGTTATTATACTGAACAAAATTAAAAATGAATTTATTTTATAAACTCGGTACTCAGTACTTGAGATGAAACACAATGCAATCAGAAATGTACGTTTAAAGTATTGATTTATAAGGTTGTCTTAGAGAATATATATATATTTAAAAACTCACAAGCTTTTTTGTACATTTTCAAGTTCAAGTTGCTCATTTATTGATAAAATTTGAGACAATTTGTTTACGAAACTTCAAAAAAGTGAGGTACTCCAAGATACTTAAACACTCTTTGTAATCATTTAATGTTATTAATCAATGTTCATTGATTTATAACTTACCCAATACGTTTCTAACTAGAGCAGTACCGACATCTAATATATGCATTTCATTTTTTTCATTCATCGGTATTTCAAGAGCTGCAATTTTCTCCATATTAGGTTTTGGAATTCTCAAAGGTCGATCAATTGTATGCAACAAACTACTCAGTTGTTCTATAGTAAGCTGAAACAATAAACGAGTTTTCCTAAATTGATGTTTTTTGATAAAAAAAAGCCATTTGAAATCCAGGATAACGATAATATTGAATGCTTCTTACCTGCCCAGAACCATCTTCGTCATGTTTTTGCCATACATCGAAATAATGTTCAAAATCATCTGCCGTTAGTGGTTCTGCGCTGTCTTTGTTTGCTGCTTCGAAATTTTCCAAGATTATTGCAATGTACATGTTGGTGATGATCACGAATGTCAAGATGAGATAACTGAAATACAAGTCAAGACAAGGTACTGTATACACAGTCCAAGGTAAGTTAATATTCTAATCTGAATAACTACTACTTAAAATATTGCATAATTATTATTAAAAGCTGCAAGTATAATCTTCGTCTCTGTCAATTTTAACAATGCGTTACTACCGGCCGCCCTCTCCTTGTTCTATTCATATGAGCTTGGGACCTTTTTTCATATTTAACATACACAATATCATATTTAAATTTGATAAATACCCGACATACGTATATCAATCCTTTCGCACAACAAATAATTGGTTCAGTTACTGGAATTCATTTAGATAATTTATTAGCCGGTCTGAAGTCATATTAAACTTCTTTGAAATAGGGATTGATTGAAACTTCAATCACCATTATGTCGTTATTTTTGATAATTCAAAGATTTACATGGTAGGTACTCTAATTGAAAACTCTATCATAACCTTCCGATTTGTTTTTTCAAACTAGTTTTAAGTATCATCAAGTATTCGTCAACAGTAAACTGACACCAGTTTGTGATAGTACCTTATAAAGTAAATGTATCCAATAAATGATGTCTTCATACATGTTCCTTTACTTCCCTCTGTCTCGGGTTTACAATCATCATACTCTGCATCCACGTATATCGTAGGTTCCAGAAATCCATCCCAACCAGCAGAAGTAGATGTCTATAATTTCATGAAAATAAATTATTATTCAATGTCTCCTGAACAATTCTGTTATCTATTTAGACCAGGGTGGTCCAAACCCAGGCCCGCGGGCCACATGTGGCCCGCCGCTTCATTATCTGTGGCCCGCGTAACATTCGGAGAGTAATCAAAAAATCGCATTTCGTGTTGTTTCGTCATAAAATTAATCAGAAAAATCTTTTGACGTATTGTCATCACTATTGTTACTGAATTAAATAGTGTTATGGATAGCTGGGGAAACTAGCGAAGTTGAATGATGTGCTTGGCGGTCTAAATTGTTATCTGGCTTTTTAACTTTTTGTCGGAAATATATGCAAACAATATAGGCATCATAGAAAACTAAAAATCGAATGCAGATTCTATTAGCCTAGAATGGCTATGCCTGATAACTATGTGATTGCACAATAAAGGTGTTTGTTTTGTATTGCACTGTTTACCTATTCTTGGCACTATTGTGGCCCGCAAACAATGCAAAAATAATTTCGTGGCCCGCGGAGCCGACAACCTTGGACCACCCTGATTTAGACACTCCTATTATCTCAAGTTGGGCAATATAGCCTCGCCCTCACTCACAAGACATTAGTCTTTAATAACATTGCTGACAAAGTAAATCATAATCTCATTCCCGTATTTATATTCACAGTACAGTATTGTATAAAAGTAACGATAATATTACAAAATAGATAGTAGCACGACGGTTTATATATATATATTTATCATGTGCACCACAACAATTACTCACCTGAAATAGCAGCATGAAAGCATTCGGGAACGTTTCAAAATTCAGAATGTCAGTCATTGCACCTCTGTGTTCGACATGGCCAAACTGACTCATTCCAAATATAGCAAATATAAACATGAAGAGAAATAGCAGGCTTCCCACATTAACAAGTGCTGGTAGAGACAGAACTAAGGCGAATAGTAGAGTTCTAATTCCGCTGGCAACTCGAGCCACTCTCAAGATTCTGGCAATACGTATCATCCTCAACATTGGGAGCCATGGTGACTTGATCAAAGAGCTATGATGGTCGAATGCAACTCGTACCAGAGATACAACGTTAACTAAAAAACATTGAAAGATCCACGATGAATAATAAAACTGCAATTGAAGTCTGATTACACAAAATTCGGTGCCACTTTGGTATGTGATCTCAGCGGTTTTGTGATGTCAGTGTTTTTAGTATTAACCTAACCAAACGATTACAGGTAAGGGTTAGAAAATGAATTTTATGAGAATGTCTTTATGCTATTAAACGCATACCAAAGTTGAACCACAATTGCTAAGCAAATGAGATCACGTACGAAGTAGTATTATAACGCTTAGATCGCATGCCAGAGTGGCACCCAAAAATCAATTATAATATTCTTATTTTCAAATATTAGTTTCTGATTAAATGACGGATTATTTCTGAGACAAAAATTGCTTGACAGCCAGTAATCACTAAAATGGTACTATTAATTTATAATAGTAAGAATAAACTAAGAATGTTACGATTCTCTAGTCTCACCAATAAGAGAAGTTCCAATAACGAGAAAATCATAAACATTCCAAGGCGATCGGAAAAATTCGCATCCGGTCGCAACTATTCGAAGAATTATTTCAATTGTGAATATACCAAGGAAACCATAGTTCAAATATTCCATCACATCAGATATGCCTGAAAATATAACATGTTATATTTATGGTAATATGCTCACGGGTATACGCTTAGAAGTTACCACATAGGAGAAATCTGATTCAAGCTTAAGCAAAAGCTGATAATCAACAAAATAGTGCGCCAAAATAAGAATGTGACATGTGAGTCATCATGCCGTATACAGCATGAAAGCCAAATTGAAATCGCAGTGATATTGTGGAAGTCGTATTCACTCGTATAATTAACACATATATATATATATATTAAATCTATATTCGACCTGTTACAACCCTGAAATTATTTTCCGAATTTGATGTGTTTTATTCCAGTGAGGGATATTCGACATTCACACTTTCCATGGGTACAACATCACTCTTAAACAAAATTCAACACAAAAACGTCGTTCGGCCTTGGCGACAGGTTACATAACATTTTGCATTCGTCAATCCATAAACTCTGATAATGTTCAAAATTGATTCGAATACATTACAGTCCAAACTTGATTACCGTAACTTTTCCGTTGAATCCTTCTCATGTACTGTATGGACAAGGATCTCAATTATCTGTAGAGAGGTAAATGAATCATACCTGTTGATATATCATCATGTTCCAATGCCAATACAGCTAGATTTAGCAATGTAGCCACCATTATGGTCAGTTCAAATTTGTCCCCGGTTACAATGAAATGTAGCTTTCTTCTCCACCTCATTTTTGGCACGGGTATCAATTTGTTTGGAGTACGCGCAGTCAACTTTTTCAGCATATCGTAGGCTTTCTTTTGAGACTGATAAAACATTAGCATTAAATACCTATCTAAACACCCAGTGACTATTTATTAACCGCTGTGCCATTCCCCCCTTATCAGCTCAAACCGAATCCCAAACTATGGCAAAAATGGTGAGTATTTGGTAGGCTAAATAAAGAACGTATCATTAGTTACTTTTTCCAACGGATCTTTAACAATATATTTAAAGAAAATCCAGACTTACACTCGTTAGAAACAATTCTCCACCTTTAAATTCAAATCTGCTCTTTTGTTGATTGAAATTATCGATGACGACAGATATAAAAAGGTTGAGAGTAAAAAACGCGCCAAATATAATGAATGCAACAAAAAAGAAATAATTCTCCACGGAATTCTCGTAAATTGGCTGATCCCCTATTTTAACAGGCAAATCAACAGCAGCGTACATGATTGGCATCCAGCCTTTAAAAGTTGCAACCTAGAAAACACAGGTAAAATTACCATGAAAATTTCATGTTTGACCAGAATTTGACTGCAAAATATGAAACAACTCAATAATAAAATATATGAATTTAAAATTATTAAAGACAATTGAATTACGTCGAATAAGACGTTGATTTCATAAAATAGATGGATAGCAGCATGGCGCAAAAATAAATTATCGCTGTGTTGCTTGTTTCATTCATTAGAATTTTAGAATACATATAACTCATATTGTATAATTATTCACATGGTGAATTATTCTGATATTATGCTTTATTTCGTTCACTATAAAATCTTTCGAAATACCTGCATGAGAGACACGTATGCGACGGGAACGTTGTCAAAGTTTGCATATAAATTCTTCCAATGTACTTTTCCACCTGTTAACTCGGCCAGCCTTTCACAATCAGATTTATTGTAAACATCAATTGGCGGTCGTTGAAAATGATCCGACAAATTTTTCCAACTAAATGAATAATGCGCTGATAAATTAGTATTTCACGTATCCACCTGGAGTCGTTCGGCGACAACAAACAATTCTCGTAAGTGTATTTTGAGCACAGTGAAATGTATCGTAATACTCCACCATATTATCACATCATTCGACAAACGAAATAAATATGAAAGCTACATGTCAGATTTTCTGTTAATTATCGGTGACAAATTATATTTATAATCTGCATATATACATATATATATATATTTGTAAAGACTGTTTTACCACGGCCGCTTTAGTACATGCAAAATATAGAACAAGGATTCTAAAAAGTTTTTTTACTTCTTGAAATCTTCGGGGTGCCAAACTTTTTCGCCAGTTTTCTTCCATCTACACGCAGACATTTTCCCAGCAAATAAATTTACGCCCATAATAGCAAATACCAACCAGAATACCAGACATATAACGAACACGTTTAATATCGATGGAATAGAACGAAACAATGCGTCTGTAACAACCTGTAATGGGGTAAAATATTTCTTTAATTTTTTAATGGTCATATGTTGCATTTTATGTTGAACAAAACTATAATGATTTTTGCTAGACCTTATTTCAAGTGTAAAAAGAATATTATTATGGCGAATACCTTACTAATAATTAAATTTAGCATAAAATGTCCACAGACTGTGCAATTCATTCTTGGAAACGATTTTTTGGCGTTTTGAAATACATTTAATTCTTTTCCAACTCTTCAAATGAAATCGAAATTATGTTGATACTTGGGCACTCCCGTAGTATGTGTACCAGGTTATGGTTAGGCTATCCTTTTATTCCGAATTTCCTTATTTTAGTTCTATCACGAATTCGGGGACTGTCTGTGTTAACAAAGTGAATATATCCCCTGCCCATAGGATTCCGTCACTTTACAGAACTTGATGTAAAGTGGGCGAACAAAATTAGTTACCTCCATATAAATATTGGTACACATACTTCTGGAGCGCCGATTTTTCAACTCAATAAGTTTAAATTATTTGTAATGTTTACAATGAGTAATTACAATATCTATAGAACCTTTTCATGGATTGAAACAATTTTCAGTAATCTCACAGAAAATTTATTTTCATATTACTAGTAGACATTAAAAGTATTTTGACCTTGATTCCTTTGAACCTGGACATTGCACGCAACGGTCGAAATGCTCGTAAACTTCTCAAAACTCTCAATGATGAAAGATCAGTCGAATTTGATTCGCTCATCATTGCATATATTTCCAAAGATAAAGATACGATTGAAAACTAAAGTCAATATACGCAAATTAAGATGAAATAAAAAGTAAATGGTAATGGGATTCAAGATTTAAGAACATGTTTCTGTTTTTATCGAACTCACTAAAACGCTATTTTACTGTGCACCTTTCGCGTAGCGCGAGAGGGGTCGCAGCATCGATATATATCAACTTATTAATTTTAGGTCATCATACATAATTTGGAAATGAAATCTGAATAACATAGAGCACACAGACATTTTTAAAATAAATAAAAGCAAATAACCTTTTAGCGTAAAATACAATCTTCAACCACTGAAAAATTTAAAGCAATTTTGGTCCATTAGTTGAAGAGACAGCGATTTTTTCATGGAAGAACCAGAAAATGGAAAACACAACAACAGCATCCCAATAACAAAACTATTCATATGTACATTCGTTTTCAAAATGAAGGAACAGACCTGCACTTCTGCGAAAATACAATTAATGTGGGACTACAAGTGAACTCCTATAACGGTTGATGTGAGCTTCGGAGCCGGTTCAGTCCATTTTTTTCATTAAATAGGTAAGATAATATGTATATAATTGGTTCCAAAAAGTATCGAAACCGAGTTGACCACAAAATACCATATATATGAGATTTGAATTAAGGTTATCGACACTTTAAAGCACACAATTTATACAATCTCAGAAAAAAAGTTTGACATATACTCACCATGACAATGAAAAAGTCCAATATACACCATCCGTTAGTGAAATATTTCTTGAATCCAAATCCAATCCATTTCATAATCATTTCAATAAAAAATATCACCATAAATATCTTGTCGAATACTTCAAGCACTGACTTGAGCAAAGGTTTCTTCGGTAGATTCACGTCTTCAAATACCTAAAGCAAGACTTACTTTAGATTGGATATTATAATTCTTTTCACACAACACATTTTATCTTCTAACACAATCCCGTCGGGTAATGAAACATTTAACATAACAAGAATTATCTATAGCCAATAATCTATTCCTATATAACCAGTGTTGCCATCGATATGAACCCAAAAATAAGGACGCCGGGGAAACATGATAATAAGATAACAGAAAGCGAAACGTAATAAACAAAATGTATTCAAGCCTGTGCGACGCATGTATAATCATTGACTCCTAAAAAATATATTTATAGATTGGTTTGGATTAATTTTTTGAGCAGAGTTCTTGTGATTCTGAGTTGCTTCGAACCGTTGCAATTTCTTCAAAGTTATTACATAGCATATAAGTAACATGTTGCTATGTTTAGAATATTACAGAATCTCAGAATACTTCAAAATATCTATTTGAATAAGACTCACCAAAGCAATACTACTGCACATGATGCAAAATATTATAAAAGTTTCGAAAATCCAATGTTGAACCACATTGTTCATTTTAATTTGAAGACAATTCCTGTTATCCGGGGGCTGCTCTTCGTTTGTGGGCGTCGAAGACGAAGATATAGAAGGCGTCAAGGGCGGAGACTGTTTATCGGTGTCTACGGAAGTATTGATATCATTACCACTTGTGGTAGTGATAGAAGCCGAACTTTCCGTCGTACAGAAAGAAACACTCTTAGGCTCGAGGATCTCAGAGTCAATGAGCTGAAAGTATCAACCAAATTAAAACTTCATTTTGTTAACCACGTAACAATGTCATAATCAGAGTCAAGATTTGATCTCGTTAGAAAAACAATTTGCATTGTTTTCAAATTAAGCTTTATTCAGTCCGAGCAACGAATATTATATATATATATATCTAATATTAGATTACTGTAGGGGAACGCAATAGAACAGAGTATTTTTCTATCACATACTGTGTAATCCGGTAACGGAACTTTGAGGAAGTTCGATGACGACTGACTAGCTTCTTGCTTTCCATTGCAGGATTTTGAAAAGTTTGTTGATTTTAACATATTTTCTTGGATGGCCGAAGGTTGGATGTGGTAGCCATTAATACCGTTTGATTCTTGTTGGTCAGTTTTTGATGTCTCCGATATATTCTGAAATTCCATATTGCAAATATTTTTCCATTACTGATCCTTTAGGAAATATTATTTCAACAATGAAAACAAAACTAAGACCGAAAAATAAAATGAGCATTTATTTCTCAAGTAAACTTATCATGATGCGGTCTTGTACGGTCAAAGAATGCTAGTTGAAATGAACCAATATATATATATCTACTATCACCTACCGCAAAAGTATCACTTTTAGTTTCTGGTGTATCATTTACTTTGTCGATGCCGTTCGTGTTCGTTAACTCCGTCGCGTTCTCAGGTTTGGCTGAAATTGGATGAACCTTTCGTTTACGCCCGGTAATTCTGACTATCTGAAAAAAAATGCGATTGCTGCATATTACCATACCAAATATTTGCGCAGAGGCAGAATTTCCATAGACGAGTGTTGGCGTTGAATGAAGCATTAGTCTAGGAATTATTACAAGCCCACTTTATAGTACGGTAGTTATTGTAAGTTAAATTTATCAATTATTACTCATCATGAATAGTCGCAAACTTCCAACAACGTTAGGGAAAATAAAAATAGCGTGTAAATACCGCTCTAGCCCGTCTTAACGATCTCAGAAACTTCTGTGCTCCGGCACTTTTACCTCCTCCATTCAAGTCTGCGCCGCTAAACGAGTTTAAAAGAAGAGCGAGGAAGAGATTTAATACCTGAAAAATATAGCAAAATTCATTTCAACGCTTAGATGTATAGCCGCAATATCTCTTTAAAAAGGAATACACAAACTTACGACTAAATTCCCAACAAAAACGACTCCGAGGAATATTAAAAGACAAAATGGAACTAATTCTTCACGATTTCCCTCTGATACAGAATGCATGCAACTCCACATTGATTGTATCCATTCTCCGCATTGAATTCGAAATACAATCAGAAATGAATGCACGAAATCGTTCATATGCCAACGCAAAGGTATTCCCTGAAAAGTAAATTGCAATATGAAGAAATCCTTTGTTTTATGAGCTCTTCATGTCTTAAGGCTCAAATGAAAAAAAACAAGATAAAAAACTTCCCAAACGCCAATCAGGATTAAGGCAAGGAAACTTTTTCTAAAAGCATAACGTGACACCTAAAACGTGATTGGGCGACACTCATAGCACATTTATTTTACACGGTGTTGGTAAAAAGTAATATTCTGTCAATGTCCTCTGTGTCCAACACAGTAAAGTTCAAGTTCTGCAAAAGGTAGGTAGCTAAACTTTACAAATACTGAACAATCTTAAACGGGTTGAGCCTAATGTCATTCCTTGTCTAAATAATGTGACGTCACAATATTCAATATCCGTGTGGCGTAATCTGTCTAAGTCTTGGTCGCTGCGGCCTGTAGCGGTCGAAACGCCATTTCCGACTGAAGTTCGGGACGTTTTCTTTCCCGTAGCGATACAAAATTCATGAAGCTATGTTCTCTTTCGGGAAATTCAAGAATCCATTAGGAAATGCGGATGATATGAGAGAAGCTGCTTATCGAGCTCACAACACTTACGGTCCGAAAGTGTGGTATAAAAAAGCGAAAGCGTTTATATTTCGACAGAAAACGGGAGAAGATACAGAATCATCTTCCACACCATCGTCTGGACAAGAGGAAACCGTCAAGAAGTAGGAATTTGTATCAATTTGTAGTCAGTGTTCTTAATACTTGGGTACACATTGAAACAGGTAGATTTTATTATGTGTTTAGGCGTCTCGTCGTTCGGGATTTTTCGGACACTCGTAATCTTGGTAAGGAAGAAGCAAAACGATTGGGTGAAGGAACTGCTCACAGTTTTGTCTTGATTACTCGCTTTCTTTGGGGGCTCGGTATGATTCAAATATTTCACTTTTTGCTAACGTATCAAACAAGATGGGATCCTATTAATGCTGCTCTTTGGTTTGGTTTTATCGGATTTTATGTAGCAACAGCGATGGCATTTTCAAGAGCTGTTCGGGCAATTGGGTTTCTCATGTTACCTGTGTTCTGTACGTCTAGTGGCAGGTGAGAAATAAATTCCATCGACATTTTTATTAATATGTCGTTTATAAACAAAGCTGCATTGCTAAGAATCCCCTTCAAATATCTCAACCTAACCCTAAAATGAACTAAGGTTATTTTCCACCATTTTCATATCTCAATTACATTAATTGATCAAAGTAATGTGAATTTACCCATTTTCAATAAGAAACTGACCTGAAGCAGAATATAAGCAAATTTTTAAGATTGGTTCGAATTTTTAAGATCATGCTGTAGTGTAGCATTGTTGGAATTTGGCTTTTTGAGATCAGCTAAGGCTGGTGCATAATATTATATTGTAAATCATATACATCTGATCATAATACCATATGATGACCCCATATGGTGTTTTGAATTTAATGTTGATTTTATGTTTAGTGTTTTTTTAAACACGAGTACGAAATGAAGCTGCATTCGCAGTTAATCGTTTTTATATACACAATCCGTATTATTAAATTATCTTTCAGGGCTATTCTCATTTCCTACGCGATGATGATGCTTCTTACTGGACCTATAAACAATATTTCTCACAATTACGGAGAAATATCCCGGTCTCTTACATGTGGAAATGAACTCGGATTTAATATTACTCAAGGACTACGTACAAAAATCCAGGAAAAACAATTTGAAATCCTCGATACTATGGACAACACGATTGATGTCATTATAAACGCAGTTGAGGTAACTCAATAAACTATAGCTTACATTCTATATTAACTCTTATTTTCGAATCGTCACACATTGCTGTAAAATATTAGTTGAAAACACCGCCAGTATATCATGACAAGTGATTTCAACTTTAAATAAAAAATTTATATTACGTGGTTCATATCTGATCTTATGGGATGACATACTTCGAGTCAGAAGTGCAAAATTTTTTTTCCTATTTCAGCGTGCTAAGGCGACATATGAAAATGTTGCAGCAAAATTGGAAAGCATTGCATCAGCCATAAGAAAAATTAACAATTATGTTGGCGTTGCTGCAGTAATTTGTGAAAAAGACTCAGCTTCTTACATCTGCAATCTACCTGGCAATATTGCAAAAAATATGAAGAAACTTGTCACTGATCCGGTCAAAAATTCACTTCAAATGATGAGGGTAAGATAAACCCGCACAAAGGCACGTTTTTAAGAAATTTAACAAAAAATTAGAAAAGTATCACAAATATTGGTGGCGCGGATAGTGGTAAAAATTCTGGGAAATTAATTTTATCCTGAAATGCGCGACTATTCTTATTTTAGGACATTGGTATTTTAATTCAAGTATTATGCCGATGCAGCCTATCATTTTAATCGAGAGATATATGTTCCGTATTAAAATATATGATAAAATTTACAATATGTTCAACTGCCTGTAAATTCCACTGTGGAATTTGCAGGCAGTTGAATATGTTCCGTATTAAAATATATGATAAATTTTACAATATGTTCAACTGCCTGTAAATTCCACTGTGGCCCAGTTAGAGCCTTCATTTCAGCACGGAACTCATCAATGTCATTTCTTATTATTCCAATATTACAAAAACATACAAGGGTAGTTCTCAATGCATTTTCATATATCATCTAAGATACGGGGAATGTTTTACAAAAATTGTTAAAACCTACTTATCACATCCTCTTCAGCGACTGTTCTTTTTTGGTGTGCACTTTGACCACGAATTTGAATTTCACATGAATACAAGCAAATCAGCAAAACAAATACGCGATGACATACTCAAAGAAGTGAAAGGGAAATTTGGATATATAAATGATATTTTATATTGGACAAGATTCATCACAATCTTCAGTTCATTCATTGTGGTAGCCAAGGCTGCAATGTATAGGTCTGTACTTTCTATTATAAACAGTTTTTCATTAATATGCCATTTTACTGAGTATATTTTCATTTTAGTTAAACTCTTAAATTCTCTTTCACTCTGTCCCCATTTTTGCTGATTCTTTTTATCTTACTATCAAATCACTTGTATTTCAGGAAGAAATATTTGACGAGAAATGATTTCGACAATTGTTACATAACTGCTCAATTCAAGCATCTAGACAGAAAATGCGCCAAACACGGTAGACCTGTTATTCTGCCACTTCGCTACAAAGAAAGTAGGAAATTTATCAGCCCAAAGAGGTAAAAGTCAGTGATTCGTATTCAAGATAACACCACGTACTTTTTTGGTAAATAACCTACACTAAGAATACGTTGGAAATAAAATCCTTATATATATTGTAGTTGGAGATTCAAAGCAGGTTCATCAAGATGGGTTCAAGGAAAGTTCGCCGCAGGAAATTTCGCCGTGGGAAATCTCGCCGCAAGAGCATTTTGCTGTAAAATAAGTATTTGTAATAAAAAAACAGTTAGGTGTTTGAAGTACCTTTTTATTTAGAAAAGATTCGTTATTTTGAGTGCATACCCTAACGGTAACCTAATCCTATAAGCCTAATTGTTTTTATCACAAATACTTGTTTTACAGCAAAATGCTCTTGCGGCGATTTTTCATATGGCGAAATTTCCTGCGGCAAATTTTCCGGACACGTCCAGATGATTTATTATTACAGATGTGCAATGTCAAGAGCTGAATTAAAGAAGTGTTTTCGAGGATGGCTGTTCGTTACATCTAATCTTGTTTGGTCACTTTTTATGATGCTGATTGATTGGAGTTTATACTCAATGATGGTTATGGTTACTGGCACACTAAGTATGAAGAGTACTTCGTTGGTTGAAGATCTTATGGCAGCCTCAGAAAAATCAGATGCTTTCTCAAGAAATACGGAAATGTTGGGGGCATTTTTTACACTCAATGTATTTGGACGAGGTTTAGTACCGGCTATTTACAGGTTACTTGATTTAATATCGATTTACTGATTAAAAGGAAGATTATTTAAATTATAATGTTATGTTCAGAGCCGTTGTCAGAGCTCTTCAACAGGTTACGAAAAAGGAAGGATTGGATATCAACATGGACAAATGTTTGCCTCGACCATCCGTTCCGGACTTTTTTTCATATCTTGTCATATATTGCATTCTTCAGACTTGCTATATTTTGGTTTATATTCAAGCTTATATGCTACGTTTGCGTAGATACATCATGGCTAAATATTATCCAGTTAGAGAAAGGAATCGTATCATGTATTTGAGGCGGAAAATTTTAAACAATAGAGGAATTGGAAACGTTGAAGATTTAAAGAGAACACTCAGAGATGCGAGTGATACTATCGAAACGAATCAAGCCAAGAAGAGAAAAACTTTGTACCAGAGATTAATAATGTGGTCTAACCGTCGAGGGGTAAGCTTGTTTAAATCACCAACCAAGATCAGAAAAACAAAATGGTACAGTAGAATTCTAAGAAAAAGATAAATACTTACGGCTACAGTTGAAAATAGCGGTGGCATTTTTGGTTCAGCATAGAATAGTTTAATTACTACTAACATAGTATGTGGTGCGCCCGATATATCTAACCATGGACGCTAATTTAAGTAGAACGCAGCTATCTGTAATGTATATGTTCAACATTTTTATATTTAGATAAAGGGCAAATTAGCTCGCCTACTGACTGGAAGAGACAAGCACAGGTGTACTTTATGCATGTTCTCTGGTTCTAGAAATGACGATGATTTATTTACTAAATGTCAAAGACCGGGTTGTTCTATTGAATATTGCAAACCTTGCTTTGAAGATTTACACAGGTACGATGATCATTAAACTTATGTTTGTACACCAAATAGGCTTATAGATCGTTTTGAATAATTATTGGATCTTGTGAAATTATTGGACGTGAAAAATCGATCTTCTACGAATCTACGTGACTAATGAACTGAGCCATGGTAAATTTTATAATTGAAAGATAGAAAAAGTCGACAGAAGCCCATTATTTTAATTAGGTCTTACGGCCCCCAATTTTTTTTGTTATTCGCGGGCACACATTTATATGGCAATCAGTTCACTTCTTTTAACGATTGACTGGAACATTTCGGTAGTCAGTTGACCTTTGTGTTCGTATAGTTGAGAACTGTCCATTGGGGAAGTCAACTCACTTTACTGTTACGTGTGTTATTGAAATCAATTAGTTTTAAATGCATAGAATTTTTCCAGAATTTGTCCTTCCTGTCTCATGCGACATAGTGAAGAAAAACAAAAAATTCGACGACTTAGTCGCATATTAGGAATAGAACCAGTTTCTTCAGAAAGGAAGGAGAAAGGTGAATTTGGTGATATGGCTGAAGATTTTGTTCCTTCAAGTGGGATTTCGGATTCCTCCGATGATGAAAAAAAGGGGAAAGAAGAACTGCTTGGGAACGAAGAGTACATTGCAAAGTTGCAACAAGAGGCAAATGAAAGGTTACAAGAGTTAAACATTGCTAATACGAATAATCAGGATGCCGACATCTCTCGTGTTAACGAAGGGGCTGGAACGTCTGGATTAAATCAGCATAATGCTTTACCTACTGTAGAAGAAGAAATCGTGGACGCGACTCAAGCTACAGAAAACATGGCTTGGTACAGCCCAAAACGGTCAAAAAGTGTCACGAAGAGAATCAAACAGAAGGATAGAAGTAAAGCACGGTACTCTGCGAAGTTAGCGCCGAAAAGGTCGCAATCTGAAGAACGGGGTTTGCTCGAGGATGACGATTCTGACTATGAATATGACTTCAGATAATACTCAATGACAGCTCTAAAGAAGGCCCCGTCAACACGGTTGTAAATTATTTGATTGCAATATGGAGATTTAAAAAATGAGGGTCAGATTTTTGAATAATCAACAATGACGATTCACACATGACTACATATTTAACGCTAGACATTATGCCATTTCAATACTGAAATAACTTGAAACGATCTTACTTATTTGTTCTCGACAAGATGTTATGTAGCAATATTTTACCTAAGAAGTATAAAATAACACTCACCCTCGATCTATTCATATAAAACGGCACTCCAACTGTCTGCATTCCAGCCAATGCGAATATAATAAGTACAATGAGCAGGACAAGAGTTAAATATCCGAGTTTACTGAGTGAATCTGCTATCATACTCATGATCTTACTCAACGTCGGCCAGGAACGAGCAAGCTTGAGAATTCGTACCTAGTAATGAGATACAAACAAATGCTTATGGTTTTATGTTCAGTTTACGATATCAACTAAGGCGGTTTAGCGGGGTAATGCAGGCGGAGGAGATTGGCATCTTTGTGCGTTATATGGGTTGTATTTTGTTGAAAATTTGAGAGTTTTCGAACTGAAAAGACGTGAGACTGTATGTGGAATTTTGCTATCTCATGACGAAAACTGAAGTCAAATCTATTTTGGTAGGAGTTCTTTGGAGAGCGTTATGCAGCAATAACTTTAGTTATCGTTTGGCTGAAATAACTTCTTAATTAACGTGTGCGTTCCAAACCTAGCGTAAAAGCCTCCTTTCTGTCTTATTTTCATATACTGTCCTTTGTTTTCATTTTATTTGTCATCTTTCTGTGACACGAACATTAATTATATATTATCAAGATGGTTAAAATATTGCAAACTCGATGTTCCGGCCATAGCCCTGTAAGCAATTAAGGCAAACGAATGGAATGCCTGTGTAAACCTGAAAAGACGTTAAAAAATTATCCGGTACACGATTTTCGGCGCGCTGCAAAACTGTGATCAGGCAGGAATAACTTTAAAAAATGAAGACGCACATAAACCTAGTATCACGTATGCAAACATAATCATGATTTACAATGAAAAAATGCTTATATATATGATATATGTAAATTTTAAATGCTAATTCAAGTGTAGTACGTCAAAATATAACGACATTTGAGAGTCGTTAAATATTAACACAGTCCTTTCAAATTTATTTGCAACTAAAACAGAATGGATCAACCGCGTTGAATTTGCAAAGTGTAGGGTCATCTTTCCGAAAGTGTTGACATTCTTGAATTATTAAACGAGTTTTGGTAGAGTTAAATAAGTGTGATTGGTTTCGTCTCACGAAGATGACGAGTGTTATCCAGTTTTAGACTGGCGAAAATTTCTTGCATGAAGGCCGATTAGCGTGAACTTGGAACTAGGGATAGGACAACTTGTAAATAATTATTCAAACAGATCTTTTTTTTTAAATTGTCTAGTTTGAATATTAGCATATATATAAATGTATATAAAAACTACTCACCAGACGAATGAGACGAAACGTCCTCAAAACCGCGAGACCATCAGGTAATTTGTCAGACATCACCATTTCTATTAAACTGAGGGTGACAACAATAAAATCAAATGTATTCCATGCTACGGCAAAATAATGATAAGGACTGAGAGCCAACATTTTACCCGCCATCTCAATTGTAAAAAGCGAATTGAATACCTGTAATAGCATATACATTTGGTTAGGTAAGACCTCTCAAGACGATTAGAGGCATTTTGGCGAGGTAATATAATATAAAAATTATCTTACAATGTTTGACATTGTTAAAAAATTCGCGTATTCTGGTCCTTTTGGTTCTTTTTCCAATGCCATGAATAAAGTGTTGAGAATTACTAGTCCGACAACAGCCATCTCTGCATTCGGGTGCACAAATATTCGTTTCAGTTTTGATCTTGCAGCGCATAAAAAACTTTCACCGACGCAACATTTCCACCTGGAATTAGAAATAACGTATTTTCCCCATTTTCAATATCTTGAACGTTATACTTAACCAGAATATATAGCCAAGGTTCAAGCAGATCATATCAAGAGCATTTAAAACATGGGATAATAAAATATCTACTTTATCTTCAGCAAGAATGCATTGCTTACTCTAGAAAAATTGCCTTGCAATCCCCACAGAAGTTGCTAATACTTTCTCTTGTTGAGCTTCGACGAATTTTTTCCTGAGTCATTGCATTCCTTCGTTTTCGAAGATATTCCTAGATAAAAGTTCCGTGAATATCAATGTTTTTATCTCAAACGTATATTTCAAAAAGCATTCGTGGGAAAACAATAACAATAAGTTTTGTAAAGTTATTTTTATATGGTATAATGTCACATGTTCACTCCCGCGATTTTATCAAATACAGTATTTTCTTTCACGTATAGTTATTGATAAATAATAAATTATGGCGTTTCAAGCAATTAGAGTTTGTTTTAAACATAACAAAAGCAATATATCTTCTGAAGTGGTAGGCCCACGATTTTATTTTATTCCAATGTTGCCTAGTAGATAATTTTTCTGTAGGACGAATAGGCTCCGTTTCTTAACGACTGGCGAATAGCTTTGACAGCTTTAAAAAGACCGTACGATGGAAAGTTAGCATTTGCAATATTGATGAAACCTTACTTTCTAAACTCTGTACATAATTTATACAACTCTATCAATATGTGGTAACAAACGATCGTAATTGGTCCTGGTTTGCATGTCTTCAAGGCACAAAAATAATTATTTACTTGAACTAAATGGACATGACTAAGTTTAAATAATAGAACTCGGGTGATTTGTTGTCATTCTGGTATGACATCTCTCTCATTTTCTATATTTCAATTACTGTTATTTTCAAATTTCTTATTTTTTCGCCATTATTATCACGGCCGATTCCATCATTTTTATAAGAAGATGCACACTGATTAAGCCACATTTTCATTAATGCTGGAGATATTTGAAAGTCATTTAAAAACGAGACACTGTATCTGATCAGCATTCAGCGACTCATGTATATATTTGATTTAAAAATCAAACCTTGTGACAATATTAACAATAGCCCTTTACAGGGGAAGTCATTCGAATTAGGATTGTTACTATATATGTGTCCCTGTTCTTAACAGCAAAAGAAGTTATGTATATTTAGATATTAACTTCACAGGCTGAATTCGAGCTATGAATACGATATGAATAAACAGAAAAGTAAGAAACAGAAAAAATATAAACTAATCAGGCGATTATGTTTTGCAGGGTAATGTATATATAATAGATGTAAACGATCACTGCTAACGATTGAATTAAGTCGTACCCGTTCTCTCATTTTGATTTTTTTTTCTTCCGCCAAAGCCATCTGTACACTTTTAGCTTGATCTTCATAAGAACTGGCGACAACGGCAAGAATCAAATTGACCAAGTAATAGGATCCTAGCAATATCATTATAAGAAAGAATAACACCGACAGCTGACCTGCAAATATTTATTTTCATTGCACATTATTTGTTCAAAATTACCGGCCTAATTGCATTGATATCACCGAACAATCATAACATATAAACATAAATACATATTTTGACTGATTTCAAGATATATATCAGTCAAAATATGTATTTATATGTATCTGAAGTTTTAATAAATCTATTTTAATAAAGAACAAAATACATATATATATTTTGTTCTTTATTAAAATGAATTTATTAAAACTTCAGCTTACCAGTATGGCAATTACATCAAGCAAGAACTATTTCCTCTTGATAATTCTGGCCAGTAAAAGTTTGTGGTTGATATGAACATGTTTTCTATACCTCGTGGGATATCATTCTGGGCAAGTGACTATTCTCAAAATTTTATTTACCACTTCTCCTTAGAAGGCTTTGTACACGTATGGCGACCACTTAACTAAGCACGGTGAGGAGCTATTAAATCTACCCAATGTAACATACGATATCTATTTTGATGATCATATAAAAATCTACTATAAATTACATATATATTTAAATATTGTAAGTAGAACTAAAAAGCTTTAAACGTGAAAAAATTTAAAAATAGTCAAATTCTAAAAAAATAGTTACTTTATTATAATACAGCCGAGGAACCAAAAACAGTCTGCATGGAAGACGTGAATTAGTCTTTGTTAATTATGAGCAATATTTTGTTCTTTTTCAGTTTTAAATCCAATTCTAAAAACACACACAAAAAATACATGATTCTATACATACCACTAGTTTCTAAAACTTGCAAGTACAGTTCTTCCCAATTATCCTGTAATGACAGACGGAATACAGAAAGGAAAGCGTATGGGAAGTTGTCGAAACTTGTATAGCCAAAATTGGGGTTGGATCCTGCTTTAGTACATATAGCAACGTCCGGACATTTTCTAAATAAAAAAGCAAATTCATAAATATAAAGTAAATAATTAATTAAACAGATTAACAATTAAACACAAAGGGGGTGTACGGCTTTGATATTGTTTAAACATTCAATACTAGAGCAGACTTAACGGACTCTAATAAATAAATTAGTAGGATGTAGTCCCATATCTATGACAAAAGGTAAAAGCAATACCATGTATCATATTACGATTGCTGCCCGCGCCCAGTCGTGTACTCGCATGATAACAAGCGAATTTAATATTCCAGATGCGGTAACGTGATTAATTAAGACAGTCGTGTCCGGTCACAGGACGAACTTTCTGTTCTGAGAGACATTTTCAAAGTTTAGTCAATAGGCCTAATCATTCAAAAATCTGTCCCATGCGAGAAAGTAAAAACAAATTTAACATTAGATCGTATGGAAACTGTGATTTTTGGTCAGGTCAGGCACGATGGTTGTCGGTCAGCCAACGCCACTGCCGTCTGTACAACATTTTTTTAACAGCAGATACTCCGTGAATACCTTAATATTAACAGAATTCTAAAATTTCATTTTTACACAAAAGTATTAAGCCCTACAGTCTTTACCAATTTTTCCCCCAAATGAGAAACTTTCATTTATATCGAAGAAATAGCTAGAATAGCTAAACTTTGTCAATACGCCAACATACAATAAGCAATCTGACGAAAACTATGAAAAAAGGCTACAAATCTATGCTCTCCAAAGTGGCTGTTGAGAATTGTATATTCGTGATTTTTTTCCGCGTAGGATTGAATAAACTTTAAATGACTCAGGTGAGGTCTATTGCGACATTGGAAGCTATTCGCGGAAAGCAAGCATACAAAAATATAAAAGTTTTGAGTTTACTGTGCTGTGCTGGAGTTGCCACAAAGAAGTGGTACAAATCCGTTCATGACGTGGTGCCTATCGTTGTTTATCCAACTATTCCAATCAAACGTATATCCCATTTGAGTAAACTCTTCATTTCGCGGTGTCCTGTACGTCCAGTCAGAGTATACTGCTGCTTCATTAACTCCGCTACCTAGTCCACTGTATACACTTCTATTGGGATATCCGATCCCAGGACTGGATATTTCAGTAGTATATGTCGGCGATGGGTAAAGTAGATCATCACTCTGGTACATTCCTTCGAAAACTCCTCCACTGCTTTTTGAATTTTGTGATTTATTCAGCCTGGAATAGACACAATACAGCGAATAGACTTTGATGCATCGACTGATGTGCATTCTTCTCAAACATCATTTCGCCGGGAAAAGGGTTTGTTTAAATTTGGCTATGGATAGGTTTGTCTTATTCCAAACATTACTTCTTATCAATTTTAAATGAGTCGTTCCCTGTGCGAGTTCATGGTGAGTGTATAATCATCATGAACGTGACTATTTTTGGTGAGCAAACATATGTGATTCCTCTTTGCATTTTCCAGATATGTACGCTGTAAACCTTATTTTGGGTTTTCGTTGGTTTCGTGATAAGTCTTGAATAACATTTTATCTTTTTATTCATTAGCAAAACTATTTTAACGGAACAGATGGAATTATTGAATGCTGAATTGCTTTGTGGGGTATACTTGTTTTAATCCACTAGGAAACACTTTTAGTAACAACAAATGCTAAAATGTAATAATGGGCTTACCAAGAATTGAGTAAAAACAGCGTTTCTTCATAAGCTCGGCGTCCAAATAATTCCAGAACCTGTTCCCTGTATTTTAAATTAAATTTCATGCTATATATTGATGATGAAGAGTTATCGAGTTCTGTGGATGATTCATGCTGGCCTGAAAGTTCCCAATTTGTGTCAGATGTAAATGATTGCGAATTTAGCATCCATGGTGGACGAAGTATACACTTGGCTCTGAGAGTTCCTCGGAAGACTTGAATCCCGACGAGTGAAAACATGGAAAACCCTAAAAGACTCAACAGCATGGCATCCTTCAGAGCTTTAGTGGACGCAATTAAAGCTGATACTATCATGCGAAGTCCTGCAACAGAAAAATATATATAGAAAATATTCATAATAACATCCTCAGGTTTGTTCAGCAAACAATAAAATAATTTACTAATATTGTACAGTACCAATTGATATAGCCTTGTCATTATATAAATTAATGAGAACACCCAATATTTAACAATTTTAATTGTTCAACATGCTTGGTGTTGTAACTTTGTATTGTTTCTCGTACCTGGAATCACTGAAACTGTTTTAAATATCCGAAGAACTCGGATTGCGCGAAGGAACGTTAAACTTCCGACATCCGAGCTTACGGTAGTTTCAATTTCAGCCATAATTATAAGAACAAATCTGAAAAATTGTGAAAATAACAAATAAATAACCAATAAAAATCATGCATGTGAAAACTCAAAAAAAAAATCGCATTGCATGCCAGTGACATTTTTTTGAGACTAATCAGTGCTAAATTCAGGAAGTCGAAATGAATAGGAGTGTGGAGTTAGAGTCAGCTAAGTTTCAATTTGCAAATTCATGCCATCAAAATGCACACTTACTTACCCTGATACAATGACAACGAAGTCCAGCCAATTCCATGGATCACGTAGATAGCTGAATTTATGGAGGATGAATCCACGACCAACTATTTTTACCACTGCCTCCGTTGTGTAAATGAATAAGAATATGTTTCTGAATATTTGTAAAAAGGGTCGTTTAAAAATTATCTATTGTAAGGTGCGACCATGGATCGTATATTAATAACCAATAATGCTAATTAAAAGAGTATACGTCAGGGACAGAGTGAAATTAAAACATGCATAGACGAGTATAGCAGTTTAGGTGAATTAGGATTCAATCAAGTATATATATCATTTCATTTATATTCTATATCACCACCCCTCAACGTCTGGATATATCTATATCTTCAGGGTCCTATAGTAATTTTCCACATAATTGTGAAATTTTAATTTGAAAAACTGTTTAAAACTGACAAACCACAGTGAACTAAATCTTTTTTAAATTGTTTTCGGCTGCATGTTGCAAAAAAAACTTTTTTGCTTGCCGATATCGTACTCCAACAAGTATTTTAGTTACAAATTACAGAATAAAAATATCAACATAAAGCACTTACTCAACATAAAGTTCTGACCATTCCGGTTTATTATTTCCGTTCACCATCATTACAGCACAGTTGATAAGAATTGTTGCAATGACAATATAATTAAACCAAGTGCGAAATGTTAAGAAAAATAGCTTATTATTGTTTCACAATCTAAATACTTTGATTGTAATACGCGACTATAGTCGCGAATGCAGTCTAAACATTTGGATATTACCAGTTAATCGCCTCAGAATTATAATCGACTCCAGAAATGAATAGAATTGTAAATAATTTTACCGGAGTGCAACTAGCATTGTGTATGGTAAAAAGTAGCACATGTCCGCTCATATTGCAAAAACCGACACCAAACAACCATGAAAAATTATTCCAATTAGGCACCGCCTGACGCCGCGCAAAACCATAACCTTTATCAAAATGAAATACACGTTCAATAATAAAAATGCGATCTAGTTACCATGTAAATTTGTATTGAGAATTTGTAAAATCACTACGTTACCGATTTATTGTAGAAACACAAATGTTAAGGACACAGTAGTCGGCAACTGCAATATGTTATCTGGGTAACACATAAATATAATATGTATTTGCGGTAAATTTGAATAGAGTATCATTTATCATTTCTCGAAATACTGCCACAACAAAGTATATATTTCTAAACAGTTATGAAATATTCATCACTTAATTATTACCGCAATGCAAATACAACCACAACGTGACAAAATTTGTGATGTAATCCCAAAATTTTACAACACATGTGAATACTTCTTAAATAATTTAAATCAACAAATTTAATTTAAACAAACAAACTAACACCTGTTGAAAAGTTAAACATTTCTGTGATTTGTGGACTAACTTTCAATTTTATTACAAAAATATTACGCAATAAAAAGCGTGGTTATGCAAAATATTTTCAAGTCCTTCAACAATATGAATTTGGAATTATTAGACTTGGAAATAATTTAATCTGAAAATCTATTAATGTCGATTTTTAAAGGATATTTGTGCACGAGAATCCTCAAAAATGCTTTCCTGATGATGTTATCTTTGCCGAGCAAAAAAAGAGATTTTGAATCACTGAATCGAAATATCACTTTTTGATCGTTCAGAAATAAAAAGGTCTGTAACAACAATAGGCTTTCGGTTATGAAATGAATAAAAGATATTTTGTTTTATTTTCTTTTTTTGCGTTCACATCAACCCGCTAGACGAACGAAATTACAGATTTTAAAGACCAATTAGAATTCAATTAGCATTCAATACCATTCGTCGACGTTGCGAACAAAAATTCATTCAATCGATTTTAGATTAGCCAATATCATCCCCACTAAGAATTATACAGATATAAGCCACGATCAGTAGTAATATCATTTCCAATTCATTTAACATACAATGGAAAAATAATCCAGAGGTTTTTTCTAAAAAAAATTGCCCACTGTGTAACTGAAAGTTTTCACAGTTAATACTAACGTTTTTTTCCGCATAAAATGGGTCTACTTCTGGTATAGGTTCATTGGTTGGTATTGGTTTTTCGTCGTCTCCATCTATCATTGTTAAACGGCGTTGCTGCTTGAAACTTGCTGCAGGTTTGTTCTAGACAAAAAGCAATTGTAAATATATTTTGATAAAGGTTATATAATAAGGGGGGTCGTCACATTGTCTGAGAAGGTGCTCTGTTATCAACACCTAAACGAATTCAATTCAGTTCATAAACATAAAGTAGGAGAAGAAACATAGAAACAAAATTCGTTCGGATATTAGCAGAATGATTTTGACATAAATTTGGCAACCTTAATAAGAGACCTATCCAGTTACTTTTTCAAACTAACTTTTTCCAAAAAATATTATGGGATCTTTATCTATTGGTTCACCTACCATAGCAACACATTATTGCATTTCTCAGTCTTACTGAAAACGCAAGACAAATAAAAATTTTTTTGAAAATTACCTTTTCGTTTCCAAAGTTTTTAAAATGTCTGATTTTATTTTCCATTTCTAATTCTTCGTCTGTCTTAGACTGGAATTTTCTTCCTCTTATCATTGCCATCTTTTTTTTCAGTTATGTCTTCCTGGTGCCTAAAAGTTTCTGATGGCGGTACAACTGTTCAATTTAAAACATTATAGCCCCAAATATTAATAATAATAATCCAACGGTGTTGACAAGTCAAACGTAGGAATCAAACATGTCAGTTGATCATACCAAATCTAACTGCAGTATAAAGTAATTTACATACCACACGGTCACCTATACGCAAATCGAAACTTTCTGAAATTTGTAGATACAAATTAGATTCAACTAGCGAGCGGATCGTCGTTCGTGCAATAATCCTCGACCCGAAATAAGCGTAAGCGTGTTCTAGCGAAGTAATTATCTGTGACAATTGTACCTCATGAATTATTAGGAAGAAGTCAGGTCTATCGAAATAACGACTACAGCTTGAAACGATTCAAGTCAAAACAAGCCGTGGTGTGCCAAGTGCATTTTTAGCATATTAGAACCAAAAATAGAATCATTTTTCAAGTTTATCACGACGTGTAGATCAGCATCATGACGATATCATATTCTTCAGGCGAACATCATTTTCAAATTTATATATATATATATACTAAGTTTCTTACTTTTTGACCTACATTGCATTCATAAATTCATGCTTACGTATGAAGAGTATCAACCACTGTCTGTTTACCTATATAACTAACTAAACATAAAAAATGTTCCAAATTTACAAATCGAAATTCTGCAAATGATATTTCACTCTCCATTTCAAAAAAATTGGCGATAATGGTAAAGCGCAGGCTTTTCCCGACCCTGTATTGTTTTAATAAAATATTCATTACCTATATGAGAAAGTGTTACAGTAAAAAAGGTTTGCACTCTAATCTCGTATTTATCTGTTCGAGACTACGGTCAAAATAGGTACGACGATCCATAACGGAACAGAGCTTATCTTTGGTTAAATCAATCCCCAAATTAATGCATGTGTGTTCTATCGGAAAATATCACATGGGCACAATCAGAGGAGAAAACAATATAGATCCTACATCAAAAGACACGAAGCAGATAATGACACAAAAACAATACGACTCTGCCTGTCGAAACGGTGTCTAGTATCGCAGACGAGAATTAATTCAGCAAAATAAATGATTACAACTTGAAATAGAGTATGCCATCACAGAGAGTCATTGAAAAAGTTTACTGCTTTAATTTAGTTGCAGATGAATTTCATTATCCACTAATTCAAATAATTCTAAGTTGCAAAAAATCAAAGTACGTTTCACAATGCTACTTTTCAGATACTGATATTATATTGATTTTACTGAGTGTGTTTATGAAATTATGATGAAAGAAATTCACGATCTTAATGTAAATCGATATCCAATCTTTGAATTAACAAGATTATTTTATTACAGGAATTAAGTATAACTAATTTTTGACGAAACCACTTGGAGTTATATTTATAAGACTGAAATTACAGTCAAATATGCAGCCAACCACGTTGGACTATTCTAAATCTGTCTTCCCGAAAAAAAGTCATTCACGAAGTTGAAAATATATATTATGTCCTTTGTTGTAATCGACATAATATATCCCCCAACCGAACACATTCTGAATGTGATGTATCATTCGAGAACACAGAACTCAAATTTGCAATTACAATTGCAAGTCAATACTTTGATCTATGACTAATTCAATGATATATATATACTAGACTGGTTTGGGTGGCTGGATTTGAAAATTTTTACAAGCAAAACAACGCACATAGAACACTGGTGCAAACTATAGTGTTAGATTTCCAGGTTAAAAAAACAAAAAGAAGATGGCGTTGAGCAGTGATGTAGCAGAACAGTCAAATAAGATTGACAAAGTCGTAATATGACAAGTGTAAAATGCGTAAGTTTTTGCTCTCAACTCTCGCCTTAATAGCTGCATAAAGCTACTGCCTCCAATCAATATAAAAGAGAATATTCGTCATAAATCAATTTATTTATTCAGAATATTGGTAGAGAATCCTTAAAACAAGAAATGCGAAAGACAATGTACTGGAATTGTGTTGAAGATCCGAATAGTTTTTAAAAACAAAATTAGCAAATAAGACAAATGTTCGAATAATGAAATTCCTACCAAGAGTTTAACATCGTAGTGCCACTGCGCTAAAATTATGAGGATTCGATATAAGGAATAAATAATATCGAGATAAATAAAGCCATATCGTATTCCTGGGATATCATTACTGAAGTGTTCATGTTTTCCTCGCGGCACAAATAAGATGGTGACCAGTCCACTCCTGATGTGGGAATACTTTGCCAGGTAATCGTTCACCTATTGTTCATTATTCCTAATAACTATTCTCATTAATTTTTTGATGTGTAATATGACGTATATTTTCACATTATTTTTATACTTCATAATTTTTTTTCAGATTACGTCTGTCTGGTGGTCATTCCTTGACTGAACAAACTAGAAATAAACCAATGTTGAGTGCGTGAGAGTTGCGACAAAAATTGTCAAGTACTTTCATTGTGATCTGCTCCGTTTATCATCGAATTATGTGCTCCACCTTGCGGAATACGCCTGTGCATTAGATTTTTCTGGAAATGACCGTCACACTTCTGCTAGGGCTAGGGCTATGCTACTTAATATTAGCGACGATGTGTTTTTTCTAATTTCTTCTCGAGAATCAGTCTCAGTTACGACATTTGGCAATATTTTCGATATATTTGCTGCAATTTTTCTGTATAAATATATTCCCGTAATGGGGTAATATCTTCAGTTATACCTAATACCAGCGTTTACAACAGGAACCAGGTCAAGGAGTTATAGGGCTTATGTTAGTATGATAAAGTGGATAAATCAAAACTTGAGTTTGTCGTAAATATTAACATTTTCCTTAATTCGCAAAACACCGTTCATCGATTTATATCAGAAGAGTTTGATGGGTAATTTGGTTTTAACTCCGAACTAGTTTTAAATAATAAAATTCCGAGGTTTAGGTAAACTGAAACTTTTTCTAAACAATAGAGCGATGTCCGCGTCTGGTATATAGTACCACACGTACTTTCAACTGTTTGACGAAATCAGTAATTGATATCATCCGTTGTCTCAATAATCTTCGTCTTCAACAAACAAAATCATGTATTGTTGCATTTTATTTCACTTAGACTCTTCCATACAGTGATAATTGGATAAAAATTTTATCATAATAGAAATCAAAAATAAACATCATTTGGCGAGAAGAAAAATGCAATGAAAAATATTGTAATGCTAATATACAATAAAGGAGTTGTCGTTGTTTTAAACCGCGAAAGTCCGAAATTCCCTGTTAGTTTTTTATTTTTTTTAAATAGAGAAGGTTCCGTACAGTTTTGTTTTTCTAAGCACGAGCACCATCCATGGTCGAGTTGAATACATTGATACCTTCCGTTAGGTGTCAGTCTGGGATAATCGATATCTTCACATGATACTTCTTCCGTCAAACATTCCGGCAGAATTCCTAATGTATGAAGAAAAGAATGAAGATAGTTGATATCATTCTAGTATTAGACTTTGTTTGTAACGGACGGACGTTTGTAAAAAACGTACAGACAACCGACCTTCTAAGGCTCTAAGCATACTTATTATGGTAATAAAGATTATGAAGCAAATCAATCGTAATCAAGTGAGAAAACTTTAATCATTTCGCTTTGCTTATAATATGATGAGCACATATTTAAAAATATTTTTTATATTATATAAATATCAACTTACGAGCACACACTCGGTTTTTAATAGTCCATCCTGCTCGACACTTATCACATCTTCTTCCAACAAAGTTCGGTCTGCATAGGCACTGGCCACCAGGTTGACACCACTGACTGTTGGAACCGATGTAGTCACACTTGCAAGCTGAAGAAACACGGAGAATTTCAGAATATGAATAATCAGGAACCAGACAATTGAAACGCTACCACGAGTGTGATATATATAAAGTATCTGGACTCGTTAATAATTGAATGGATTTTAGGAAAATTGCACTTTTTATAACGAAAAACATAAAAATTCACAAATAAACTACCTGCACACACTTCAGGATGATCTAACTTTTTACGGATATTTCTAAAGTATCTATTTTTACAAGTATGGCAATTCCTTCCTATCGTATTATGTCTGCAATCGACACATAATATTCCAAAATCTCTGACTTCTTCACATCGTTTGCTGTGTCTGTTGCAATTGCAATTTAATTTTTTCACTGACTCCTCCGCACTCATGAACGAAACTGGTTCGTTATTTTTGGTAAAACGTTCAATACCAAGTTCTTGGAAAGATGTACCTGTTAGACAACATATGGCATTGATTTTATGTAATTTACTGCTTCATGGTAGTAATAGATATAAATTGATCTGAATAGAAAAGTATGTAGATCCAATATTTTCCAAATGGTACTATATAGGAGGCAAAGATCCAAAAACAACGCACGAAAATGGAAGTTCAAAGAGATATGAATAAGGACAGTAGTATTAACGTAACCGATCAGAAAACCCCTAGAATAGGATCGTTCTCGAGAAGAATTTGGATTGGCTACAGCGCATTGTAAGCAGGGCGTGTCCATGACCCTTGTCCACATATAAGTATCACCCGGCGACTTACACTGATTGACGACTCCTATTTCAGACGTTGATGAATATGAACCTGGTTCCCATGGTTTCATCCAGTATAAGACTTTACATTTCTCACAATCTCTCCCTTCAGTAAAATGTCGACAAATACACCAAGCTGACTTTGATGAATATCCACATTGGGAAGCATGTCCGTTACAGAAACACCTATTCATGAAACGATTTTAAATGAAATTAATACTTATATCCATAATAAATTATCACGAATAAAAGGTAGTAAAGCAATTCCGCTTCTTTGAATTGTAATTTTGACTATTACGAAACACATCACTCGAAAATCAAATGCTTTTTGTTAACTTCGCCGAGTGGTCAGGCGTTTTCCAATTAATCTTATTGTTTATTAAAACAGTGGCGAGGTGAACAAAAGATAATAAACTTTATTTTAGATATTAATATTCAATCCTTTTTTATACATTTCATTACTTGATCGAATCATCTGTATAGACGATGACAATGCTATAAAACCTGTTGCACGGCGATGCCCTACTCGGGATATTTATAACATATATATCACAAAAAATTCTGTTGTTTGAAAGGGTTCGATAGAAAACCAAGATTGCTCGACATTCTACGTTTCAAAATTTTTTACCTTGCCGGCATATAGATGTTTCTTATTCCATAATGCTCAGAACGTTGATGCAAACCGTCATTAGAAGAATCGGCGCGAACCATCGGAGGTTGTTGCAATCGTATCCTCAAATTTGTAATCAATAAAAATTTCGATAATTCAGAATTTTTGTTAGATATCTCTTCGCACAGGCTGGACTGAAAATAGTGTTTTACAGAATCTTTAAATGTAAATATAATTTAACAACCTATTGAGTTTCCTAACTTTCATTAACCAACATGAAAACGAAACTAAAAATTCATCGGCCACAATGTCGATTGTCAAGGAAATAGTAAAATGTGGAAATAGTAAAATTCAAAACCGTTCACATGAATAAATTCACAAACTGCAAATGCACAAGTATTCTAACGTCAAGTAGTTTATCATTTTAATACACGCAGAGACAAATAAAAAATACGTACGTCATTTAAACCTTTTCTACGCAGCAGTCGAATTCTTGGGGCAATGTAGACTTTCATAGTCGATTTATCTTCCCAAATAAAATTAGTACTAAAGTCCTGGGAACAAATCGGTTTGGTTGACAGATTTACATCTGTACTTGGATTGGCGAAATCCCTGCAAATGTTGATATTATTTCAATAATAGTAATGGATTTAATATGTAGATAAAAATATTTCTACTTACGCTGCAGCTTTCTTTTAAGTTCAATCAGCTACTAGTGGTGCTATAGTACAGGGCTACTCAACTGGCGGACCGCGGTCCGAATCCGGACCTTTCGAGTATTGGATTTGGACCGCACCCAATTATTTATTTTGGATCATTAGCCCCACTTTTTAAATTTCCTATTATAAAATGACTTTCATAGTTTTGAATATATACGAAAAGAACTATAACACCAAAATAAACAATTTTAATTTGCTACTAATCATTAGTCGGTCGAGGAAGTGCTCGTTTAAGGATGCCAAAATATAATTTCTGGAAAGACCGGACCCAAATAATTTTGAAGTTTTGTTTGCGGACCTTCGAAAAAAATAGTTGAGTAGTTCTGGTATAGCGTATACCGCCATCTTATGTTCTTAAAGTGTTCCATACGAAGCTGCGTGGCTCCGTGAGAGAAACCTTTGGGCCCGCGGGCTATTCGTTTACTTGTTAAAATACTAACTTGTAACTGTTCAAAGAAGCAATAACGGCATCCATAAAATGACAAAGGTAGCGTCGAAATGAGGCAACAAGGCGGTTATCCAAATATGACATTTATCTATAACTTACAATAGATAATGCCATATTGCGATAACCTCTCCGTGGGCTGCATAACACCAAACGTTTGAGAACCCCTGGTGTATAGGGTTGGTGTTCCGACAGAAACCGAGTTCACACGCAAGTAAGAGCTAAACTATTCAAAATTCTGGAACATGTAGAAGCCATGAACAACACAGCATTTATATAGTCCCAGAATACCTTTCATTTTGAGTTTAAAATATTTATGTGATTTTACTTTAATGGTAATTATTCATCTTCTCTCTTTCAAATAATTCTTTAAAATAAGCACAGTAAAGTTCATAGGGCAATAAATGCATATATACTTACGTGTGGTACATATTGTGATTTGAACAATTATCAGCATAATATTGAATAGGTTGCCAGGTTTTTCCACCATCCGAAGATTTGTCCACAATCATTTTTTGGGGCAAACCGTCATGGAAATCAATAATAATGTCATCTAAAAAGAAGCAACATCTTTCTTTACAACCAATGGTGCGACGAAGTTGTCGATACGTGAAATTACCAAATATCAGCTCACATTCTGGGGAGCGTAAAAGCAAGAATTATTCGACACTGTACAGAATACAACATGGGAATATTTTCTGTTCGGTTTTGAAACGATTGTTTTAACGTTTATGAATTTTCACTATGACAGTTTCAGATGCACGGACTTGGTGGTGGAGGAAGCTGTAACCGACCAGCGGTTACGTGAACCACCCTACAACGGCGAGTAGTCCAGCAATCCCTCTCGCACATAATTATTCCCCAATAACGAAATGACATAACACTGGAATCAAGCAGTCTTCCTCGTGAACTGTAGCGGATTGCGCGGCATTTGTTGAATAACCATAAAAGAAAAAACACTCATTTCTCAGAAACAATGCAAAGGACATTGGGTCATTCCTAAAAACGCTAATATTGTATGAATTCTTACTATATATATATATATACTGATAGACAAATATGGTGTATGCCATATAGAGGAGTTATGAAAAACTGGTGCTCCAATACATTAAATACTTGCCAATAAGTTGAAACTTTTTTGGTAGATTGATCGTTATATTCAATTCAAACGTTTTTCCAGGAAGACCTGGCCACGGTTTGCTTTGCCACCAAGTCCATTTGTGACCATCGATAATGTGCGAAGGTGAATGCGAATTCTTGCTACATTTTAAACAAGAAATTCGATTCCTCTGTTAAAATAGAAATGCGAACATTTAAAACGATAGGCTTCAAATACATAATTTCTGCAATAAAAAAAAATACGCGTGACAAATGCAGGTGAAAAAAATTATTTTAGAGGCAAATACAACTTGGGCACTTGGTGGCTGGGACGCAGGAACTCGCCAGTAGCCAATGAAAAATTAATATTTCTGTCGAGTACCCTTTTCACTAAGCCATATTTTAAAATGTATACTGAAAACTTTACTTTTCCGTTTTAAATAGACCTAAATAGAACTGATTGTCTGCTGTAGACAGTGCTGGTAATACACCGCGTGTGTAACTCAATTGGCATACATGTCAGTAAGTTAAATGCCTGCCTGGTTTTGGACCTTGGTAAGTGATTAATTTCGTATTCAAGCCCACCTATTGAAATAGCGATAATGCTAGTTTAGTTAATTAAGCGTCCCCTCACTTAGCGTCCCCTAAATATTCAATTATTAAATTCAAGACGCATATTTATATATCTGATCTTTAATGTGTTTATCTGATTACAAATCCATAGCTGACTCATACTGCCCTACTTCTGCTGAAATGATATTTCATTACTAAAATCCCTTGAGATGTGGCTTTATTGAAAATATGTTTGTATGTGAAAGTACAATATTTTCGAACGTTAACTGAACTGATAATTTCGGTTGAACTTTTTAGTCAAGAGCAGTTGTTTTTAGGATTTGATGGCCGCAAAATATTTTGGAAAGACATTGGAAAAATATCTTTTGAAACAACACAGTATACGGTCTGAGTTTATGAAAATATATTGATGTTTTCTTAGCTCAGAAAAATAGTTGAGTTATTTAATAAGTGCTTTATCAAACTTGGATTTTAATTTCCCAGTAAAAAATATTTTCGCTTAAAAAAGCGAAAGGCGTATGTTCCGAAACCTTTGATGTATGTTCTGTTAATTTCCCTATAACAACGCAATTTTGGTTCTGCTTTATCAACCACAACATATATGCGTGCCCATGGCACAAAGGCTTTGTCTTGTCTTAGCATTCATGAATACTTTGCAGGTCACATTTTTGCGTGTACATCTTCGATCGATAATGTGAGGATACAATGTTTAAATTGAGCAAAAATATGTAAATACTATTTGCACTGCATACCCTTACATATGGCAAGTTTACACTGTTATGTGGAGGCATGACTATACCGGTGACGATAAACACGTCTAATAGAGCCCGCAAAACCGTTGGACTGCGTATAATTTAAATCTTTTTTTTTTATAACGTGTTTTACATTATAATACGGAGATATACACAAATACCGGTTTTATGTAAAAAAAAAGATTCGGTCAGCATGACATCCATTTTTTTCCGCAACTGATAGCAAAACTAACCAAGGCTGGAGCTTAAAATGTCTTTTTCACGATGACAAAAAAAATGACCAACGCGACAACCACCAGGTCACCTCGTCCATAAATAATTAAAGACAAGTACACAATAATAAAAATTGGCTCATCCCATGTATTAGTTATTATTTTTTGATTTCGTGAATAAAATAATTGTGGAACATGTAAGTGTAATAAATAGCTTTTGTTCCTTGCAATTTGTGTAAAATTGCTAGAACGAGCGCACAAGAGACTTTAATTAAGCAAAATCACTTACAAGGCTACAAAACTGCACAACTGGTGTACCGCATGTTGCGTTTTCCGGCGATACTACAATTTCTGCCAGAGTGGCGACATTTTTCCGTGTATTTCTTGGCTCGCAAGCAGCTGGTATTTTCTTTCCTGTCACGAACAATTTATTTTGATCATTTCATCAATATGAACCGGTTACGGCACGCAAATATTAATAATTAATATCTTCTACCAAGAACAACCACAATATAATTGGCGTTCTTGTAAATAAAACAAAACATTCACCTTTAACAAGCTTTTCTTAGAACATCATGATATAGAACGAATCTAATATTACCACTATATTTTAAGTAGTAGCATTCCAGTCATACACCGTATAATTGTGAGTTTCAACTAAAATGTATTTAGCACAGTACACACCACAATACTGCATAACAATCATTCGGCAGGAAGGCAGTCAATAAAGGTTCAATAGTTTACAATGGAGAGTGATAAACTTTAAAGTAATTACCTGAGACTTCGCAATAATTATTCAAGCACTCTTGCAGTCTGGTAGCTTCAGTTGAAGTGAAAACGCATATTGATAATATCAGAAATATAGGCTTCATGCTTACACTAGGATAAAATGCCATGTTCATCATTTGAAGTTGTCTATATATCACCTAGTCTTTGGCGACAGCATAATCATGTCGAGCGTTAATATATTGGAATTTTCTTAATTTGTGGTTTCAATTATTTTTCGCTATTCCGCTAAAAAAAATTTTAAATCGTAATTTTCGTACATTTCGCTGTGGTAATATAGTACTGTTTATGCATAACATTAAAAATGCATTAGTTTATAAAAACTCACTGAAAATGTATTTTGAAAATATAATTCATTAACGGCTGAAGAATTAGGCTAAATGGCAATCTTAATTTAATAGAATATTGAAAATAATATCATTTGAGTAACCATATTCGAGTAGCGCAAATCGGTGCTTTTTTTCGGGGTATAGATAACAGTTTTATAAATATAATTTCGTATTCTTTATCTCCCACCTAAGTATACAATTTTAATTTCACGATGGCCCGGAATTTCCTAGCATGATTATCATGATTTTCCTAGATGATTATCCGATTGCAATATTAAATTTTCTAATCTCAATCGCCCTCGTTGCACATGCAAACTTCTCTATTTTAAAGTCACGAAGGATAAATATTCCGTAGTTGACGACTAATCCTACCTCACGTCTTATCCCATATTAGACGACATACTGATCGACTTAATACTGAAAGAAAAGACGATACCAATTACTAGTCGAAACCTTTTACGACGTTCTCATCATCTACGACAGAGTAACGACTGCGACTAGTAATTTTTTCATCGTTTTGAAAAGCCAAAGATTAGACCTTGTAAATTATTCAAATGAAATATTCCATATGTTTATAATACACGCAGAGCAAAGTTGTATACTTTCTTGACGTCTACGCGAGTTTGCGCCACGCGCCGAGTTGAAAATTTCCATATAACGATGAAAAACTGCCAATCAAACGCGTGACCACGGAAATGGAATTTTCTTCTTTACTTCGATAATTTAAACAGATATTGATTATTAATCTTTGAGAGCGTATCGTAATATATTGATTCCGATGATTACAGTTGGTTCTGTCGTAAATGTTGAATGGTTGCCTAAGCAAACGACGAGAAGTGAAGTAAAAAATATGTTGAACTAATATTGAAAGAAAGTAAAGTGTCCTATTGTTACATACTTCATTTCACTAATTTCAAAATAATATGTAACACTATTCAGACAAATTTTAACATCTAAAAAAACTATGAGCGGTCAGAATCCAACAAATTGTCACATTAGCTATAGAAATCGTGGACGATAATACTTATATTAATTTGTTTCATACTCTCGACATAAGCAATTTCTCCAATTCGTGACTGACAAGAAAAACAGCTAAAGTTTTATTTACGGAAGGATTAGAGGACAGTCGTATTCTGCATATTCGATATCGATTTCTATTTTTGAAGATCGATAAGCTCATTAAAGTTGAAGCTGAATTATCGGCGAGGATGTTTGTGTTCGGAATTATCGATGATTGTCCTTCTCTCAGTGGAATTAAAGCAAACATATAAATTGATTTGAATCGGATAGGGTGCGTGAGCGAGAATGAAGGAAGTTACACGAATCTACAGTGAAAGTATCAAACATTGCGGCGGCAAATTCAGCAAATATTGAAAAATTTGAAATCAATGCTCCCAAATTACGTTATTCTTGCCGATGCAATAAATGTTTAAATTTGTTCCAATCAAATTTATGTTATTGATTCATTCATTAGGGCAAGGCTGCCCCGCATGCGGCCCGCCGGACTGTTTTTTGCGACCCGCCCTATAAGTTTGTAAGCAGACTTTTTATGTTTTTACCATGTTATATTTCAATATATACGCTTAAGTATGTTTCGTGAGTTTGTTGTGATTATTCCTGCCATCTATCTACATTCAAATGTCGGATCTTATTATTACGTATGTGTCAAGTCTTGCACCCTGGTGGACATCGACGTCAGTTTGTGTTTATTTCTCGCAGAACTGAGCGTTCTGTTCGACGAACTCGAAAGATATTGTGCGATCATTGAGAACGAACGCTGAGCGCATTTATCGGAATAAATTTGGAGCCTAAATTTGCAAATTAATTTCATTCTGATGGTTTACTTACGTGTCTGCTTTGATCGTTTTTATCGCCAACGTAAAATAATGAGTCAACAATATCTTTGGTACTGGTCCTGTGACTCGTTGTTCTTTTATGTTAGTATTTTTTATCTAATGTTTGGGTTAAATAAGATTTCGGAAATGTCGTCACTGCGTATTCGTCAATAATTCTGATGAAATTGACTTAATTGCATTGCTGCATATTTGTCACAAATCAGTATATATAGGCTATTCGTCCAAAAATCTTTGTAATGTTTCTTCATTAAATACTTGTATTGGTGTTTCAAATTTTACGAAACGGCCCACATAACTTGATATTCTTGACATTGACGCACATTATGCTCATTTAAACATTGAGGCAGTATCATAGCTACTGAAAATGAATGAATAGAAACACTATAACGCAAATATACCTCTTAATGTCGACGTGATGTGTATGTTTTCGCGTGGTCGTCAGAAAACCGCAAGTGCCATGTCCACGCCCCCCGTGTTACCAGATATTTGATAGTAAACTGCTATTCTAATATTGGATTTGATATTCGAATAATTTGCCAGCCCTACTCAGTAACCAGAGAGCAACTATTAAATTGATTGATTTTATCTTAATAAACTTGCCTTTTATGTATATATTATGTAAATTACCTACACCGAAATCAGGACTTAGCTGGTATTAATGTTTGGTACAAACGTTTGCGGCCCGCAACGAATTTCGTCACATGAAAGTGGTCCGCGAGACGAAAAAGGTTGGGCAGGCCTGCATTAGGGCATCAGGCAATCACGAAAATGGTATCACATATATTCTCCGTGTTTAGTGTTTCAAATCGCAAAAAATAACGAGCATGTTAACACATCTCTTTGAACAAACCAAATAAAAAACTTTCGATTTGTTACATTTTCTATTTTTATTATATTAAATGATGTCAGTGTATATGTCAGTGTATTCAGGAACATAATCAAAACAGCTGTGAAACAATAACTATATGATTGTTTTGCATCATATTCTGCCAACTTGGCAATACAGATAATTCTCGGTAGTGTTTGACACCTAAGTTTTGACACCAATTATGAAAAAAAGTTAATAAAGAAACGCCCAACATTATAGTCATCATACGACTTTAGAATGACAAAGTGGGATACTTAACAAAAATGTGCATTTTTACCAGGAACATGCATGTCCGGATCATTTGTACAAAGCCGCCGTCACTAATGCAGAAATGTGAGATCTGAGAAAAACACTCCCGACACGTTTTAAAATAACAAATTGGTAATTATCCAGTTAATAATATAAGGTTAGAAATGATTTGAAAATTTGAATTTACAGCGCAATCTGCATTCTGCTGATCTCATCTGCTCACCCTTACTGGATATTTACTTTTTTTTGAGCGGTGGCGGGGATGTTTTTTTTGCCCGGGGCTTTGTACAAAAGATCCACGTGTCCTTTGTCAGCGTTTTTTACTGAGTGGGAGTAATGAACCGTTTGTGTAACTTGGATATTATTTATCAACCTGCATCGGAAACTACACTGAAAGTCTTACAGCGACTAAAAAATTGTCAATGTGAAAATGGCAAAAGATTCTCCACGCCTGGTCAAATAACGCATATATATGTGATTTGCGAATGATTTCACAGTTTTTTCTATTGTAATCTATGTTGTATATTTCATGTTATTCTGATGATATTTTACGAATTTACAATTTGAAGTCAGGGGGCCCGTAGTGCTAATTTAGATATTCACTCTGTACTAAAATCGAAGACTGCCATTCTTTGAGACGTTCATAACGCTATGCATTAAAACGTTTCGGTTCGCTCTGATGTTACTGATAGTTAATAACAGGCTTTGATAATATTTGCGTCGTGCTGATCAAGAAACGAAATTTATTTGGCGTCTGTGATAACAGGTTTTATGAAGTGAGATTTCCTATATTTTCTACTCAAGCATATAGTGGATCTCAATAGGCAACTCCATATCCAGTGGTTGTATCAATCCCTGATCATAACTCGAATCGATGGGTATCAGATCTAAATAAGCTCGAATAACGTAAACGCAATAGCAGTGTCTCTTGCTACTGGGTTTTGAATCTACAAGTATCTAACGTAATAAAGTTTAGCACTTGTGGCGACATATCTCCTAATATAGACAGTTGTTAACAGCGCAAACATTTTAATTATATACAGTATAGTTGTATCTACAGCTAATTTTCTTTTACTTCTATAACTACGTAATAATTTATAAGAATGCTAAATATATTCGTGTTACGAGATATTGTTATTCCTTTCAATGCCGAGTGGCGTGTTCCTAGTCATTTCATGCATAAATAGCAATATATAGTATCTTGCCCTGACTGTTGCCAACCATAGTTTTGAAAAGCTGGTATTAATCACGTATCCCTTAACTTATAAAATGATTACTATCGTTGCATTATTGAGCTTTTGTGCAGTAATAATTAGGGTGTGACATCATTAAAATGACAACTGAGTGTTGAGTTTGTAAATTTGAATGCAATTATGAATTTCTCGTTAACTATTTTAGATATGATAATGGTTGTGGTATTGTTTGGTTAGAAAACAACACGAGAAAACGTTAAAATTAATTAATGCTCAAACTTCTACGAGACACAAAATTGTTCAAGGTTGTTGTTTACAAATTTTCTGGCGGTATTTCGCAATGTAAAAACCAGTAGTTGAGGTCTCTTTAGCGTCATCTCGCTGAATAGAACTCTAGCATTCGCTAATTGAAGTCGAGTAAAAAATTTTTGGAAAACGACCATACAGAATTGACCCAGAGGGAGAGATATGGGCGGGTTGGAAATTCGTTGTTTTTACACTAATTTTGAAAGAAACATTGGTTTAAATATCATCGTTAACTTTTATTTATATCATATATATGTATATTTCGAGGTAAAGTGGAATGAATTTATGAAGTGGAAGATTGAATGCCTACCGAATGGGTGGATTCAGGGCCGGGGAGGAAATTTTACTTTGTATTTGCGTGTCGTATTACTAATATTTTTTCCTCATTCAGTATTAGTATCAGTAGCGTAGGTAGGGTATAGAAGCCATGGTGGGAGTTGTTTGGATATGGCGCAAAAAGAGCGTAGAGTTTAAATCAGGGTGGTCCAAACCACGTCGCCTTTGCTGAAGGGTAATCGAAAAATCGCATTTGGTGTTGTTTCGTCATATAAACAACAGAAAATCTTTTCGACATCTTGTTACATCACTAATGTCACTGAATTAACTGGTGTTACGGCTGGCTGAAGCAACTAACGAAGTTGAATTGAGTGTGATTGGGTAGTCCAAATTGTTCACTGGCTTTCGATCTATTTGGCTGGGAATATATTCCAACAGTTATAATAACTAAATATTAATGTTATGGCCTAAGAATATAATTCGTTCCGGTGATGTTTTGCAACCAGCCTTAACAGTATTACGAAAACGCTTCTAATATTTCAGCAAAATTAGTAATTACTCTCCTGTACCTTACATTTGGTAAAATATGATAATCAATCATTCAGCAGTTATGACAAATATAATCTAAAACGGCATTTTGCTATCATGTGAGCAATGAGCATTTCCAAATTTTGAGGGATTTTGCTTTGAGAACCCTGATGTTCGGAAGCACTTACATTTGCGGGAGCACTTTCTCCATTATAAAGAGTTTGAAATCTTACATTAAATGTAGATATAGCTGAAGTTTTGCATGTTTCAGTGATTTTCTGGCGTATTTTGTATGAGTTAGCTTGATAAATGACAAACAATGATCAATCGTTTGCACAATAAAAGTGTTTGTTGTTTACATATTGTGGCCCGCGAACAATGCAAAAATAATTTTGTGGCCCGCGAAGGCGACAACCTTGCCCAACCCTGGTTCGAATCGTAAAAAATTTTAATAAACGAAATGAAAATGAATGAAACTCGTAAGTTTACTTATATAATAACGTATATAACGTAAATAAAGGATCTCATCTCAACAACAACTGTCAAAAAAATGTCAAATAACGATGAAGGGGGATAGGTGTACTGTATACATTATAAACCATCCAGAATATACAAAAGCCAGAGCATCAGTTGCACGTATTGCAAGTTTAACAAATGCAAATGGATTTTTATGCGTACTGGGGAAGCAGGAGCCCAAAAATTGGTCAATGTGTCAAAAAAGTCGGGAACTGAATAAATGATACAGCAATATGAACACTTTTAATCTTGTTCAGCGTTTTATGCGAAGACTTGATCACTGAATGATTTCAAATGCCTCTGACCTAAAAGAAAATGGTCACCATATAAATGTGCCAGGATCTGTATAATGCACTTATAGATAGACGTGGACTTAGATCGTTTTGATGTCACGTTGTTAAAAAAAAACTTGTTGGACACGGAATGTAGCTATAAAAGTCCAGTGATCACAATGTTAAACCCAAACGGGCCTATTTGAAACGAATGGTTCAACGGTAAAGCAGCCTTTCTAGAGTTTTAACAGAACGGCGCTGAGCGTCGGGATCGCGCCCCTGATTACCTCGCGTTGGAGAATAATCGTGCGAGAGAAGATTGCTGGATTTCTCACCGCCATCATAGAGCTCATGCACTTTGAAGAACATTTGCCGTACCCAAATTTAACTGATCCAATGCCTACTTGCCGCATTCTGCGTGAGACTTCCTCCTGAAATAGCAAATACAAGCCAGTGACAGTTACTTCAACATAATCTAGGAAAAACACGTCCACTTCAAGCTTTCGCCAGCGGCAAAGCGCCGGGCGCAACACTTCAGAAAATTATGCCGCAACGGTAACTCGTTATTTTGGTGAAGATAGCGAGAACGTTTTCAAATACCGCTTCAAACCAAAGTAAACCCCAAAAGGTATATCGCTACAAAGTACGCCTAAATAGAGTTAGGAATACTTGAATGGGAACAAGAAACTCACTAAATGCCAGTCACGCGTGAAATCGTTGCAAAACACGTCAATAGTTGGGAGGGGCCAGCTCTGCACTAATGAACAACAAGTCTTTAAGGATTGATTATACACCACTTTTCCATGAAAATCCCAATTGGAGGGATGGCGCAAATTCTAACAAGCACGACACTGGAGAGGAACGTTTGACAGCAAAAGCAACCCTTACCATATAGAAACAATATTGCACAAGACTGGAGATGAGACTTTATCATTGAAATATTGCGAATCAACATCAAAAATATATTAAACTACAGATCAACACCAAGACTTGACAAGTGTCCTTAAACACTATGGAATTTAGAAACCACATCATTACCAAAAGATTAAAGCTTGGGGGTGACCTGTATGAACTAAATTATAATTCAAGTCAAACTTTGAAATTCTTCTCTTGCAAACCAAATTACTAAGAGAGAAAAATAAATACTGTACCGAAGTTGTGAAGATGCTGAAGTTGCAACAGTTCGTTGCAGTGCGATCCAGCTTCACCTGAAGAAAAAAACTTCAAAACAAGTTACTGGCTCATGGGAACTGCTGAATACTAACTTGCGATATTGAAATTTTAACATTGTTATCAAGGATAGCAGCATTATGAATTATGGCATGCGACCACCAAGAAAATATGTGGACCAAAAGTGTATGCTTTAGCTCTGGAAAATCAATAAAAACCGACATTTTTAATACTCCACCAAGATCTTGGAACTTCTCGTTTCTTCAAAGTAGCATCAATCGCACCTGTTATTATGAAAAATAGGGATTTAAATGTTCTATGACAAGGTCCCTAAATTTTTAGAAGAAGAATATACAAAGTTTGACTTGTAAACGATACAGATAATACCAACGAAGATCAAAATATCAGCTTGAAAAACAGTGTCCCATAATAGTACTGGTCAGCTTCAGCAAGATCTGTAAAAATGAAAATGCAAGCATAACAAAACATTCAAAACAATGTAAATGATATTTACTATAAATTGATGATGCTTAACAGACCAGTACACTGGAAAAAGGCATGTTCACGAAATTTGAAGATAATTTATCTCTAGATCTGTACTTTCATCAAAAGTCTTATCTTTTAGAATGAATCCCCATGTTAACTTACAAAGAGAACTGAAAAAATTCGAGTTTGTTACAGGATCACAAAAATACAAACCCAGAGACAATTAATTAGAACCATTGGCCCCACATAAATTATATACAGTTTTAAAAATAAAAAATTAATTGACCGACCATCTTGAGTTACAAGTTAGGTCCATTTAAGTCCTTTGGTGGAAGATACTGGCACAACTACCATGGAATTTAATGCATCCAAGTTCACGATGGAGAGGAAGAATTACATTGTGAACACAATTCAAAAGATACTGATCCATTTTTCACATGTAAGCAGATGCCTGTATTAGTATTTTTCTTTTTATCACAGGGTTCATCAGAACATGTTGGTAGTTTGCGCTTTCCAGACGTTTTATCAACAGTCTTTGTCAGATTCACAGATTTTAAAGAAGGCTTCACAAATATACCAGGAACAGTTGATACAGCCTTTAATATTTTGGACAGTTCGCTCTGATTTTCCATTACGTTTCGAAGGTATGTTGCATCCTGTGACAAAGCATCCACAGTTCTTTGTAATAGGTCAATTTGAGATCTCATTGATTCATTCTCTGTTGTAAGCTGTTGGACAGAGTTCTCTAGCCCTTTGATGTACAACTTTCTCTTCTCCCTGTTTTCTCTGGCATTTATTGCTCCACGATTTTGTGATACAGATTTTCCTCTTACTGTCTTTTTTGACCTCACTGTTTCACAAACTCGACTGTTTTTCACCATTGAAGATTGTGCAACATCTTCCAGCGACAGGCAGTCTTGTTCTGTACCATATGTTGACGAGGGAGAACAGCTACCACTGAATGAAGGACTCCTCGATTCACTGGGCATCGTCGAATAAGAATTCATGCAAGAGTCATCCTCAGGCATTGCTGATTCACTCAAAAGTTTGTTTAAAAGTTGATCATCTTCATTTTCGCTTTCTTCGTATGGAGGGGTATTTGCAGACATAAAGTCGTTAGATACTGTAGATAGTTCAATCTCACTTCCTGATCCTTTCAAATAATCCAACTCAAACAGTGACTCAAAAATATGGTCTGTGTAAGTATCCATATTATGGTAATTCAGTGTAACGTTACGTTAGATTTAATGGAAATAAAAGTTTCAACTTCGCAATTATATCCAGTAAATAACCATACACAGTTACCGTACGTTACGAAAACCAACACAAGGACTTTCTGGGATCTGCGCAGCAGTTTAAAAACACGGAACCAGTAGTTTAACTCTTAACTCAATCACAGTCCGTCAGCTGAAATAGAAATCCGGCAGATTGATACGACAGCGACACGAAAATAGGTCCCAACTGTTACCACTATATCGAAAATATCGCACAAAAAACTCCCGGAGTTCGACGAAAGCTGGACAAAAGAGAAATAAAACGTACATCGAACGTCGCATTTTTTCTTTGGCGCATGCGCACTGGTACGGCTCACGTCATTGTCTGCAATGCCTACAGGCAGAGCTACATGCGGATGGTTGGTAAATACCAAAGTGACTATAGACCGGTAAATATAATCCAAGATTGAAGAAACAAATTAAAGTGTTTCACTTACTACCACGTTTGTTATGAAGCAGCTAAAATAATAACGCTTTTATTTACCATCGTTCGTTTAATTTAATTGCTCCAAATATAAAGCATAAAAAATCACGGAACTACAACTGGTTTTTCCGTGCATGTTTTTGTTTCCACTTAGTATATGCCTATACTATATCAAGATATACTTGTACTGCTACATAATAATAATGTACTATAGACGTGTTATCCATGGCGTCGAAACTAGAAAGACTAAAGAATACCGGTACAGCAAAATTGCCTGATAATGCGGTTAAAACTACTATGGGTATCATACATCGTTGGGAACTGAAAGTGGGGTACGGTACCAGTACTTTACAAATAAAGGTTGTATCACAAATATATGGGCGCGAAGGTCAAACAACTACGCCAAGAATCCCAACTTGGATGATTCAACGCCGTTTCCACTAACAACATTGCTTCATATCGACACAGTGAGAAAAAGTGTGCGGCGCTGCAGTGAAACGCGACGTCATATCTACTCAGTGATACATTAATTCGGTTCTTAACATTGTTTTTCTTGCCATGAAAATAAGTCAAATATGTCGTACCGCGGTACTCCAGTCAGGATATTTCCTTGAGAAGTTATGATGCACACGGAGTTATTAGATTTGAAAACAGTAATATGCTAACTTGCTTACGTGTCACGGTCTTTCGCTTTCGTTGTTATATTCGTGCCGGTTTGTCCCAGAAATATCATGTCATGTGTCCCAGTATGCGTTTTATTGCATTGGTCTGTTCATATATTTACGGTTCAAGTCATACATATCTTTGACAAGAACGTTACTTGCCACATGCACTGCATTGAATCTGAGAGGCTTTGATGTAGATACTGTAGCAAGTACATAAGGATAGTTACTGTGTATTTTAATATTTTCACCACTTATTGTTAGTAGTGCATGTTATTTGCCTGAAACAAGGTCGTTGTCCCAATTCATTTCCTTTATGATATATTTTTCTCGCTCAGTGTAGCTTGTCTTTGTTGTTCTTTGTTAGTTAGAAATTTGGTTTCATCACAAATACTTGCTTTAAGGTTTCAAGTGTAATTCGTTATTTGGATCAATTCAACTGTGCAACTTTACAATATAACAATTGGCATTCAATACATTGTGTGCTTTTTGACCTCTGAAGGAGTCAAGATCGGAGTTACACTCTGTTAACGTGTGTTCAATAACACGGGAGTGTGGACACGCAGATAGGGTCGAATCTTTGTTGCCCTATAATACAAGTTTTTGTCACTATTATTGGGTTGGCGCGACGGTGTGGCCCATTGTGCTAAGCATTAGGAATACGCTCGCCATCGCACCTCTAATTCTCTTGCGTGGGTTCGCAGATTCGAATCCCATGCGAGATGGTTATGTGCGAGAGGATTGCTGGACTCCTCCTCCCCCGTAGGGTGGTTCACGTAACCGGTGTTCGGTTACGGCTTCCGAAAACAAATAACAACTAATCCCATACCCGGCATGGAATGGTAATTGGACGAGAGGCTGTGGTTCGCCATATGGTTAAGCCGTCTTATCGGCTTTCTCTCCACCCGGATAAATATGTAAATCCTTATGAAAAGAGTATAGCTTTATCACCCAGTCCTGATCATGCCCATCCATAAGTACAACCTGGATTCTGTTGAATATATGAATTTTGTAGGAGCAGTGAACTAATCCGTGACCAATGAGGATCCAGCTTTCACAGTGAGAATGACTTCGCTGGGCGCCAAGATTAACGTGTGCCAGGTTTGCGTTAAAACATAATTTTAATTATCCTTATTTCAGTTCTATTACGAGTTCAAGGACTAGCCAAGTGACTTCAGTAGTTTTTGTACCTGAAATTATTGGCCAGTACGGTACGCGTCGCTGTATGAATACAGTAGCTGTACCCCGCACCTTTAGATTCACCAGTGTCCATTGGAAAACCCCAGAGATATCGAAACTCTAGACCTCTCGACTCAAAACATATAGCATCCATGGGTAGAACACATAATCTAACAACATCAAAGAATATTTTTGAAAATATTGTATTGGCATGAATGCAACCACGACCATAAAAAAACATGAAAATATAGTGTGTATCTGCATGAAAGCGTCCCACATAATACTTTAGTAGCATCAACTTTCGATACATACTCGTAGGTAGGCTTGCACGTAATTGACAAAAATCAATTCCGTAATTACGGCCAAATCGATTACGTAATGACCCCGTAATTGCGAGATTTTTTTCACACATTTAAACCTATCATAACAACCAATTTAATCCACTTTTATTCCGAATGGGACATCGAAGTTTGGTTTTCATATTCCCGGCAGTACTACACGCCGGCAACAGATGTTAAAGACAAATATCAAGGAGTGAATTCAAAATAATTTTATTCTGATTTTTATCTTTTGTATTAGCTTTGATTTTTTTTATCCACTATATCACCAAATTTTATGCGATCAATTTTATCATTACCAACACTGGTAATATATTTAAGAAACGATAGTTCACTTTTTTAAAATCGTATGAACGTATTAATACGACTTTCTTATTAAATAAAAACTCCGGGTTGCTAATTTATTAATTAACAACAAGCGTATTCTCTCGTTTGATTATACTTTCGCTTGCCTGGCGACGAAGACTTGTTATTTCACCGTTTTTTACAATATCCGACTTTACTACTTAGTTAGCATTTTATAATAATTATTGATGCCGACTTATTGACGATATTCCGAATTCCATGCTTCATTTTACATTAAATCATTTCGCGGCCTAAAAGTTATAACATTATTTGCGATAAATTTAGATCAAATATTAATTATTTGCGCATTATTTAAAATACCGTACTTATATGACATGCCTTCTCCGAAAATACAAAGTTATATCGCAAAACAATGCATTTTGTGACATTTATTTTGCACTCATGAAAATATTAATTTATTTTTGTAACTCAAGTCGACAATCCTATTTGCCAAGATTGACACAAGTTTGGTCGAGTGCCGGTGGTATTCGAGTCGACGATAAATCAAAATAAGTTTGCCGCATTTGGTAAAGACAGGTAATCATATTTGGCCGATATATTGCGAGGCATTGTGAAAAACATATTGAGCAATGCCAAGGACAGATATATAACGACAAAATCGGTAACAGAACATCAAGATTTTATAATAGAAAATGGATCTCGCGCAGAATAAACACGTGAAATCTCGTCGTATTGTTGTTTCTCTGCCGTCTCAATCGCTTTACCGATGCCGAAAAGACTAAGTTGCGTTGTTCATTACGCAATTTCGCTTCCGTCTTTATATTGCTGTTTGATAAGCGCGACATTTATTATCACGGCATTTACAAATAGACCATGTTTTATAAGTTGATCTCTTACATTCTTTAGTCATTTCACCCGAAGAAGTTGAAACTAGGTGTGTTCACGTCCATCGGTCTCAACACAATTCTATTCCTTATCTACGGTTAATATGTACGTTGGCCACCCTAGATAAGTTGATGATAGGTAAGTAAAGACGCGTTATGCCTTCCCCATCTGCCTAACAAAAGAGAGAAAAGCCTCACGGACAGTTGAAACCAGGTGTGTTGACGTCCATCGGTCTCAACACAATTCTATTCCTTATCCACGGTTAATATGTACATTGGCCATCCTAGATAAGTTGACGATAGGTTAGTAAATGACGCGTTATGCCTTCCCCATCTGCCTAACAAGAGAGAGAAAAACGGCTGCGAATACCGGAACTCTAACTTCTTTTACTTAAACTTTAATTTTTTACAATCGACGGAATTGACTGCTCTGAAGAGAGCTCGTTTCAATCGCGAAAGCGCTCGACCAATAATTACACTTTACGTAATTCGTAACTTCGCTTCCGTAACTCGAAATAATTCCGTAATTCCGTAAATCCGTAAATTACGTGCAAGCCTACTCGTAGGACATACCCAGTGGAGAAGACTGAAGTTGCAATGATACCATTGCAGTGCGATCCAGCTTCACCTGAAAAATTAAAGGCAAAAAATTTATAAGCAAATCGGAAAATAACTTGAATATACATATTTGATATTCTCCAAGGCCATAAGGAGAATATAAGTACAGTAGTAAAGTTCATGAGTAGCCAATATAGTCCAACCACTTTCAATTTAACATTCATGAAAACGACGAAATTGTGTTTTAAGCCATTTTGCCTACAAAATGAAGTGGTATATATTCATTCACTTTGTAGTGAGCCAGACATACACTTCCAATGGTAGAATTACTGCAATTATATTTGATTGGATCTTGACTAATTCGTAATACATTTAAATCTAACTCGAAATTCAATAAATATGACTTCACTACAGAAATATGTGTGAGATGCAATATTCATTGTTGATCTGCAAAACAATAAGCAAAGATTACATCCAGTTAATAAAAACATTTCATAGTTCAAATGAGAATCCTAGGTTTGAGGCATAAGTTTCAACTTATTAAGATATTACCTACTTTATATCCTTCAGTAAATCTGATAAGGGAAGTTTAAATTATCACATTCATTTGGAGGAAGAAATGATCCCTAATATTTGCACAAATCATGTTAATTTATGATAGTTAAATATAAACTAATGCTGCAGCCTACAGTTATGAAAACCTGTTGATGACATATGGTTGTATTATGTGTCAACAAAGAGTGGAGCAAAATCAAAATTCAAGCATATTTCCTCTAAATGTCATTTCTGCAAATACAAATAGCATATCTTCTACAAAGTAGTTTTTACTCCGTAAAATAAATGTATAATACTCCATATTGAAGATCGCAAATACAAATCCCTGAAATAAAAAATTGAGACAAGAATACAGTTACCATTTAAAACAAAATCTTTAATCAATTTTCTACTTTATCCACACATGTTTTTAGCGATCAACTAGGCAAAGTCATGACCTTTGCCATCATGTAAATAAATAGATACTTGCAACTGAAACTTTAGATATACTACAAGCTTACTTTCACCTAATTGAATAGTTTGTAAAAATGTAGATTGATATATCACATCATGCAGACATACCTTGCTCTAAACTCTTGATGGTCCAAACACTCTGAAGTTCAATCTTGCTATGCAATGCTTTTATTTCATTGACAAGAGTTGAAATATTCTGTTGAAGGATTCTCATACGAAGTTTGAGAACCTCATTTTCTTTTGCTAGTTTAGGTATCTGAGCTTCGAGAGTTACAGCCAGTTTTAACTCACTTCTCCATCTTTTACGAATCTTTATAGCTCCAACAGTCATGCTTTTCCGTGAACAGACTCTAATGGCACCCACTGGTGGATGGTCAAGCTGAGGAGGGTCTTGCACAGAGGCAATAGCAATAAAATTTTTGTTTCGCTGATATAAGAAGGCGGTACTTTTTAGGCGTTCAAAATGAGGACATAAAGATGGGACCAATTCAGTTTCATTTTGTATTTTCTGCTTCATTTTTCTTAGAACTTTTATCTGATTTTTAGCAGTGCGCATTAGTAATTTTATGCTATTCTTGTTAATATATTGTTCTGCAAGGAGGTCTTCAATTCGCTTCCCCAACGCTTGCTCATGAGTCATACTATCATACACATTTGGTGTTTTTCTTGATTTCATTACCTTATTATTTTTATCAGCATTCTTCTGAACATCTTCTCCACAATCTGACATTTGGTAAATGGGCATGGAACCTTCTGTCACTAGATCATAAAGTTCCCCTTCTGCTGTTTTCTCCTGCGCTTCTCCAGGGATGTAAAGGATGGCAGATTCTTCGTTAAATGATAATATTCTACTATTCATGACAACTGTTTATTTACAATCTGCGAAGAAAATAAATATGTAAGAAAAAAAGTTTTTATAATCTGTGATCATGCAGATTTGTAGATCCTTGTTTGTTTATGCAGGATGTGTTTGTGATACTTCTCATGCCAACATAAAGTGAGATTACTTATTTATTTTGATATACAATTGGATGTCAGATGAAATCATGTTATTTTCATACCCATTTAATAATCCAAAATAGTATATCAAATCTGACAGCATGTGTGATACTTCTCATAATAATCTTTGAAAATGAGTTTCAATTTTTTGAAAGCAGAAACTACAGTCCACTATAATTTCAAGAGTAATAAGATCAATTAGAAAAATATTATCAGAAATAATATTCAGTAGTTCGAGAATGTCAATAAATATGCAAACAAGTATACTGATGATGCCAAGTTTCTGTTATGATTTATTATATTCACAATGATTTTGTAGCATTTTGGGGGTTCATGATTGAAATTGTACGATTGTAAGCCAGATTCTAGAATTAACTATTCCAACAGGCATATCATTCACTTCATTATGCACCATGTTCTTCCACCCAAATAGCGTACTAACTTAAGAACTATAAATAATATGCTCTCCGCATGAAATTATATATTTAGGCATTTATTCGAGAGTAGACGGTGGTAGAAATATATTAAGTTGGATTTGAAAAAGACAAAAAGTTCAGACTTCGTCGTATATTCAGCCCATATTGTTTATCAGAATTCTGACTACATTCCAGTTGAAAGAGATGTTTGCCTGCAGAATAATAAGATATATCCAAATCTATGCAATCTTAGAAAAATTGCAGTCTTTTGAGAAAACATGTAATGTAATTAATTGGAGATTTATTATCATTGAATTTTTTATTATCACACCTTTATATTTCAAAAAAGTTTTAAAATTCATGTGCAAATTTTCAGCATGAACGCATGATAGAAACTTAATATCTGTGATGACAAGAGTTGGTAATGTTGCACAGACAAGGAATCCTAAAATATTCAGTAACAAGAGATTACCTCAATTTTTCTAATGTGGTCTACCGGTCTTATAGTACTTTGTCTCAGCTGCTAATGCCTTTAGATATTCCATCGTTGATTTGGTACAAGATGAATTTGTAACTGGTAAGATTTGGCCCACTTCTCCACGATGCTTTCGAATTTTATCTAATAATCTAATTCTTTCCTGGGGATAGTTCAAAATTTTTGCTCTAAATGAACTGATGGACTCTCTGATCCTAAGATTATCTTTCAGCAGAGTAGAATGCAATTGTTTTAATTTTTTTAGATTAATATTCTTTCTAAATAATCTAGCTGTTCCATTATGCTTGCAATAGTGATTCAATGATTTGTTATTCTTGATGTTTGCAGGATCATTATTCTCAAGATTCTCACATGGGTTTTGTAACTGTTCAGCATTTTCTTCACCGATGCAAGTCGATTGGATAGTATCACTTTTGTATAGAGCATCATAAAGTAGACCCTCTGGACCTTCATCATCACTGGCAGTGTTCAGCAGGTTTTCAGTGGAGTACATTACTTTAGAGATTAATGACAACTTCAGTCTTTGACAGTTCATGATAGCTAGTATATATGCAGAAAGAGAATGACTGCTTCTTGAACTTTATTATAATGTTCTGAAAATTGAGAACATTCTGATAAAATTTCATTTGCATCAAGCTAAAATTCTCCAAGTTTGCCTGTGTAAAATATTAAATATACAGGGAAAGTTATTCTTGACAAGCAAGTTTGTAATATCAAATGAAAGTATACAGCAGCAAGGCATATGTTACAGTGCATCAAAGGTACTTGCAAACAAACATAGTTTTGAAATACATAGCAGTTACTACAATTCATCATTCATTGTCGTGATGCATAGTTCATATGTCGAATTACTCTTTCTAATCTATAAGCAGTTTATCTGGGATAGTTTGCAAATTTATCTCCATTGATTCATTCAGTATTAATTTCTTGTTTTCCATTTCAGCTGTACTTATTTTAGTCAACTTGGCCATCTGTGTTCCAATCTGTTCTAACTCCATTCAGCTGAATAATAAGCTCCAGTTCCACCCTGTATCGTTAGTTATATTTCTTTAACATATTCTGATAATCATTAATGTCATCCATGATATTTGGCGAACAAGGTAGTATTTGGTCACCATAATTATGGAAAATATTGTACCATATATCAGAATCGCACCTATACGGAGCAAACTTTAATCCATTATTTGCACATTCATAAACAGAAGGACCAACATTAAGTATTTTTGAACCCCCTAGACATTTATTGCCGGAATACAAAACAACAGCTTGTCCAGGAGTTATAGCACGTAACGGTTGTTTCAAAATAAGAAGGCACTTTCCTTCTGCTAGTTCATACAGCTTACTGCATACTAAAGGTTCTCTGTGCATCAAACGAGCTTCACATTCCCGTATATTTATATCACTAGATAAAACATGTCCTTCACTTATCCAGTGAGGCGCTTCCATGATTAAGGCATTACTAAAAAGACAAAGGTGATTTGTCCCACCTGCTACAAAGATATCACCACTTTGAATATTTTTCCCCACTACAAAATATGGTACATGTGAACCAGAAATTCGGGATCGTTGACCAATGGTATATTTAAAATAACCATTGTGAGCACCCATCAATTCCCCAGTTTCTAGGAGAACGAAATTTCCAGCTTTTGGTTGAATATAATCTTGTATAAAACTGTCAAAATCCCGCAATCCAATAAAACAAATTCCCATGCTCTCTTTTCTCTTGGCAATAAACCCAAGATTATTTTTTGATGCTATCGTCTTTACAGTATCTTTATATAAACTACCAAGTGGGAATATTGTATGCTTGAGAGCATAAGATGAGATTTTATTCAAAAAAAAAGTTTGATCTTTGTTCTCATCTATGGCTTTATAGAGACAACCATCATTTCTTTCACCAGTATGTGAAGAGTGACACTTCTTGAAGTCGTTTGGAGACTGAACACCAGCTGGTAAAAAATTTTCACTTGTCCTCGCATAGTGTCCTGTGGCAATAGTTGGGGTATTTAGTTTTGACTTTGCATACTTTAGGAACGCATCAAATTTAATATGTTGATTACATAAAACATCAGGATTTGGTGTACGGCCATACTCATATTCATCAATTGTTTCTTCAAACACATTATTCCAATATTCTTTAACAAAATTAACACAATGAAAAGGAATTTTCAATGTGCTACAAACTCGTTCCGCATAGTGATGATCTTCTTCCATGGAACAATGACCAGTTTCATCTCTCAAATCCCAGTTCCTCATGAAAGCTCCCAACACCTTATATCCCTTTTGTTTCAGAAGCAAAGCAGCAACAGCACTATCAACGCCTCCAGATATTGCACATACAATTTTGCTCATCTGAAATATACAGAATAAGTGATGAAAAATACAATTTTTTTTTTTTATATGACAGTATGAAGCATGTGAAAACAAGTATTTCCAATTATTCTTTATCTACTAATTAAGTTACTATTCTATATTTTATACTTAATACTCTTCATACACAGTTACATAATAATCTTAGCTCTCTTGTGAAATAAGGTAATTTTCTCTACTTTATTTCTACATTTTAAAGCATGTTCAACTGTGTTTATTACACTATTAACACTTAGCATAACATTTTGAAAAATTAAAGCATTTCGATAAAAAACACATAATCACATAGTCTACTTGTTTTACAAACGGACAATTCATAAACAAAAACAAGTGTGATACTAATTCTTTTTCTATGTCACACATACCGCATACCGGTAACACACAAGTCATTTCAAGCAATAAATCTAATTCTAGACACACATTTCTGCATTCGAGTGGCAAAATATTCCACATTAATTTATTTAAAACTTTTCACATAATATATTATAAAATATTTGGCCGTTTCCAGCTCATTCAGAAAATTCATTCACAAACTCACGCAGGCTATACGGTACGGTAGCGTACACAGTCTGGCAATAATTTCTGACTTTAGTACCGGTAATTCTACAATGACAACCAAAGTTCAAAATTACCTACAAAAGATCGGGTCTCGTGTAGTTTCTCACCTCTTTTTTTTTTTTTTTTCATTAGTTTCCGAATTAGATCAAGATTATTAATCATTTTTTTTTAGAATTCGAATATCATGGTTTTAATTACCACCATTTCAATTCAAAAAGTCATCAATAACTTCTAGTGGGCGCAACAATTCTTGCATATAGAGGACTTGCACGGGTCACGTGACATTGTTACTGGACGGCAATAAAACAAAAACGTCCATTTGGCTCCTGTCAGTTGCAAGTCGGATTATACGTTTGCGTTTTGTTTGGCTGTTGAATATGGGTATTTCGTTGTTCTGTTGGCTGTACGTATAGTATAGACAACGAAATGGATCTTCAGTAATATTCCACTGATTTCAAAAGATCCTGAACGTCCCCCAATGTGGATATCATCTATTGCCTATTGCTTGGTGTCAAGTCCAGAAGCCATCTTTCTTGTGTTTCACTGTTTGCGGACAGCACTTCGTTGATGGTGAGTGATAATGTGGTGATAGTGTGCCGTTATCAATTTCTTTAAATATTCACAAGCTCCCTCATTTCAATGGAAAGCAGATGACAAACTACTGTTATCAGTAGGCCTAGGCGTGGGCCTATTTGCAGTTGCAGACTTGACTTGTGTAAGACAGTAAGAAATTAATAATCAATAATCTAATAATCAACTACTGCTATTAGTAGGCCTAGGCCTAGTTGCAGACTTGACTTGTGTAAGACAGTAGGGAATTAATCTAATAATCAACTACTGTTATTAGTAGGCCTAGGCGTGGGCCTACTTGCAGTTGCAGACTGGACTTGTGTAAGACAGTAAGGAATTAATATTCAATTGCTATAAGCCTTAGTATAAGGTATTGTTTCCCTACTTAGCAGGTAATCTATTACTAAGTGTGAAAGGTTGAATAGATTACTAAAGTTTAACACCAGTGTTCATGCAAAAAATAACCAGAATTCAATTGAATTTGCCATCTTGGAATACGCTCGCCACCGCATCTCTGATCACCCTGGTAGTTTCACAGGTTTCAATCCCATGCGGGTATAGTTATGTGATAGAGGATTGCAGCTCCACTCTCACCGAGGGTGGTTCACATGACCGCTGATCGGTTACGACCATTCCCCACCATCCAAGTCCATGCTTCTGAAAACAAATAACTGGCTCCCCCCAAGATAAATCCTATCCTAATGGTGCTTGTACAACTGATTCAAAATGTCTTTTTATTGTCATTGGTAAAAAAGATATGCTACCCGGAATCAAATTCATTTACGACTAGTGGCTGTGGTGGGATATGGACATAAATTTCACTTCTCTCTCTCTCCTTGATCGTTAGATTTTATGAAAACTCTTATCTGTATCCATTATCTTACAGATATGGGTGCGACCATGGAATAGATGGATGGCAAAGTATAAGTTGCAACAAGACCACAGTGGCACAAGACCTCAGCTTGCGTGACTTGATAATACATCCTCAGTATCCATTTATTGATGCTTATCGTAATGACAAAGTAACTTGTCATTACTGTGGATTGGTGGAGATAAAGTGTCCATTGTGCTTTAACGAAATCAACTTCAAGACGACCCTATCAAGAAAAAAAAATTGTTTCGGTGGGTCTGGTCGTGAAGGTTTCAGTCTAACGTTGGACACCGATACTACAACCAGATACAGTTGCCAATGAAACTTAAGCGAGGCATAATATTGCGACTTTGTGATCTGAAAGGAAATTCTGATGGGTAGCCGGCTAGCCGCAACCTTTTGTTTAAAGAATATTATGAGATACGACTCAAGAGTCTAAACTTTTATTTGAGAGGGGTGTAACCCAAGCTAATTTGCAAATAGTATTCATGGTACCAAATGTATCACACACTTTACAGTAATTATAAATTATATTTGAAAAATAAAGCACATCAAAAATGTATTTTTAAAAAACAATTGGTTTTATCTGCAGATACTAGGTTGATATTGAGATTGACCATTTCAATGCTAAATTTTCTTTAGTCAAAAGGTACACTTGATTCGCAAAAATTTGTGAATGCGCACAGTACACCAATTTGTCCAATGTTTTGATTCCATAGGCAGGATGTTGTGGATCGGTGCTGCTCAGGATGGGATATTTTTGCCTCTAAATGCATATTACGTGTATTACGGTATGTGTTTCACATGAATCCATCGTGCTCAGATTCGACTGTTTTCAAGGTCTGAAGGCTCCAACAGCCTTATTTTATGGGTACACAAGAGAATTTTCAGTGTGACATGCATGGGTCAGTTGGAGTCACTAACCTCAAGATATCTATAAGCAAGGATAAGAAAACCTGGAAGTAACATTCCATAATTTAGAGTAAAAAATGTATCTGCCTCCACAGCCCTTTCGAATGGAAGATATGATGCCTCGGGGGTAATTTCTATCAAATATTTAACAGTATGGTTCTAGTGAAAAGGGGTGTAGGCGGCTTTTTTTAAAAGTGTGGTAGGTCTAGTCGAAAGACACGTTAAATGTTTATGCTAACAACTGTGAATTAATATTGCAACGCATACAAGTTAACAGAATTTGTTGAAATGATCCTGCCTTTTGCCTTTCAATTTCAAAATCCTCCTTTTTCTAACTATTCTCTTCTTCTCTGGGGATGGCGAAAATTCAAATATCGATGGGACATGTAAGCAGCTGATAATGGGTTATCTTCCCTTTTTCCTGAAAATAAATTAAACACTAATCATCATTTGACAGTGCCAAGTTTGTGTATCAGATCAGTAATAAATTACCTGCCAACTAACAAAACAATCAGACAACACCTTCTGACCATTAATGAAGATTTTTTTCAATTTAAAACGCAACTATGCCTACCAAGTTTTTAGGATAGAATTTATCTGTGGTCGGGGACAGATTGCAAGGTGCAACATCGTACGATTACCATTCTATGTCGGGATTAGTTAGCCAGTTATTTGTTTTAGAACCATGGACTTGATGATGGGGGATGTCGTAATCGACCAGGAACCACCCTTAGTGGGAGGAGAGCTGCAATCCCCTCGCACATAAGTTACATAACTATCCCCGCATGGGATTGGAACCTGTGAAACTCCCAGGGGGATCAGAGTTGCGGTGGCGAGCGTATCCTCAGAGAATTCAATTGAATTCTGGTTATTTTTTGCATTAGCACTGGCGTTAAACTTTAGTTATCTATTCAAATTTTCACACTTACTAATAGATTACCTGCTAACTAGGGAAACAATACCCTATGGCAATTATTGATTAATACCTTACACGAGTCAAGTCTGCAGGTACTCAGGTAGGCCTACGCCTATGCCTACCAATAACAGTAGCTTGTCATCTGCTTTCCATTGAAATGAGGGAGCTTATGAATATTTAAAAAAAATTGATAACGGCACAACATGACTCACCATCAACGAAGTGCTGTCCGCAAACAGTGAAAAACAAGTAAGATGGCTTCTGGACTTGACACCAAGCAGTCCTGCCAATAGATGCGCGACGTTCCGGATCTTTTGAAAACAGTGGAATATAGCTGAAGATCCATTTCGTTGTCTATACTATACGTACAGCCAGCGGAAAAATACGAAATAACCATTTTCAACAGCCAAACAAAACGGAAACGTATAATCCGACTTGCAACTGACAGGAGCCAAATGGACGTTTTTGTTTTATTGCCGTCCAGTAACAAGGTCACGTGACCCGTGCAAGTCCTCTATAGCATTCCTAAATACGTCATCCAAAAATTACGTCATAATCACGAAATAGAGCTTGCCATGGTATTGCCAAAGTGACTATAGCGACAGTCACTCGTAATGCTGTGATCATGGATCAAAATGACCATTGTTATGCTGCAGATAGGCTAGTATACGCAGGGATGCCACTCTAGATGTTTTATATCTAGATCTAGATGTTTTTTTCAAGATCTAGATGTAAAATTTGGAGCCTAGATGTTAGCTATAAAATCTAGATATTTTTTTTTTCAAGGTTCTAAATATTATTCAGTGGGAAATAAATAAAGAGATGTGTGTAATACTGTATTAGGTGAATGAATATTATTTCATTATTTAGAAGTATTGATGTAAGATTGATAAAACAGTATATATTTACGATAAAACTCATTCATGTTGTATTCGTCCACCGGTACCATACAGCCATATGTACTTACAATATTTGAACAACGAATTAAACATGTGACGTTTTAATTAACGTTAAGTAGAAAGGACGACGTTGGCCCGATGATATTGTTGCCAAGGGGTTTTAAAATTATTAGGTCATTTAAGTCTATAAGTCAGTGGTTCTCAACCGGGGTCCGCGGACTCCCGGTGGTCCGCGAAGCATTTCCAGGGGGTCCGCGATTAAATTAAGATTTTAGGAAATTATTTGCAGTTTAATTTTTTGTAATACGCTCGAGCCTTTGCTGCCTATGACAATGTGACAATAACCTACAAAAACTATTTTGATTTATCTCCTTTGGGCCTATTGTGACAAAATTTATGACAGCACAACGATAAATACGAGAACGCAGCTACAGTGATCATTTTCTCCGTTTTGGTGCGCCATTTTGCCGTCCTACCCAGGGTTGCCATATTGGGTTTTTTAACGCCAAATTTGCCATTTTTGGCTTTTTTCAAACGCGTTTGGCGTCAGAATTTCCGTTTGGCTCTTTGGCGTTTTTTTGGCTTTTTTCAAATCTATTCTAGTGTCTATTATTAAAATCATATGAAATACAATATTTAGTGTGTAACAACGTACTTAGCTACTTAACATTAGGATTTCCTGGAGCATCGATTTCCTTGTTTGTTACATTAACTCTTAACCACAAACTACCCAATAAGAAATAATTGCAGTTTCTGCAGCTGCTCAGACAGATGTTCAAGCAGGGTTGTAAACTTTGCCTCGTTTTTTAGTTTTGCCTATTTGTCAGTTTTACATTCTGTTTCCAAAAAATAGTTGTATATTTTAATTTTCATTATGCCTGATATGGTTTATGTGAGCTTTAGTTTAATTTTGCAATTGCAGTAACGATGTGATTAACTACGCTAAAATTACTGAATTAGATATCAGTGGTACACCTGTGAGCGGCAGGGGTTAGATAATTTTTTAATAAATTTGATGGTTTATAAATTTTGAAAGTGAAAAAATTTTCAATAGTAAAGCACGATATACTGATATAGGGAGAATTTTTTAAGGTATATCACAAGTTTAAGTAGAAACATGTAGGTATATTACATACTGACAGACTGAGGCGGCACCCTGTATTGTATATGTTGAATGGTAAAATGATGCTGTCCGCTTGATATTTATTTTACATTCTACAGTTCTATAGGAACTTTACTTTCTATTTGTGTGCCTCACCGAATGAACTGATGGCTCTACATCAGTGATTCTCAAACTAGGGTTTGAGAGCCGCATGCGGCTCTCAACAACCTTTCCTGCGGCTCTCGTTAATGCTTTAAAATTTAATTATTTTCAGAGAAAATTTTTCATTGAAAACTAATCATTGACTCGAAATTAAAATGCTGAAGTCTATTAGTTAGTCGAATGAATTTCCCCGTGTTTATTTGCGTAGCGTTGACTAACCTACAAGATGCAATAGTGACGCAACAGTAAGCGTTTCTCGGACACTCGTACACTTTTCACTTGGCAAGATTTTAGACATGGCTGTAATCATTGGCTTGCTTCCGTGGATTTTCTGTGTTTGTCGCATTCCCGGATATTATTTATAAATCAAATAACTCAATGATTATTTTAATCCTAGAGCAATTTAAATTTAGTCCAGTAATCGAAAATAGTCCCGAAATATCTGGCGATCATCTCAAGCAGTTACTGCACTTTGCATCCTCCGCGATTACGACCCGCTTTGACAAACTTATTAGAAATCAAAGCCAAATTAAATGGCTGTTAGTCTAGGGTGGGCAAAATCTAATCTTTTTTGAAATCGAATAACTTGAATTTTTTTTTTTTTATACATAACAGGGATCCAGAACGTCAGAGTTCGATACACCATTTAGAAATTGATAGAAACATTGAAAAGTCGGCAAAAAAGCGTTTTTTTTTATTGGTTAATGGTTAATTTCATCATAATCGCTGGTTGTCTTTGTCACCGCAATCGTTTTGGCGGCGATATCCTAAAGTTTGTATTCTATATTCCCGCCCTTTCTCGTTTTTTGCAAGAATAAGCGGTCGCCGAATATCGAAGTTTCATATTTCTAGTATACCCTTGCGTTCACATCAGCGACATCTGTTGAAAACATTAAGGGCTGATTTTCTAAACCAAATTAATTTTATTCTGAGTTTTATTCCCTGTCTTGGATTTGATCTTCCTTATCAACGCTTGTAAATTAACAGTGCCTGTTTAAATTGAACGGTAACCAAGATGCAGATATTTATTAAAATGATACTTGAGTTTCTCGTGCTTTCCTATGGTGTTCGTGTTATTTTAGTATTAGATAGATAAACCTAGCAAATTTACGATTGCGTGAATCCTGAATGTTGATTTGAAAAAAGCGATTAGATAAATTGGCAATAAAGGCATTCCTAGGCCTTTGTGCCTAATCGAGGGTCAGACGCTAATTATACCTAATTCTCTAAAGTTTTAAGATTTTTTTTTTCCAACAAAACAACACCCCGATGGTTATTATAGCTAAAATACTTACTGAGTGATGCTCAACTTTCTTTACGGAAATTCGCAAATTCACCACTTCACTTAATGATTTTGATTATGTCATGCTATAAGACTTAATTAGTACTGCCCAATTGCTTCGAAATTTACCAATTGTAATCATTTTCGATGATAATAGACGCAACAATCTGTGAACGAGTCAGTGTGCATTGTCACAACGAAATTCACGATTAATTTTACGTTTTACTCTTGGCTCAGCGGCCATGTATGGTCGAGTACAATGTTACATATTCGAAACATCACTTGGCCAAAGATGGAAGGGATCACTAAAGAGCTAATACAAAGTGCTTTAAAGGGAGTAGGCCATGACATTTCTTATCTGGTTACAATTTAATGAGTGTTTTTCATACAAGTAACTCATACCAGCTTTTGGAAAAACTTCTGGTCATTTTTAAATCCATGCTATTTACATAACTATTGTTTTCTAACGATCTAAAATTGCCTTTTTCACAATGAAACACCGGAAAGTCATTTTAACATTTAATTTCAATCAACTTTATGTTCGGTAATGCAAGAAATGGCTAATGATATGTCACCAAGCATGCGGTGTTTAAAATCTGGGAAATTTATTTTAAATACCTAATCTGATTTGACGTTTCTAAATTTACGGAACGGTTGATACGTTTTTTTTTGCAAAATAATGTATTGAAACGATACGTTAAGTGCGAAGATAAGCATATAACACCATAACGCAAAAACAACGACTTTTCAAATTTGTTTTTTTTTCTGATAGCGAGCGGCGTAGGGAAATCTCGCACAATTCACGATTGAGTTGGAGACGCGCGAGTTCGGTGTCCAAGCAGAGCGGCGCAGGTCACGTGGTACCGGATATTCGAATAGTAAAATGGCATTCGAATATTTTATTATTCGAATATTTTGCCCAGCTCTAGTTGTTAGGTGTGTTATTGTTACGAGGACTCGGTATTTTAAATACGCGCTTAAGGTTTGTTGTTATTTTACCTTGCGTTGCTTGTGTGCGGCTCTTCACAGCTTTGAGGTTTGAAATGCGGCTCTGAGACTAAAAAAGTTTGAGAACCACTGCTCTACATCATCATCAGTACGTTGCCAAGCGCTTAAAATCTGACAAATCATGGGGCTTTTGTACTTAGTAAAATTGTTGGCTTTTTTCGTGTCTTGATTTGGCTTTTTTGATTGCTGGGGTCTGGCAACCCTGGTCCTACCCATAAGTATCGATGGAAGCATTACGTGTTATTGTTCTATTCGCCTCCCCTTACGTTTGTGAAAGTGGATTTTTTGCTCTCGTTCATATCAACTTCAAGGCTCGTCACCAACCAAACGTCGAGGACGATTACGTGTTATTGTTCCATTCGCCTCCACTTGCGTTTGTGAAAGTGGATTTTCTGCTCTTGTTCATATCAAATCCAAGGCTCGTCACCAACTAAACGTCGAAGCCGATATGCTTTTATCGTTATCAAAAATACGACCACGTCTTTCAAGACTTGCTTCTGATATGCAACAGCAGAAATCCCATTGAGTGTATTCGATTTGACAAAATAAATGGAAATGTCCACTAGTTTGGTGTTATTTTTGACTTGGTTAATTCTGTATGGAACATTAGGTTGCTGTTTAAGCTATAAACTAAATTTCAAATAAAAAACTTTTGAGGGGTCTGCGACCGCTTTGAGAGCACCAAAAGGGTCCGCCAAGACAAAAAGGTTGAGAAACACTGCTATAAGTGCTATTGAATGTGTCTCTCTTTAAACATCAACTTTTCAAAATGCCAAAGTGTATACACTACCAGCAAAAATTTAGAAAAGATTGGCTTAAGGAATGGTTTGCCCATTCAGATGATAAGAACAAGGTCTTTTGTAAGTTCTGCAGGTGGGAATTGAATTCAGGATGATGATGTTAGCTTCTTCGACATCTAATATTACTGCATTGTGGTTACTTTTCATTAAATTCAATGATTTCATATCTAGATGTTTTTTTTTTCAATCTGGATGTTTCTAGATGTTTTCCGAGGTCAATCTGGATGTTTTTAGTCAGGCAAAAGTGGCAGCCCTGTATACGTTTGACTGGTCTTCTGTTCCGTCGCATTTCTTTTCGGCGAATGCATGGGAATTTATGAGTGAAGTAACAACCATACTTTGTAAAAATCTAATGTTTTGAAGCACGATAC